TAGGTTAGGTAGCCGAAAAAGTTAGGTTAGGTTAGGTTAGGTAGGTTAGGTTGTCGAAAAACAATTAATTCATGAAAACTTGGCTTATTAGGCAAATCGGGCCTTGCATAGTAGGCTGAGAAGTACGTTCTGGCTACTAGGTACGACATATATATATATATATATATATATATATATATATATATATATATATATATATATATATATATATATGTCGTACCTAGTAGCCAGAACGCACTTCTCAGCCTACTATGCAAGGCCCGATTTGCCTAATAAGCCAAGTTATCCTGAATTAATATATTTTCTCTAATTTTTTTCTTTTGAAATGATAAAGCTACCCATTTCATTATGTATGAGGTCAATTTTTTTTTATTGGCGTTAAAATTAAAGCAGATATATGACCGAACCTAACCAACCCTACCTAACCTAACCTAACCTATCTTTATTGGTTAGGTTAGGTTAGGTAGCCGAAAAAGTTAGGTTAGGTTAGGTTAGGTAGGTTAGGTAGTCGAAAAACAATTAATTCATGAAAACTTGGCTTATTAGGCAAATCGGGCCTTGCATAGTAGGCTGAGAAGTGCGTTCTGGCTACTAGGTACGACATATATATATATATATATATATATATAAATATATATATATATATATATGTCGTACCTAGTAGCCAGAACTCACTTCTGAGCCTACTATGCAAGGCCCGATTTGCCTAATAAGCCAAGTTTTCATGAATTAATTGCATTTCGACTACCTAACCTACCTAACCTAACCTAACCTAACTTTTTCGGCTACCTAACCTAACCTAACCTATAAAGATAGGTTAGGTTAGGTTAGGTAGGGTTGGTTAGGTTCGGTCATATATCTACGTTAATTTTAACTCCAATAAAAAAAAATTGACCTCATACATAATGAAATGGGTAGCTTTATCATTTCATAAGAAAAAAATTAGAGAAAATATATTTGTTCATGAAAACTTGGCTTATTAGGCAAATCGGGCCTTGCATTGTAGGCTGAAAAGTGAGTTCTGGCTACTAGGTACGACATATATATATATATATATATATATATATATATATATATATATATATATATATATGTCGTACCTAGTAGCCAGAACGCACTTCTCGGCCTACTATGCAAGGCCCGATTTGCCTAATAAGCCAAGTTTTCCTGAATTAATATATTTTCTCTATTTTTTTTCTTATGAAATGATAAAGCTACCCATTTCATTATGTATGACGTCAATTTTTTTTTATTGGAGTTAAAATTAACGTAGATATATGACCGAACCTAACCAACCCTACCTAACCTAACCTAACCTATCTTAATAGGTTAGGTTAGGTTAGGTAGCCGAAAAAGTTAGGTTAGGTTAGGTTAGGTAGGTTAGGTTCTCGAAAAACAATTAATTCATGAAAACTTGGCTTATTAGGCAAATCGGGCCTTGCATACTAGGCTGAGAAGTGCGTTCTGGCTACTAGGTACGACATATATATATATATATATATATATATATATATATATATATATATATATATATATATATATATATATATATATATATATATATATATATATATATATATATGTCGTACCTAGTAGCCAGAACTCACTTTTTGGCCTACTATTCAAGGCCCGATTTGCCTAATAAGCCAAGTTTTCCTGAATTAATATATTTTCTCTAATTTTTTTCTTATGAAATGATAAAGCTACCCATTTCATTATGTATGAGGTTAATTTTTTTTTACTGGAGTTAAAATTAACGTAGATATATGACCGAACCTAACCAACCCTACCTAACCTAACCTAATCTATCTTTATAGGTTACGTTTGGTTAGGTAGCCGAAAAAGTTAGGTTAGGTTAGGTTAGGTAGGTTTGGTAGTCGAAAAACAATTAATTCATGAAAACTTGGCTTATTAGGCAAATCGGGCCTTGAATAGTAGGCTGAGAAGTGAGTTCTGGCTACTAGATACGACATATATATATATATATATATATATATATATATATATATATATATATATATATATATATATATATATATATATATATATATATATATATATATATAGTATTTACCTCTCCAGAATATCATCAATCTTTTCGTTGTGACACATCCAGGGACCAGATTCACGAAAGCACTTACGCAAACACTTACGAACCTATACATCTTTTCTCAATCTTTGGCGGCTTTGTTTCCAATTATTAAACAGTTAATGAGCTCCAAAGCACCAGGGAGCTGTTTATAACAATAACAACAGTTGATTGGGAAGTTTTCATGCTTGTAAACTGTTTAATAAATGTAACCAAAGCCGTCAAAGATTGAGGAAAGATGTACACGTTCGTAAGTGCTTTCGTGAATCTGGCCCCAGGCTATTTGTTGAGGAACACTCCTAATCTCAGTATTTCTATATACATTAATCAGCAGGCAATCAAGAACAGAATGGGCGAGGGTTTGAGACCTTAACATACCACATAGCTTACACTGTTTCATTATCGTTAACACCTATTCCATATTCCCAGTAATATTTGTACCACAGCCTGAGCCGCATGTGTACAGTCACTCCAAAGACTTCAACTTTTACTGTAAGTTGTAGGTTTTAACTCTGAATTAAAAAAAAGAAAGCCTATTGGAGGGGTGGCCAATTTTCTCAGAATGCGACATGACGGGCCTGATCTTTTCGAAACTTTTAAAATACTGAAAAAGTTTAAGAATATTAACCCCGACCATTTCTTTAAACGGTCAAATGTAATACAAACAAGGAGCAACTATTTCGCGCTCAACAAGCCACAGTATAGGACTGAAAACAGGAGATGCTTTTTCACCCACTGGATTATTAATCCATGAAACCGCCTACCCGCCGAAGCCGTAAATGCCAAAACTGCTGAATTTTACAATCTAGCTGACAAAATCATCAGGATAATGGAGGACCTTTGACAAGCTGCTGGCTTCCTGTCTTCGTCGAGGCCCTAGAGAGATGGTGGCTTTCAGGTAAATTCAAGGAAATACTAGGGTTCCAAGATATTATATTTACCAGAATTTACCAGCCACGACGAGTACAGGAAGCCGGCGGCTTGTCAAAGGCTCCCCCCATTTGTCCTGATAATTTTGTCGAGCTGGATTTTAAAACTCAGCAGTTATTGCATTTACAGCTTCGGCAGGTAGGCGGTTCCATGGGTGAATGGATGAAAAAGCATCTCCTGTTTTCTATCCTGTACTGTAACTCATTGAGATTGAAATGTTGTTCCTTGTTTGTTTTATACTTGACCTTTTAAAGAAGTGGTCTGGATCAATATTTTCCAAATTGTTCAGTAATTTAAGATTCGACGAGATAAGGCCTGTCATGTCTGGTTTGTCACATTCTAAGAAAATTGGCCACACATCCAATTAGCTTTTTTTATTTAATGACAAAACTGAATTTCTATCTTACAAACTTATGGTAAAAGTAGAAATCCTTGGAGTGACTGTACACGTGAGGCTCAGACTTGGGTTCAAATATTACTGGGAATAGTGTTAATGATAATGAAACTTAGTGTAAACTATGTGGTATGTTAAGGTCTCACACCCTCGCCCATTATGTACACCTCATACTCATTCTGTGACCGGTAGTTTATTGTACACCTTATACTTATTCTATGACTGGTAGTTTATTGAGAATATTACAACTACAGTACATCATCAAATCTGCAGATGACACTAAGATTTATGGTAAAGTGGGAAGTGCCTGACGTTTCACGAGTGTTTTGTCCTGGGTTCGTATCCTAGCTGAGGAGGATTTACTGGGCGCAAATCCTCAACTGTAGCCTTAGTTTACCCAACAGTAAAATGGGAACCTCGTTGTTAAAGATTTGGCAGGTCGCATTCCAGGGAATATTAGATATAAGGACTTGCCCAAAACACTATCCGTGCTAGTGGTTGTACAAGATTGTAAGAATTCTTGTATACACAGTATATTAAAAAAAACAATTGAGGTCTTACAAAGAGATATGCATGAACTCCTCAAATGATTGTTCTGCCCCCACCTTATATGTGGGGGCAGAACAATCCACATCAAAACTACCAGATTAACAGCATTACCTTCCAGCAAATTGAAGAAGAAAACGACGCAAGAGTCGGAATCAATCATTCACTGAATGTTGCACAAGTGGGAGCTAAAAAAAAAAGCCAACCAAACCTTAGAAATAATCAAGTGAACTTTTGACTAACTTTAAAGACGATAGTTATCCAACTGCATAAATCTCAGGTGAGCCCCCACTTGGATTATAAATACAGTGCAAGAATTTAGAAGATCTGTTTATAATAATATGATTTGGCAATTCATGCAACATATGTTTAGATGTACGCATCTAAATGACTACATTTTCACACATTATCAAATGTAATGACTAAGTGCATCCTAATTCAAGGCATTCTGTCCCCAGCACAAGGAAACCATATCATAGTTCTTTACATTCATCATCTTCCTTCCTTTTGTCTTTTAAGTTACGGAGACTTGGGATTAGTCTTCTATAGTATGTTCTGTTGAAAACATGAACAAAACAATAAATAAAAATATAAAGTTTTCCTGCTCCTTAAGTGATGAGTAATACTTTTAAATGTGGCAGCCATATTAGTTGTGTGTAGCAACCAAGTCCTAACACTTCTCAAGCATCTCGCCCATCTCTGCCTAATTACAACTAGCTTGGATGTCCTCAAGACTAAAATTGATACATTATGTAAAACTAAAATAAAAAACTTGAACAGCAGATACTCCACAGTTGGTATACACTAAAATTCTAAATGCACATGCCATGTAAAATCATCTCTTATACTGTACAGGTTATAGATTGATATATACTGTATATATAACAATTTTGGTAATTTGCTGAACTGCAAAAGTATCATGTATAAAAATATCTCAACTAAACTACAGTATAGCTAACAACACATTTCCTGGTCAAGTAATTCTAAGCCAGGAATATTTTTCCCTCGTGTATAATTAGTATTTTATTCTGTTTTGTTCAGGTCCAGCATGAGCTGCTCAGTGTTGCATCATGTGGAGGCATGCGTCAAGGGTAACAAGCTAGTTACTCTCCTGACAAATGGATTTGGCTTTCGCCCTTTCGCCCAGCGGTTAACTCCTCGTGCCTCCCAGCTGGCCCTCAGGAATGGCAACTCCATTTTCGTTGTCACCAGAAGGAACAGCCTGTCAGGCATCCAGAATCAACAAGATGATAATGCAACTGTTAAATGCCAAGCAACAAATATATTTATTAATAATAAGCAAAGCAATTCACAATATTTTTCAGATATCAGTAAAAATAAAGAACATTTCAAGAAGCTTTCTAGCAAAACCCATCAATCTTCCTGCACAGAGGACTCTTGGAACCTCACAAAAGGCTACTGCAACAATGAGACTGAACCAAAATCTTTTCTCAATCAATATAATGAACACTGGACAGCTTTTTGTTGCAGAGATGAGGCTGCTCACACCATTGACTCTGTATTTAATGTGGCACTGGTGGTGAAGGATGTGGACAGTGTGACAGAGCTAGTCAGGTCCCAGGGAGGACAGGTGCTTAGAGAGCCAGCAGATATATCAGATGATTTTGGTCATGTCAGGTACTCGATAGTGACCTCTTGCTGTGGTAATATAGTACACACTTTAATAAATAAAAATAATTATAAGGGTGATTTCTTGCCAGGATATGAAACCACAGAAGATTTGAATGAATATGCCGGGCAGGAGAATAAAGTCAATAAACATCTTTTTGACAACTGTATTTCTTTTGCAAACAATGTTAATTCACCATCTGTTATACAGGACATCAATGTATCTGATGGAATTCCAAAGCAAAAATATATGGATTTACACAAATTTACCTCTTCTTTGGACAAAGTGGCCACACCCATACAGCGTCCAAATGACCATGTCCCAATCTTAACACATTTTGATCATATCACCTATGTGTGTGAAGCTGGAAAATCTAAAGATTTAATTGCCTGGTATGAAAAATGCTTTGGAATGCAGAGATTTATGGCCAATCGGTGAGTATTAGCTGTACTGATGCTTATGTATGACTGTCGGTGAACAATAGAGAGAACTACAAAATGTTAATTGGGGCCATGTGAGGCTAGGATAATAAAAATTATCATACAGCAATTTAATTTAGTTTGCAGCTGAATTATTTGATCTAGGCTCATCATCTATTTTTCAACATATGTACTATGTCTCATAATTCTCCTTTAAATATTGTTTGAATAGTTGATTATACAAAAACGTTTATAAAATATACTGTACAGTAATATTAAAAGAATGACCAAAAGTACTAAAAGTTTATAAAACAGTGCTAATGGGTTAATTTAGTGGTAAAATATGTTAAGCTACTATACAGGCATGAGCAGGGCAGTTGGTGGGGTCTAGTAAAATATTTTGGCCAATACCAATATGTCTATCTCGTAAAGGTAGTAGTTTCATTAGGAAATCTATCATGATGGGCACTTTTTCCTGCTGTAAATCCACACGAGCAGTAGCAGTACAGTACAGTATATAACTTTCTGGATAATCCATAACCCATAAATATTTTACTGTTGAAAATCTGCTTAATTAACCTGATTTATTTTTCTTGAGCAGTGAAGAAAATGTTGAGGAAGGGTTTGTCCTGGGCGGCAATATTGGTCTACGACTCAAGGTCCTCGAGTACTGGCAGTGTGCCGAGACGGGCTTGGCCTTCCCCACTGCTTCCACAGGTGATTCCTCATTAAAACTGGTGATTGCTGAGCCTCTACCAGATGTCAGTAAGTACAGTATACTAACTTTCAGCACCTAATTCTTAAGGTAACATTATTAGATGTACTTATTCACTATCAATCAAATTCAAATACTAGTACACCCCATATATGTGTCATTTTTAAGACAAAAGCATCTATGTTAGACATGTACCTAAATGGTAATATGTTAATAATTCCCAACTTCATAAATGTCCTTTATGTATAAAAGTTCCATCATTTCAAATATTTTGTATAAGGTAAATTTTAAATACTACAGGCTTGCCTATTAATGCAGATCACAGTACAGTACTTGTAACACTTTTCAATTATATAGAAATTATTTATTTAATTACTGTATTTAGAAAAAGTCGGCTACAATAATTTTGTAACGATTTTAGTGTGTGTTAATCTTAGTCCACAGGATTACTTCACAGTGACACAGGAAGGAAATATAATATGAGATACATGGAAAGGAAAGAAACAACCAGATCTAATAGGAATTATAAAAATAAAATAAATAATAATAATAATGTTACAGTAGTACTATAAAATGTAAGATTTCCCACTGTTGGGAACAGGAAGCCCATTATGATTATTGAGGTCTGCCTTAGCCACCAACTGACCTTCTCAAGGATGCAACCCACAACAGATACCTAACTCCCAGGTATCTAGTTCACTATGGCAAAAAAAAAAAAAAAAAAAAAAAAAAAAAAAAAAAAAAAAGGCATCAGGTACAGTATGAGGAAACGTGCCCAAACGTCTTGTGCTGCCTGGGAATCAAATCAAGGACATTTTCAGCCAACTGTGTTTATCACTGTGCCACAGTATGGGGGAATTTTTAAGAGCAGATAACAAAAGCACAGTTGGAATGTATTTTAAGAGTAAATAATGAGGAACAGTATTACATACATACTCTATGTAATGTGTCTGATTAGCAGAAATGAATGATGTTGCTAAAAGAATTATTAATCATTGTACTTTGGTATTTTATAAAGAAAGTCTTGAAATATTGAAATTAAAATTTTGGATTCGTTCAAATGTTCAACGTGACATTGAAAGTTTCTAGTTGCCATCTTAAATATGAAAATTATTTAAGACTCCAACAGTGTCATATATTGGAGATTTATGATTATTATTAGAAAATACATGTACAGTATATTTGTTAATATTTTCAGGTGAAAGCCAAATAAACAGCTTCCTTCAAGCACACAAGGGCCCTGGAATACAACATATTGCATTACACACTCCCACCATGACTGCTACTGTCAAGCAAATCAGCGATAAAGGAATAGCATTTAGGAAACCTCCACCAGTATATTATCAAGAGGTATGTTCTCTATATCTATATACTGTATATTATTGCCGTGTTAGTAAATTTTATCTATTTGCACTATATTTTTAAATAAGATTTTTATGCACAATGCAGAAACCAATGTGTGTACATTCTTCTATAATAATACGTACACTACTTCATTGTTTCAGGAAATAGACAACCAGTCTTTATATACAAGTGAGGTTTATATCATGGCCCCCCCTCCCCTTAGTTATTAAATGTCTCCTAAAGCTAGTTATTAAATGTCTCCATTAGTACAGAAATTGAACATAAAAGTACCTGGAAATTGAGAAGTAGGTGTATGCCATACACTCTATTTCCATCACTGGACATAGGATGCCACTGCCACAGACATGACGGAGGGAGGATGATCGCCAGTTTTGTGTCAGGGTCCAGAACATTAGACGCTGTAGAACCATCAGAAGCTTATCCTGGAGTAGGGATGAAGCAGATCTTCCAGGTGCACAACTAGTGGTTCTGGTCATCCATTGCACGAATCCCAGAGGGATTAAGAGAGAATGAAAGTTCCCTACATTAGGAAGGAGGAGGAGGAGGTTGGAACCCATGACCACAGGATGAACTACCAGACAGTAAGGGAGGCCGAGCACAACTGATGCAGGACATAGTACCTTCGTCCCATATGAAGCTCCTCTTTCTAAATGGGGAGGAAACTGAAGTAAGAGTTTGTCCATGCTGTGGTGGAGACCTCCTTTCTTCTATGAACGATGCTGTTCTGGACATCCAATCCATCCACAAAGGACAGCCCCTCACGGGCATCCTGTGGTGTGTGGGTCAATGACCCAAATGGAAATTCTATCAGAGTGGGTGTCTTAGCTGCACACCACTTCAGTAAGCATGGCATGCAAAATGCCCCGCTTGCTATCAAGGTGACACCATGGGAGGGGGGAACTAAAAAGGCAAGTCCTGTCACATTTGCAATTTGTAAAATGAAGAGCAGATTTTCTACTAAGATTGGACTTTTATGTTGCAATTAGTCACATGGATTTTAGATTTGTAAAAACACACACAAGCCTTTAAATATGGCAAGGGTTATCTTGGTGTGATTTTGGGGCTTAGCGTCCCCGTGGCCCGGTCCTCGACCAGGACTCCTTTTTATTACACACCCCCAGGAAGCAGCTCGTACCAGCTGTCTAATTCCCAGGTACCTATTTACTGCTAGGTAACAGGGGCATCAGGGTGAAAGAAACTTTTTGCTCATTTGTCTCCGCCTCCACCGGGATCAAACCTGGATCCTCAGGACTACGAATCCGAAGTGCTGTCCACTCAGCTGTTAGGTGCCTGTCACAGGATTTGGAGTACCCTAAACTGGTATGACACACTATGTACAAATATGGAATTTCTTAAAAACGAGAATCATCTTTTTGTCATAACCATTTTAGTATTTATGCATTTCCATTTTGCAATATGTATAACTTCCCAATTTAAAAATAAATGGGAATGGAGCACTTAAATTTGTTTGCTTCACAATACTGTAGTGTTAAGAGACTAAGAATCATGTGTGATAATATTAATTTAAGAGATTTGTGGATTTTTCTGAAACCACTATATTTGAATTTATTACTAACAATACAGAGATATGATTATATCTCCCATTATAGATATGGGAGAAATGGATAATGCTAGTGAGGGGGATTTATTTTACCACACTAAGCATCTGAGGCTTTTTCCTTGAAGTTTAATTGACAAAGAAAAACTAGATGCACCATTATTCTCATACACAACAGGCACAATTTTCATTATCTTTTTATTTATAACAGGGTATCAAATTGGAAGAAATTGAAGAAGCAGGTCATGGCGAGGAGGTTAATCTTTTCAAAGAACTTGGGATCTTGTTGGATTCAGAAATAGATGTCTTTGGAAATAATGAAGTTCCTGATGAAAAGAGGTAAGCAACAATAATAAAATACAGTGAAGGTCTCAATAGGATTAATTAAGGTAAAGTAATCTCTGGACAAGAACATAAAATCAACTCGTGGCTACTCAGAGAAGAATTTGTATACAGCACAGGAATGTAGTGCCAAGCGGGTTCAAGCACAAGTCCATCGCAATCTATGCCAAAGGCAACCTGAATGTGAAGTTACCATGATCTGATATCCCAGAGAAGGGCAGGAGCAAACATGGCAAGAGCTGACTGTTGCAAGGGAAGAACCCCACACACATCATACTGATACAAAGAATAAGAAAACATCTGTTTTGAGCAACAAACCCTCTAGATAAAGAACCATCTCCAGTGAGGGTCAATAGGCTGCCCAGGACCCTCTTCTGGCAGTCCCAAATCTCCGAGACTGTCTCCTGCAGAAGAATCAAAGGGATTGGGGAGCAGAGCCAACAGTTTCCCAGAGCCCCGGACTTATTTGAAGAAAGAATAGACAGGGTGTCAAGCAGAAGCCCCTGAAATCTGGAAAGGTGAGCCTTCAGGCACATTTCTAAGGTACAAGAGAGGGAGAGAAGAAAAAATGGGTTCTGAAGTAAATCTAACTGACACTCTGCAGTTTCGTAGCCATTTAGGGGCCCAAACCAAGGCGAAAGTTAAGAAGTCAACCAACTTTACTCATTTGCTAGAACAGAAAAGGTAGAGGAAGACAATGAAAGCTCAGTACAAGTGGCCAAGGCACTCAAAATCCTTCTCACAATACAGAAAATTGTGTAGTACCTCCTACACAATAGTAGGAGCAGTACCTGCTTAGGAGGTACTGGTCCTAGGCAGCAGTACCACCTATAGCAGATAGGGAACAGAACACTAGGTACCACAAAGCACTAACATGTTAAATGGCTGCACCATGATAGGCTGTTAACCGAGGAGGTGACTGCCAAAATAGAAGTCTAGCACCAACAAATGGCACAGACCCAAATATGGAAGAAGTCATGCACCCAAAAGGTCAATTGATGGAGGCAAAAGTTATAATCATCAGTATTCAAAAATACCAAAATGCCTCCTTAGAAATTGCAAACAGCAGTATCTGCCATGGAGTTGGCTGGTGAAGCCATAACCCAAATGAAAATACAAGACTGAAAGGCAGGGTAAACTAACTAGCCCATCACATAAACAGGCATGTGAGGTATGAGGCAACTTGGCTGAACCAGCCCTGAATCCCAACCACAATCAGGCAAAAAAAGGCATATTCAGGCCTGGCAAAAAAATCACTTACAAAACCCAAGTGCACCCTCACCAAATTTTTAAACAAAAACACAAAACATACAAAAACGGCAGGACTAGGCGTGATCGCAGTACTGTATGTTACACTGCCACTAGTGGCAGCCAAGTGCAACTCAAGGTACAGTACATGTTTACATTGCAGCAATTTTTCTTGGTTTAGAATTTCTCTTTGATCCAAATTTCTCTTTGATTTTGACAGAGCCAGAGCCTGTTCTTGGCTCCCAGTAGGATGGGTCTCAGAGGTCTAGTGCATCTCCTCAAAGCATTGCTGAACTGGTACTTAGCTCTGGGACCCACCAACATAATTATTATAATTATATTCACTAGCTTGAATTATTAGTATATAATCGAATGTACAACATTTGTACATCCTCTTTGACCTTTACAAACACACTTTATATGACTACCATTTTGTCGACTTCAAAATTTGCTGTAACTCTCTCTCTCTCTCTAATTACCTAAGTATAGTTACAGGATGAGAGCTATGCTCGTGGTGTCCCGTCTTCCCAGCACTCTGTCATATAACGCTTTGAAACTACTGATGGTCTTGGCCTCCACCACTTTCTCACCTAACGTGTTCCAACCGTCTACCACTCTGTTTGCGAAAGTGAATTTTCTTATATTTCTTCGGCATCTGTGTTTAGCTAGTTTAAATCTATGACCTCTTGTTCTTGAAGTTCCAGGTCTCAGGAAATCTTCCCTGTCGATTTTATCAATTCTTGTTACTATTTTGTACGTAGTGATCATCTCTTTTTTTTTTTTTCTTCTCTCTTCTAGTTTTGGCATATTTAATGCCTCTAACCTCTCCTCGTAGCTCTTGCCCTTCAGTTCTGGGAGCCACTTAGTAGCATGTCTTTGCACCTTTTCCAGTTTGTTGATGTGCTTCTTAAGATATGGGCACCACACAACAGCTGCATATTCTAGCTTTGGCCTAACAAAAGTCATGAACAATTTCTTTAGTATATCACCATCCATGTATTTAAAAGCAATTCTGAAGTTAGAAAGCGTGGCATAGGCTCCTCGCACAACATTCTTTATGTGGTCCTCAGGTGATAGTCTTCTATCTAGAACCACCCCTAGATCTCTTTCTTTATCAGAATTCTTTAAAGATTTCTCACATAATATATAGGTTGCGTGGAGTCTATGGTCTCGTATTCCACATTCCATAACATGGCATTTATTAACATTAAATTCCATTTGCCAAGTGGTGCTCCATATACTTATTTTGTCCAGGTCATCTTGAAGGGCATGACAATCATCTAAGTTTCTTATCCTTCCTATTATCTTAGCATCGTCAGCAAACATGTTCATATAATTTTGTATACCAACTGGTAGATCATTTATATACACAATAAACATCACTGGTGCAAGAACTGAACCCTGTGGTACCCCACTTGTGACATTTCTCCAGTCCAATACATTGCCTCTGATTACTGCCCTCATTTTTCTATCAGTCAGGAAATTTTTCATCCATGTTAGAAGGTTACCTGTCACCCCTCCAATATTTTCCAGCTTCCAGAACAACCTCTTATGTGGTACTCTGTCGCAAGCCTTTTTTAGGTCCAGATAGATGCAGTCAACCCAAGCATCTCTTTCCTGTAAAATCTCTGTGGCTCGATCATAGAAACTGAGTAAATTTGATACACAGGATCTTCCAGATCGAAAACCATACTGTCTGTCTGATATAATATTATTTCTCTCCAGGTGTTCTACCCATTTAGTTTTGATTGGTTTTTCCAATACTTTCACTATTACACTAGTCAATGATACAGGTCTATAATTAATAATGCAATGTGTGTGTGTACAGTATCAGTCTTTTTGCAAAATTGTGCTTAACTTTTTATGTTGTCTATATAAATTTATCATCTCACTAACTACTACATTATTTGCTTTTGTAAGAGATTTATGTAGTGATTGAAATAAAAGCTAAAAGCTTTTGAATTAAAAGCTTAAAAAATTAAATGAATTCAATCCAAACTAATTACACTTTCTTACTGTACAGTACCATCTTTTCTTCCCCTCAGTTACCTGATGCAAGTGTTCACTATGCCCCTCTTTGAAGAAGACACGTTCTTCTTGGAAATAATCCAGCGCTGTGGTGCTACAGGCTTTGGTGCAGGAAATATAACCGCTCTTGCAAAGTCCATTATACTTTACAATGAACAAGCTAAAAGGAATGAGCTTAAGGAATAATCATAAAAAGCTTTAATAGCAAGTAAATAAAAATCAGAGAAAATGTAAACAGTATTTTGGTCCCAAACAAATTTTCTGATTTACTCATTACTTAATAAACTATTGCACATTTTTTTGTGTACAAGTAATTTTATTTATCATAAACTTGAACACAAAACAAAATCAACAAAATGTGGAACCATTAAAATAAAATGATAATTGTTTACATATTTTCTAGATGAGTTTTGCCTTCTGTGATGATTAATAATATGGATTTTGAAGATCAAGTGTAGACAAATCTTTGTTAGTCATGTATTACATTATACATGGTCAGCAGTACCAGTTATATATTGTATATATATTCATTCCCACCATGTACATAAAAGTGGGAAACAGAGTTATGATAATAAATGTACTGAACGTATATTGGTGTACTGTATAACCTCATGAGCCTACGTATATGCAACCCATCCTCCGAATTGACAGTACGATTTAATACTAAGTGTAATAAGTACACTTTCTTACTGTAATAAGCAGTGCATAATTGCACTTACGGGGCTGTTACATTGACCCAACTCCCTCCCCCGCTTTAATTATTCTCGTTTTCTGTTAAGTGACTCAGAATTTTAGGATGACGTTTTCAATTTCGATTTGCAATACACAAGTTTTAAATATCAGGAATTTCTTTTTCAGGTTTATTAAACAACATAGATTTTATGCAAAATTTTAAAATATCCTGAGTTAATTTACAATTTATTGATATATTTTAGTTTTGTTTTATTAGTTTTATAAAACTGTAATATCAATATAGCTATAAGTTAAGTACTAATTGTAATTAGGAAGCAATAAAATTATTATCTTCAAAAACTAAGACGGTTAGGTGAGGTTGTGGTTTTCTATTCAGTTTTTCAGGTAAACTCAAATATTCACAATATATTTGACAGTACGATTTAATACTAAGTGAAAATAAGTACAATTCCTAACTGCTATGAATAGTACATAATTGCACTTAATTGTCTTCTTACATTTACCACCCCATTTTTGGAGGACGGGCTGGTATATGTATACTAGCATAGTGTAAAAAAAAAAAAAATTCACATAGTTAGGTTTGCTAATTCTTAGCTTCCTACAATTATTCATTAATACAGTAATTATGATGAGACATGCACACATCATTTTTATTAGAATAGTAAATAAATATGCAACACTGTTTCGTTCACAATATGATCATATTTAACCCCACCATCAAGTGATGTCAATCGACACATGAGTGATTAACGATTTGATGTCATATGACGGAAAATATTTGCCCACTTCACCTGTGACATTATGTGCATATTTTGCTAGTGTGTGACTGAACGACTGTCATTATACTGATGGCAGTATGTTTCCTTTCACCTGACGCCTCTGTTCCTCTAGCAGTAAATTGTTCCACAGGAGTTAGGTAGCTGTGGTAGATTGCATGCTGGGGAAGATCAGTGGTATCCAAGGGATTAGTTTTGTGACTCTAAAACAGGCTTCCTGACACAATGGCAAAACCAAACTTTTTTTCCATAATTATCAATTTGTTTGATATTTTTAGCTCTTGTAAAAAAAACTGTGAACCAGGAGGTCTAGTCTGAGACCAGATTAAGGGTCACTGACCACTGACTCCTAAAATCCACCATAAAGGAGGTAGGAACAGAGTAAATGGAAAAAATATTTAGAGCTAAGGGCTTTTTTAGTGTGTGGGGAAATATTTGATACACTACACTGCATTTCCAATAAATTTATAACTTTAAAGACTAGTAACAACAATAAATTTATGACTTTCAATTAATTATATATATATATATATATATATGTCGTACCTAGTAGCCAGAACGCACTTCTTAGCCTACTATGCAAGGCCCGATTTGCCTAATAAGCCAAGTTTTCATGAATTAATTGTTTTTCGACTACCTAACCTACCTAACCTAACCTAACCTAGCTTTTTCGGCTACCTAACCTAACCTATAAAGATAGGTTAGGTTAGGTTAGGTAGGGTTGGTTAGGTTCGGTCATATATCTACGTTAATTTTAACTCCAATAAAACAAAATTGACCTCATACATAATGAAATAGGTAACTTTATCATTTCATAAGAAAAAGATTAGAGAAAATATATTAATTCAGGAAAACTTGGCTTATTAGGCAAATCGGGCCTTGCATAGTAGGGTTAGAAGTGCGTTCTGGCTACTAGGTACGACATATATATATATATATATATATATATATATATATATATATATATATATATATATATATGAAGGGAAAGAAAGGACTTGGGTGCATTGTTCTATATAGTTTATACATTACAAATATCTAATGCATTAATATATATATATACTTCAACATGAATCCAGTATGATTTCTCCTTATATAAATCTTGATTTACCTTAATTCACTTTGGTATCTTCTTGATATGCTTTAGTTCATGGGTGAGCCAAATAGCAAAAGAGAGTGTGAGAAGGGACCCAGACTGATGCATGGCTGCCAATCCAATGGGCACATACAACAGCAGAGTTGCAATGCCTAGGCCTACCTGTAAGATAAAATTAGTAACAATGTAAGGAATTACCATATTAAATTATAAACTAATTTTTTACAGAAAATTACAGAACACAAAATATTTTGGCAGAGAGTATTTCAAGACCAGATAACAGTGCAAGGTACAGTATTTCTACACTCATAATGGGGTACCCTGGGAAACATTACCTCCTGTTATTTATGGCACTCAACATCTCTAAGCAATTACACACCGAATATTACAACAATATTAGGCAATTTTACAAATTAAGCAGTTTGTCCACTTCCAAAAAGTGAACCCCCAATCTGTGTACATTTTTATGAAGTCTACTGAGAGCTATACCGTAGTAGTTCTGGTACTAAGAAAAGATTTGAAAAATGCAAATTGATGAAGTGTGAAACAGTAAACTACATGAATGCTTTTTTTGTACTGTTACTATGATCTGAGCTCTATAGCTCACTTTAGCTGGATGATTCCCTCCAGTGTTCCCTAGAATCATTGTGACCATACAGGAACATTTGAAAAGTTCTTTATTACACCAGTACCTTGAACGTTACCAAGCCTGGCTGCATAATTCACTTCCTCACTGACAGATGAATCTCATCTTAGCAGCAAAAAAATAGGATAGTGCATATCCCATAAATGCAGCAAAAACCAGGTTTTTACTTATTATTTTCTCTAATACATCTTTCCTGTTTCTTACATATGAATGAATGACTATTCTATTATGTATAAATGTAATAATTAATGAAAAAACATAAAACCTACCTGCATCCAAGTCACCGCCCCAAGTGCTGTGGCTGCAGTGTATGCTCGTGGGGGCAGCTTCACTCCTCTCCGAGACCACACCATTAAGGCTGTGGCCAAGCACAGAGAAACTGTTCCCTTCAGGAAAAAATATTAAATTAGGGTCTACCCTTAATTTTAATTAAAAAAATTATATACCGTTAAGTAGTAGAGTGATCGTGTTGGCTTTGGCCACCTACGAAAGCACTTGAGGGGAAGGCATTAAGGGGGCAGTCGTCTCCTAATAATGGCTCATATCACTAGCTAAATTTACAGAAGCACTACTTATTGTGTGATACATTTTCTCCTTAACACTGCTATTTCAATGGTAAATAAGTTGCTTTTTCTTTTCATATTTTTCTACTCAATCTTTCTAAACATTCATATTATTTTTAAGAAAATATATAAAGGTATCTTTTAAATCTTTTAATATCTTAGAGAGACTATTCTATGAGAGAGAATCCTCTCAATATAGGATAAGTTCCAGAGGGAAAGATGAAACTGGGTATTGTATAGACTATATTTATGTGACAGTGGAGAAACCCCAAGGAGGCACGTCACTTTTGAAGCAATTTAACAAGACGTTTACACACCATTTCCTGCTGTCATCTGCCTACATCAAATTTGACTGGATAGTATTGTACTCCAATTAGGCCTATACACTAGGTTTACACCTTTTTCTAATATTCTAATCACTTAGATACAATGTTTCAATTGCAGGCAACTGAGGGAGATATCCCCAGTCTCAATGCCAGACATACCTCACAATACTGTACAAACGATATTATGAATATTGAGAAAATCAGTAGAAGCCATGACAAGGATTCGAACCTGCACACTGAGTACTCCCAAGTACTTAGCCAGTGTGCAGGTTTCAATCCTCATCATAGCTTCTAATTGATTTTCTCACTGATACATCAAGCTAATGCAATATTTTTTTGCCTTATAAATATTCATAAAAACCTGCAAGAATGCCTAATAGAACATTAACCCACAAGCTTACTGCAAGTGGTGGTGACTATTCATCAGTGTACAATGAGGATGCTACATGCAATTTGTAAACTTACACACGATTTGTGTTCCAGAACCAAATCCAACCCCATATTATATTATATTATATTATATTATATTATATATATATATATATATATATATATATATATATATATATATATATATATATATATATATATATATATAAATTCATAGAGGATGAATATGTAGCTGGATTGATAGAAAAGTGAATGAATGAAATAGTTGAGTAGATGGGTAAATGAGTGGTAAATCGATGGGTGGAGTTGTAGGGAAATAGAAAGTGGGTATGTGGGTTGATTTGAGGATTGGTTGATGGGTTGGGTGGGAGGATAGGTCAATTATTGTGTGACTGGGGTAGGACAATGGGGTAGTATTTTTTTTAAATGCTAACCAACAGATAATAGAGTACCCTCCTGCAGCTTCCTCTAGCAACCATGGCAATACCTGATATGGCACTCCTGGCACTGTTGCATCAAGTTTATCCAAGTGTCTTTTACTTCAACTTCAGTGCCTACTTCATTGTCTAATGCTGCTTCTGGCCTTTCTGGTCTTTCCCCAATCCAGGTCTCCTCTTTAATTATGTTTAGTAATTTTCCTGGAATCTCTTTGTTAAGTTCCTCACCTGGCTTCCATTAATACTTTCTTCCCTCCTTACCACATGACCTATAACTATCATTCCCCCTCATAATGCTTTTGCTGCTCTCATTCTCAAGCTGTTTTTTTTGTTTGCACCTTTCCTGACTTTATGTGTACTCATTTTTGGCTCTCTTAAGCTCTTCCCTGATCTCTATGACCTGTTTTCTAGACTTCTTCCATGCTTTATACCATACCGTGGTGTGATCCATATGTCAATATATATAAAAATGAAGAAAGTGTGTACCACTTACCATGATTCTGTGGTCAAACTGTACTGTTGTTGGGTTTTCAGTGAAGTTTCGAAGAGCTGGAGAAAATGCCAAAAGGTCACTGGGAATCCACCGATCAGCAAACTTTGGGAAAGAGTTGTATACCAATCCAGCATCCAGTCCAGCTACCAAAGCCCCTAAAGGAAAGTGTAAAAATGTATACAACTGCATCATCATATAAATATTAAAATATTACATGTACCTAAATGTGATATGTAGCATAACCAACAAAAGTTACTTGCATAATTTAAAAGAAACATTAAACTTAAATCTGACAATCAAATTTTATGTCTAATGCACAAAAATAAAAAATTAAAAAAATTTAGCAACCATTTTATGCTGAAACGTATCACTGCATACAAGAAGAGTTGCAACAACATACCTACACAATGAGATAAGCTCTAAAAATGTTTACATTTAAAAAACATGGAAGTGCAGAATGAACTTACTACAGAAAATAGTGAAACAGATGCATGTACTATCAAGAATGAATATTAAATTAATTGATTATGCACCTTCGGCCGAGCGGACAGCACACTGGACTTGTGATCTTGTGGTCCTGGGTTCGATCCCAGGCGCCAGCGAGAAACAATGGGCAAAGTTTCTTTCACCCTATGCCCCTGTTACCTAGCAGTAAATAGGTACCTGGGTGTTAGTCAGCTGTCATGGGCTGCTTCCTGGGGGTGGAGGCCTGGTCAAGGACCGGGCCGCGGGGACACTAAAGCCCCGAAATCATCTCAAGAATCTCAAGATAACCTCAAGTACAGTACAGTACAGGTACTATACAATAAAATACACAAACTCAAAAGCAAATAAATTAAATGTTACTGTGTGAATGATTAAAAAATAAAGTTTAGTTAATATAAATCAATACCATACCTGAAAGTGCTGTGATGAACACCCAGCCCTTAGTGATGTGAGCAAGCTTACGAAACCTTTGTGCTTGGGCAGTTACCTGATGGACAACCACTCATGTTAATATGAATTGCTTCCTCATATGGCAAGTTATTTTAAAACATATTCATGTACAATAGTAAGTGAAGGTAATAATGCCAAGCCTTTCAAACCACATATGTAGGTGGGCTTTTACATATTAACAGGGATTGGGAGCCAAGTATGGATCTGAACAAAAAAATTGTGGGTGTTTGTAAAAGCAAAGTACATCCAACCAATCGTTCTCTCTTTCAGAAACAGGACTACAGTATTCACACTTGTATTACTTTAGCGATTACCTCGGCTTTTCTGCTAACACTTTTTTTTCCGTCAGCCATAATAGTTAGTGTCCTATTATCTGAACTGTCATTGTCTTCATGTTTCTTCTGATGGATAGTCAACTTCTCTAACTTTTATACCAACAAGATAAAGAGAGTATAGTGTACCATTTGCCTCAATCACTGCCTATGCTGATGAAAATAAAAATATAAAAATGCATTGCTTTATCTTAACAAATTTGACATACCCCATGCGCCACCCCTCAACTATGCGATTTGGGTCCCAGCGTTTCACGGGAGCGCGCGTTAATTCAGAAAAGTGCATACTCTCTTCAACTTTGTCACCTTAATTCTCGTCCTACGAGATTAAAATTGGTATTGTGTTCGCAATAGAATTTTCTACAGCACTAAATGCATATAAACTCCAAAAGCCCGGCTAATTACCCGCAGCAAACAGAGAAAGTGCGAACGAGTTACCCAGGAGCACGCAAAAGCGATAAAATGTGTTCACTCTTTTCACTCTGATCACCTCAATTTTTGTCCTAGGCCTTTCATTTTGGTATCAATGGGTTCGCAATAGAATTCTCTAAAGGAATATTAGCATATAAAATAAAAAACCTGGTCACGCTCCACCCGCTGACGAGTTGAAGACCGGCCACGCGTTAACCGCGAGTGAGCGCCCAGACGCCTTCCAGCTACACTCCCAATTCCTGCCCACAAATGTTTAGTATTTAGTATTTTAGTATATATTATACTATAAAACTATATATTATACTATAAAACTATATATTATAGTTTAGTATTTTTTGTGTAGTAGCTGTACATCACATAAGCATTGTAGATAGCCATTTGCACAAAATAGAAGGTTATTTTCTTCGTCCATTTGTGAGTTTTCCTTATGAAGTGATAATATTTGATCATTTGGTCAAAGTGATCAACACCTTTCATGTTTGTATTGTAGTCACAGATTGCATTCGGCTTCTTGAGATGATGAGATGATTTCGGGGCTTTAGTGTCCCCGCGGCCCGGTCCTCGACCAGGCCTCCACCCCCAGGAAGCAGCCTTGTTGTTGTTACCAAAGGCTTGTTGACAGTTACCAAACAGTCCCCCAAAAATCGGATAAAAAACCGATTTTTGGCGATTATTTTAGTGGACGACGCAGCATTGCGTCATGCCCGGGATTACCGACAGTAAACGGATGACGCAGCATTGCGTCATGCCCAGGATTACCGACAGTAAACGGATGACGCAGCATTGCGTCATGCCCGGGCGAAGTGTTAAAATGTATTTATTAACATTATTAGTTTTTTAACTTGCAATACTATTTGTAAGTTTATTTTAATTTGTTCCACAAGATCATGTCTTTATTAATACTGTACAGTGAAACCTCCAAAATTGGGACCTTCCTTAAAACACTTTCACCATTTTTCCATCCCCAATTTATTTTTCTTAACATTTCTGACAGCCCAACGAAACAACTGGAAACAACCAAGAGCCAGAAAAATGTGTCTTATTATTGTTTTTCATAAATTTCGTTCCTTTTCTTAGACACGTAAAACCAGGAGAAATGGTATTACTGTAACTTTTTTAAAAGATGCACATAGAATTTAATGTATTTAAAGGTTATCATTGCCTCATTCATTCATTCGTTTGACTTTTCTAGAATATCCCTGTACTGTATGTCTGAGAAGTTCTTGCCTTACCTGTACAATTTTCTGAGGTGGAAAAGTCAGTGTAATAGCATTCCACAAAAACAGGCTGTACAGAACAAAGGCAGATCCAAGATGAGCCATCAGACGGTACTGTGATACTCTAGGAACGTCCAAAGGATCTTTAAACCGATCCTCGAGGCCAGACTTCACCATGTACCATCCTAGGAGACCCTACACAATAAATTATATTAGAAATACTGTAGTATATAATAATGCAGGTGTTTGAGTAACTTTTATAGAATTTTTACCTAATTATGAATTTATTGTAATAACTTTATTTTTGTAAAAAAAAAAAAAAAAAAAAAAAAAAAAAAAAAAAAAAAAAAAAAAAAAAAAAAAAAAAAAAAAAAATATATATAATGCATTTAGGTGTCTGAACAGTTTGTGATATTCTGTAATACAGTACTACTACAGGTTTTAAAAACACTGCATAATATACTTGGCTTTGGTGTCTATTTAGATATCAACTAAAAAGCTCAAGTCCACAATTGTGTAGTGAATACAGTAATTAAAATGCTATATATAATATTTTACCTGAAATCCAATAAGAACCCCACACGCTACCACTCTCTTCTTCAGTGCACGAGTGAACCACCCTTTATGCCAGAAGTAGGCAGCTGGAACCAAGAAGAAAGCCCCAATGGTTCGACCCCACTGTCGATGACCATATTCCATCCACCAAATGAACTTAAATTCTTGTAGGGTCATATTTGCATTTTTCCTGTGAAGGAAATAAGCCATAAGTATAATGCATGAGAAATACAGTATACATAGTACAGGAAAATCAGAGTTAGTGAACAAAATTAATAATATCAAGAACTTATGGAACTGTGTGTGAAAAAGTAAACGCCAACTAGATTTTTTTGTCAAGGATATTCTTGCAATCAACAATGGTATTCAAGGGGTGGCGAATCTGAAAATATGAATATCATCTAGTAATGAATAAAGTAGCTGCAATAAACACAGGGTTGAGTACATGGAGTAGTAATGTGTGCATGAAATACAATGAGCTATATGAATAATGAAATTAGGACATTGTTATGTATTTAAAGAGAATAATGCGAGTATACTAGAGTACAGTATAATGATTATACTGTAGTAAGGTCTGCAAACATAATGATGTAAAGAATGATAAATTTAGCGAATGTAATAAGTATCAAGCATTCTAAGTATATGATTAGTAAAGAGTACAATGAATAAAGTCAGCTCTAATCAGAGATTAATTATTTTATTTTTCAAACTGTAATACGATAAAATATTCTCAACATAAGGAAGGAAAATATTAAACAAAATACAGTACCATAGTTGCCATTCAGTCTCACTGCTCAATAAAAAGGTGGCATTATAAAAATATACAAATACAGTATACAGTGATGAAGTCCTGTCAATTTCAAATTACTGTAATACAAGGATTCTTTCTCAAGATCCCCCCCCCCCACCATGAACTCCAATAAAGAAAATTAATGGTAACTGTTCTGGGGTTACTTTATTAATTTCAATAATAGCCATACATTTTTTGCCAAATTAAAGAATTTTAAATTTCAAGTTAACCCAATGAGACCTTCGAGATACGCTACATGTTTTGAATGAAAGCTCGTCAAGAGAAAAAAGAAAATTATAAGAAAACCATAAAATATTCCTAATGAGGACATCTAATTATGTCCTCACTAATTCTAAATAGTTGTTAAATCATTTATATAGTCTACAGTATACTAATTAAACATTTTATTTTTTTCCTCTATGAAGTGGTTAAATATTGCACAGTACTTGATTATATTTTGGAGGCTGTTCTAAAACTGGTGTGATGCCCAAGTTCTATTGAAGCTGTCTTGGAAATTATGAAGATCATGTTCAATATTAAAGTCCAGAAGACTATAGGATTTTGAAAATATAATGTGAACAGGAGAACGTGTAAAATTTTTAAGTTTAGCTTGTTCCATTTACAGTACTTACAATTTAAACTCAGGAAAATCTTGATATTGGGCAAACTCTCGCTCCCATTCACCTTGAGACAATGGTGGGCGCTTGCCAAACAGGTGCCAGTCAGTCATTGATAAACCTGATTCTGTTAAGCGTGTTAACCCTCCTGGCAGGAAAGAACTTTATGTAGAAAGTAAATTTTATACAAAATGTACAGGACAATATAAAGTAAACTCTCCAAAATATAGACCTAGGAATAATGAACCTAACCTGCCAACCCAATAACTCCTCTGAAATTCCAATTTGTCAGAAAAAAATTGAATTTGCAGTGAAATATGAAACATTAAGGAAAATAACTTCCTGCAAATCATTTTTTTTTTTTTGCAATTTTTTTTCTATTCTTGTGCTTATCATTCAGTGGTATGAGTAGGTCAGAGGAGGTGCTAGAAATGTTGCTAGTACTACTGTTTTTATAAGGTAAAAAAATCATCCCAAGTACTGATCCAATGAAACATATTAGGCTGTAGCAAAGTCTATAAACCTAGTTTGGGAAAAAATTGTATGGCTGATTTATATTTTGGAAGTGGTGGAAGTTTGAATTTTCTTCTGTGGGGTAGCAAAAATGTTATTCTCAAAAAACCAGCGTTGAATGTAATGAAACGCCATTTTCTGGGTGAGTCCCGGAGGCTCCCCGGAGCTATCCCAGGCTGATATGCTAATGTCAGACTTTGGCATCAGTCATGTGTATGGAGTTCTTAGGCCTACCGGGGACCACGGCCAGAACCGGGCCCCCTCAGAGAGGCAAGGGGAGCAATGGCCTATAGAAGCCCCCGTGTAGTTGGAAGCATTCTATGTCTACCATCGACCGGAACAGGCACCCAGAAAGGTAAGCGCCCCAAAACAAACCCCTATTCTGGTTAAAATTGCTACCTAATACCGAACTAGTGGATAGAACTCCCCAACCGAAAACAAGCAAATTAGTGTGACGTCACACACTGCCGCGCCGCTGTCTGCGCAGCTCCCCCCTCCCCGGGAGGGGGAAGGGGGAGCCCCAGACCCCCCGCGCCGGCTACCCACACCTCAGTTCTTGAGGCTGGATGTCAAAAACGCGAAAAAACGCCGACCGGAGGGAGGGAGGGATGCCGGGGAGCCTCCGGGACTCACCCAGAAAATGGCGTTTCATTACATTCAACGCTGGTTTTCTGGGGGGAGCCCCGTCGGCTCCCCGGAGCTAACTACCCACAGACAGAAAAAGAGGGACTTACCCGGGAGGCGGTCGTCGCTCACCCCTCAACTCGAAGCCGAGACAACTGGCTGCAACCGCCGACCCAAAGCAACACAGGCCCGACGAGGGCCAGGGACATTCACAAGGTAACGAGCAGCCAGGACCCTGTTCGACCGCCAAAATCCCCGCGCCCGAATATCAGACCAAGACATATTCCCAAAGACGGCAGCAAGAGCCGCGAACTTACGAACGTCATGGGCACGGGGATAGACCGCAGGCTGGCTAGACCTAATAACCCTGCGGACGACCTGAGAGACCCGAACCCGCGAACAGGGAAGAAGGGAAACCGGATCAACCCACAGCGCGTCCCCGGACACAGAAGCTGTGGCGCGCAAATAACGGCGAAGCGCCGCAACCGGACACAAAACATGATGCACCCCCGGCCTGACCAACCAAGCATCGACCACCCATGGACCCCTCCGGAACGCAGCAGTCTCATTCTTCGCCAGAAAAGAAGGAGACGGCTGCAAACGAACAAAACTAGCACCACGACCAAAAGAGCAGAAACCCCTGCGCCGGAGGAGAGCATGAAGCTCCCCCACCAGACCCCCAGAGGCCAAAGCCAACAAGAAAAGTGCCTTGGAAAAACAATCCTGGACTGAAGGGGCCACAACGAAACGAGGAGATGAAAGGAAAGCGAGCACTCTGTCCAAAGACCAGGACGGCTCAGGCGACGCATGAGCAGGCCGGAGGTGAAACAATGCACGAGACAGCTTGCGAAACGGCGCAGACGTAACATCGATACCGAAAGCAAGCTGAAGCGGCTCCGCCAGCGCCGCACGATACGAAGCGACAGTGTTAGGCATAAGATGACGGTCCTGAAACAACCACGAGAGGAAGGACAAGACCACCCGAACAGACAAGGAGCTAACACGACGAAGACGCAAAAAGAAACGGAAGGACCGCCAGGAAACTTCATACTGCCGCCGAGAAGAAGCCCTCAGGTGGGACACCAACAAGGAGGCCACCTGATCACCATAGAGATGATGATAGACTCGAGTCAAAAAAACCATACGCGAAGACTCGAGGAGAAGATCGAACCAGCTACGTGACGTACCGGCCCGATCTGCTGAAAGAGGCGGAGCCGCGGGAAAACCCTCGGGTTCGGACACCGAGCAACCAGCGCCTGAAACCAAGGCTGGGCCGGCCACCAAGGGGCCAGAAGGACAACTCTCCCCCGGTAAGTCTCTAAGCGAGTCAGGACCTGGAGCAACAGCCGAACTGGGGGAAAGAGGTACAGGAACCCCCACCTCGACCAGTCGAGCCGAAAGGCATCGACCCCGACGGCCTCGCAATCGGGGAAGGGCGCCGCATAAACGGGAAGACGCCGCGACCACAAGATAACTCCTGGCTCTCGCACCCACAAAACTAACACCACACTGGGAAGACGGGACACCACGAGCGTAGCTCTCATCCTGTAACTACACTTAGGTAATTACACTTAGGTAATTACACTCAAAGCACAGTGCAGTAGCGACACCGGAGCCAGAGCACACGACCATCGCCTATAGCATCAGCCTCAAGAACTGAGGTGTGGGTAGCCGGCGCGGGGGGTCTGGGGCTCCCCCTTCCCCCTCCCGGGGAGGGGGGAGCTGCGCAGACAGCGGCGCGGCAGTGTGTGACGTCACACTAATTTGCTTGTTTTCGGTTGGGGAGTTCTATCCACTAGTTCGGTATTAGGTAGCAATTTTAACCAGAATAGGGGTTTGTTTTGGGGCGCTTACCTTTCTGGGTGCCTGTTCCGGTCGATGGCAGACATAGAATGCTTCCAACTACACGGGGGCTTCTATAGGCCATTGCTCCCCTTGCCTCTCTGAGGGGGCCCGGTTCTGGCCGTGGTCCCCGGTAGGCCTAAGAACTCCATACACATGACTGATGCCAAAGTCTGACATTAGCATATCAGCCTGGGATAGCTCCGGGGAGCCGACGGGGCTCCCCCCAGAAATGATTATGAAACCATATATTATTAATTACTTACTGGGACAGGTTCACAAGGTCTTTTATAGAAAATTTTGAATTAAAGAAATAGTTTTAGTAGAGGAAAAAGTCAATGGGCCTGGCTTATTTACACCATTAGAGGGTCATGACTATCTTATGAGCAATAAAGTTTAGGGGCTGAGGTGTGGGATTAGTACTGATGATGAGGTTGAAATCTTTCGAGTTCTCCTAGTAGATATCCATATGACAGTTTGAAATTATAATTTTGCACTAAAATTAGCTAATAGAACATTTGAAAACCAGGGTACAAGAACATTAGAATAACAAACTGCAGAACCTATTGGCCCAGGCAAAGCAGCTCCTATTTATTCCCAACCAAACTATAATTCATATACAGTACCTTAAAGTACATGTCTAAGAGCCACTTGAAACTATCCAAAGTCTATTGTTACATGGTAATCTCTTCCACAAAGCCACAATCCTATTTCCAAACCAAAGTTTACCCAGGTCTTTTACAAATCTAAACTTACTCAAATTGCATCCATTGTTTTTTCACTGTTGTGAGAAACCCAAAAACACATTTAAAAGAAAATTGTATGGTTAATCTTAATTTTGAATTGGCAGTTTTTCTTTAATCATAGAAACAATCCAGACAAGGTGAAACCTCTTTACAGACAGGTTCTCCTAGAAGTCAGTCATCATATGACAAGCTGAAATTTAATATTTTCAGTCAAATTTCTCCATAGTGGGAAAATAAAAACCATGAATCTAAATTTTTAATACTACTTGGAAGGCATTTTTTTTTTAAGATTTTCGAAGATACAGCATGGTATATAGTTAGTGCCATGGGTTTCCTATTAAGCATAGTTCAAATAATATTTTGTCATTTTATTTTGAATTTAACATGAAAAATCAAGAAATATTTGGTGAGAGCCTGAAGAGGGCAATATTCAGAGAAGCCATAATTCTTTTAAATCATGTTCAGAACATTATAATATGCATTCTGGAGAATCCACTATTTATATCTATAAAAGTGAATATTTCTATGTGCCAGTTTGCTTTTTTGTTTGCCTATTAAAGGTTGGGAGGCTAGATGCTTGGGGCTAGCCTCAACAAGCTTTGCAGGATGACTGGTCTTTCTCAAGGGATGGTCATAGGTGGGTCAAAGTTGACCCTCGTTCACCCCTCCCTCTACCATCACATAAAATGGCAAATCATACGAATTTCCAATCTCGATAAATAAGACTCCAGCCTTTCAAAGATTACAGGGATGAAGGGAAGGTACTGAAGAGAAGAAGAGCAATGGTAGGTACATCCATTAGTATTGTATATATTTTATTCATATGGAAAATCAACAGTTGAAAACTAACTTCAGTTCAGAGACAAAATAATGCAAACACAAAACAAATAATAATTTGTATAGGCATATGAAAGCCAATTGGTATAGATGACTGACCAGCTTGTAATGTTTGATAAAACAAATAATGCACTATAATATGTAAATGCAATTAATTACTTAACTCTACTGTATTTACAGGAATAGAGTAAAAGATGATGACCAGTATTCCTTAATTAAATATCTAAACATAATAAGTCACAGACCAACCTAAATGGCTCACTCACCCAGAACAACTGCCCCGAAGACCATGCCTGAGCAGCCATACAACCATCGTCCCACCCACCTCCGACCAACTTCGGGTAACTCATCACCTGCATTTTGAATTACTTTGCTTGCTACTGTAACTGTAGTTCGCCTTAAGTAAGGCTGAATCTGCACAAACTGCAATTAAAGGATATTATTATTATTATTATAATAATAATAATAATAATGACCAAAATATGAGTTACAGTACAGTAATATTTAATAAATATTGTAGTATAGTAGAGTACAAGATTCTTTAATATTTCCATTTTTTGTTTTTAGTAAGAGGAACTTTACATAAGCTTTAAAAGTTTCACATCATATCCTATTTCTCACTCCTAACCTTAGCCTCACACATCCAGAAAACTGTGACTCTCTGACAGGAGCAATATGGAAATAGGGTTACTCATCTTGTCAAAAAAAGTTGTATCACACAACTTTAAACTACACGGCAGTAATTTCACTAGACATATCACTTCATAACCAAGATGCTCTACTAATGGATTTTAAAACCCATCTAACCTCACCCAACTGGATATAAGTCAGATCACATCCAAGATAAATTGCCAATTTTAAAAACCTACCTAACCTTACTCAACCTAACCTAACTTAATTAACCTAACCCAACTTAATGTTGCTTAACTTAACTTTACCCAACTTAACGTTGCCTAACTTAACGTTGCCTAACCTAACCTTGCCTAACTTAACCTTACCTAACTTAACCTTGCCTAACTTAACCTTGCCTAACTTAACCCTGCCTAACTTACCCTTACCCAACTTAACCTTGCCTAACCTAACCTTGCCTAACCTAACCTTGCCTAATTTAACCTTGCCTAATTTAACCTTGCCTAACCTAACCTAACCTTGCCTAACCTAACCTTGCCTAACTTAACCTTAGCTAACCGAACGTTATATAATATACAGCTCTGATAGGATGACCCCAGTAGGTGTGAGGGAGAGGCGTGTATGGGGTGATGGTGTCTGACCTTGACCCTGGAGGGCAGGACCTGGCCGGCCCGACACAGCCTCGCAGCCAACCCCAGGGCGATCATTCTCTCCCTTTAATGACTTCTTCTTCTTGATGATTTAATAGCCACGATTTTAATGACCTGCCTCTGTGTGTGACTGCAGGAAACAGTCACATGTACCTGTGCAATGTACAATATACCTGTTAACATTTTATAAACTTTGCTAGAATTTACCTACTTAATATTATGTTAGATTAAGGAACTGCCCGAATTTACCTACTTAATATTATGTTAGATTAAGGAACTGCCCGAATTTACCTACTTAATATTATGTTAGATTAAGGAACTGCCCGACACGCCAGTGGCTTTACAATAAGTTAGACACATCATACTATGTACTCTCACAAACTCAATGTACCCTCTTGTATATATATATATATATATATATATATATATATATATATATATATATATATATATATATATATAAGTCAAAAGATGAAGAGCGTGATAAGGCAGGTCCTCCTCAAGTCACGTCGTACACAAAACGAAGCGCCAACAGATTTTGAAATCTGTAAATCGTCTACAACATTGCGATTTGTTAACCCAACCCAACTGAGCTAATATAGCCTAAGCTAATACATCCAAACATACCATATATACGGCTTTAAGAAACACAACGAGTTTGGTGGCAGGGTGTGATAGTGGTGGAGAGGACCACACCTCCCCCAGGCCGTGGACGTTCACAGCCGCACGTGGCCACGTGTTGGCCGCCAGTTTTGAATGACATTGTCCATGGACAATCGCAGTTTTGAATGACATTGTCCATGGACAAACGCAGTTTTTTGAATGACATTGTCCATGGACAATCGCAGTTTTTGAATGACATTGTCCATGGACAATCGCAGTTTTGAATGACATTGTCCATGGACAATCGCAGTTTTGAATGACATTGTCCATGGACAATTGCAGTTTTTGAATGACATTGTCCATGGACAATCGCAGTTTTGACTGAGATTGTCCATGGACAACCGCAGTTTTGAATGAGATTGTCCATGGACAGTCGCAGTTTTTGAAAGACATTGTCCATGGACAATCGCAGTTTTGAATGAAATTGTGCATGGACAATCGCAGTTTTGAATGAAATTGTCCATGGACAATCGCAGTTTTGAAAGACATTCATTGTTCATTGGCAATCGCAGTTTTGAAAGACATTGTCCATGGACAATCGCAGAGTCGGTGTTCGGCAATTATAAAAATACAAGTATCTTCGCTTTAAATTCTAATATGCCCATGGTTCCTACGAGGTTCTGGCAACACGGTCGTGCAAACCGTTTTATGTTATGATGAAAAATAACGTAATTATGGTAAATTTTCCAGCCGCAATTGTCCCCAATCTGGTCCTCGCGGCTTGGATGTGCCGTAGGGTGTTGCGTCATACTTGTAAACGCTTAATTTTTCGTAATAGTGTGGAAAATAACTTGTTTACTTTACTTAAAATTTACAAAATTTACTCTACTGTTATGCATAAACAAATAATAAACTCACTCATTGGCGACTGTAGCGTGTGAGAGGAGGGAGTGTGGCTTGAGCTTAGGAGTCAGTCACACGTTGTGTCCCGTTGGTGGTGGGAGTATCGTCGGTGGGCTCTTACAAATCTCCCTGGAATATCGCATTTTGCTACATCTACTGCACAATGGCGAAAATATCGAATAAAGTGAAAGCTCGAAAAGCAAAAGCCTTACATGCTCACCGTGTAAAGATGCTGCGGAGAGCCGCTTTGCAGCAAACCCGCATTCTGACTAGTGAAGATACAGGCGGCCTCCCTGTGAAGAGTGTGCAGCAGCCCGCTACCTCACAACGCACACTGCGAGCCTGTCTCCTGGGGGCCTCCACACCACCTACTGCTCCTGATGTTGCTCCTACTGCTCCTGTTGTTGCATCTACTTCTGCTGCATCTACCGCTGCTGATGTTGCATCTACCGCTGCTGATGCTGCATCTACCGCTGCTGATGCTGCATCTACCGCTGCTGATGTTGCATCTACCGCTGCTGACGTTGCATCTACCGCTGCTGATGGTGCATCTACCGCTGCTGATGGTGCATCTACCGCTGCTGATGTTGCAGGGCCCAGCACCTCACATGATGTTTTGGCAACTCCCAACATTTCCACAAAGCGTAAAGGTACCCAGAGCAATGCTACAAAACGATTGAAGTTATTTCGAGAAGAAAAAAATGACAGTGGCAGTGACAGTGACAGTGAAGTGAAATGTAGAATAAATCCACGTGAGTCAGTGCTAATGGTGACAGATAAGAGTCTTGAAAATTACCTAGATGAGAATTATGTATGCGAGTATTGTTCAAACGCTACACAACGTCATACAATTACAATTGTGCAACATGATGTGAAAGTGACAAGACGCTGTAGTGATTGTAATATTTCAGTTACTCGACAATTGATGGGAAATCATGAAAATTTGATATCATTAGTGTACAGCAACATGCTAAGTGGCCACGGATATACATATTACAGTAATATGTGTTCTATAAATAGAATGAAATTTGTATCATATTATATGTATAACAGGATCCAGAGGAAGATAAGAGATGCTGCTAATGAGAGATGGGTGCATTTGCAAGAAAACACTCGCCGTATCATATTCGATCATTACAGAGAACATTTAGATAGACACCCCATTGGTGGCATCCTGGACATTGATGTATCCATTGATGCATCTTGGGATACAAAAGGCCACCATTCACAAATTGGCACTGCTTTTGTTGTGGAAATATTCACAGGGATGGTTGTGGACTACAATACTTTCTGTAAAAACTGCAAGCAGTGCCAAATGTTCAAGAGTAGAAAAGAAAATGGAAAAATAACCCAGGCTGAGTTTGACAGTGAGATGGGTAAACATTTACCGGATTGTGACAAGAACTACGATGGCACTGCCAAAAATATGGAAGCGGATGCCGCGGTATTGATGTGGGGTCGATCTCAAGACAACAAACTTAGGTATACGACCTTGGTGGGTGATGGTGACTCTTCGACATTCAATAAAGTTTGTGGAATGAACAATGATGCTGGACCATATGAAGATGTAAAAGTGGAAAAGGCTGAGGGTATAAATCACTTCAGCAAGATACTTGCAACACAGCTTGCCAGACAAATGTCACTGGTCAAAGGAAAAGGAAAACTAACTAACAGCACCATTCAGAAGTTGGCAGGCTACTTCACAAAAGCCATCAGGGATAACATCGACACGGACTGGAAACAAATGAGGGATGCCTGCCTGTCCGGACTGTTCCATTCAACGTCAACTGATGAAAAACCAGTGCACGTGCACTGCCCTAAAGGCAAAGACTCTTGGTGTTTCTACCAGCAAGACATTGCAAATGGAAAGACCCCACGATCACACAAGAAGATGATTTTACATTTCCAGCTACCGAGTATTCACATGAGTGAAGTCTTGAAGATCTACCACAGTCTTGTATCGGAGGAAAACATGACCAAGTGTCTGAAGGGGAAGACTCAAAATCCAAACGAGTCTCTACACCATCGAGTTTGGAAACTCTCCCCCAAAGACAAATATGTTGGTCGTGTAATGGTTGACTTCGCCATGGCAGTAACAGCCGTCAACTACAACGCTGGGTATATGATGGGATCTCTGACCAACCTCCTTGGTCTACCACAAAATGACATGACCGACTGGTACTTCAACATGAAGGACAGGAGGATGAAGGACCCAACAAGATGCACCAAGCCAAGAAAGGCCCCAGAGGAAGCTGACCCCAGCTATGGGGCAGATGCCGACTAGTGCCATTGCAGTGCCACCTTGAGGACCCATATTTCAGACTAATTATATTAGGTTAGTATGTTTTAGTGTTATATTTTGATGAACTATTTTGTTATATGTTATTGTTATATTGTTATTATGATATTTTGATATTATTTTATATACATGATAAATAAATGTAAATATAAAACTGTTGGCAATTTTTTTATTTTTTTCCCTAATTGTTTTTCTTTTGTTATCAGGCGATCTTCATGGAACTTACAGACCTTACTGAAGGCATGCCTATCTGCAAGGGTGCCAATTTTGAATGAAATTAGTCGATGTCAACCTCAGCCACAGGTGGCTGAACTTTGACCTTTGTTTATATAGGTAAATAATTAACAACTACATGGGAGTTCAAACTCTTCATTTATTATTAAATTTACATGAAACTTGCATATTATATGTAGAGTTTATGCCTCTAAAAACTGAGGCATTTTTGTTTTCCTAAGTCCATTTACTGATTTTATAAATATTTATAAACATTATTTTGTTGCGTAATTTTTGGGGGAACTTTGAAAATTTGTATTATTGTACTAAATACATTTGGGATAGAAATCTTGCTACAAAACCTTTATTATATGGTAATGTGATAGCTGAGTGTCATAGAAATGATTTCGGTTGACACTTGTGTTTGTTCAAGTTCTTTGAAAAAATGTTGAAAAATCCTCTAAAATACGTTTTTTTCTCCCTCTCTATTTAGGCTGCGATGCTGAAACTTGGACCAGTTGCAGCCCCTTTTACATATAAAACGTCAATAAATTTTGATTGCACTAGAACAACTTTTAATAATCCCTTCTCTTGCCCCCTTAAAGTGAAGCTTGTATTTCTATCATTCTTGTGACATATAAAACTCTTACGTTTATTAACGAATCTGCGTGAAATAAACATTGTTCAGAGATGAATATTGCAGCTTTCGAGCTCGATGAGCAATGAAAACTGCCAATTTTATACAACTACAAATATCTTCGGTTTTACTTAAAATATTTGTCTGGTAGAGGTTTTACATATAGGTACCATTTCTGTCTTTCTTCTGGCTAATAAATAATTTTGGTTTAATAAGTTATCAAGATGTTTTCAACAATATTATTTCGGCTTTCGTATACAGTATTCCAACATGGGCAACCCTTCTGGAAACGTGATACATATCTTGAGATGATTTCGGGGCTTTAGTGTCCCCGCGGCCCGGTCCTCGACCAGGCCTCCACCCACAGGAAGCAGCCCGTGACAGCTGACTAACTCCCAGGTACCTATTTACTGCTAGGTAACAGGGGCATTCAGGGTGAAAGAAACTTTGCCCATTTGTTTCTGCCTCGTGCGGGAATCGAACCCGCGCCACAGAATTACGAGTCCTGATCGCTATCCACCAGGCTACGAGGCCCTCGTATCCTCGTAGCCATGGGTTGACCGATCCCATAGTTGGCTCTGATTCTAACAGGGGTTCAACCACAACCATTTCCACCAGCAAACAACCTCTTCTCTTGCCGGTTCCTCCTTCCAGGGCCCAGCTTAGCGTCAATATGACGTCACCACCAGTATATATATAGCCCTTGCATGGGCTGTGGTGAATCAGAAGCCTCTTGGTGCTCTCTGTTTGGTTGTGTCTTCCCTTAACTTGATGCTCTTACGAACGGGTGACAGAAGACATTCGGAGCACATTCTATATGTTGTAGTGTCACATTCACATTTTTGTCAATAATGCAAATTCACTTGTATATATTTTCTTTTTGGTCGTGTTAAGCCAAGAGGTTAAGGGGTTTTTGTCATTACAGTAATTGTTTATTAATTTGTGTAAAATTAGTCATTTTTTGTTTTATTAGATGCTTAAAGTTTTTATTTTTTTTTTTTTTTTTTTTTGCCCGCAATTGGTTAAGGACTCTGCAGCTTTATTTATATATACATATATAATATAAATTATTTATATTCAGTTTATATGTAAGTTTTCAGTTGCATATATGCCTGGGGACCATTCAGGCTTGTTTGCATATACAGTATATGTATAATATATATAATATATTATTATATATACTATATATAATAGTTATATATATTATATAATATATATATATATATATATATATATATAATATATAAAATATTTATATATATAATATTATATATATATATATATATATAATATATAAAATATTTATACATATAATATAATATTTATATATTTATGAATATATAATTTTTTAAAAAGGGAGTGAGTACCACCTCTGGCTGAAGAGGGGGACCCTTAGCCTCGGAGGACACCACACATAACGCATTAGAGGGAATGTTTGGGTCCCCTCCAATACAGTTTGTGTGCTTTTCACCTACCACCCCCTTCCTTCTTTTTTTATATTTATATAATATTTATATATAATATAATATATATATATATATATATATATATATATATATTATAATATATAATATAATATTTATTTATATATATTATAATATTTATATATATTATATATATATATATATATAAATATTAATTTATATAATTTGTATATATATTATAACATAATTGTATAATATTTTATATATATATATATATATAATATATGAAATTTAAAATATATATGTTATACCTAGTAGCCAGAACATCATACTCGGCCTACTATGCAAGGCCCGATTTGCCTAATAAGCCAAGTTTTCATGAATATATATTTTTCAATGTATTTTTCTTATGAAATGATAAAGCTATCTATTTCATTATGTATGAGTTAATTTGTTTAAATTTGAGTTAAAACTAACGCAGATATATGACCAAACTTAACCAACCCTACCTAACAAAATTAAGTAAATAATTTATGTTCTTAATATAATATAATAATAATAATTTAAATAAACTAATTTGGAACAATTTATTGAAAATAAAGAAAATCACTTGGCCTATTAGGCAAATCAGACCTTGCATAGTAGGCCGAGAAGTGTTCTGGCTACTAGGTACGACATATATATATATATACTGTATATTTATGTATATTATATAATATAATATTTATATATAATATAATATGTGATATTTATATACAGGTATATATATATACAGATTATATTTTATATATTTGATATATGAATATTATATAATATTTATATAATATAATATAATGTAATATTTATATAATATAATATATATAATTATATCATTATATATTATATATAAAATATAATATATATATTATAATATTTATATATAATTTTTATATAATAATTAAATGGAAAGGCATACCACCTCTGGCTGGTAGAAGGGAACCCTTATCCTCGAAGGAAAGCACACATGATGCATTAGAAGGGATGTTTAGGTCCCCTCCAATACAGTTTCTATGTTCTTTTTCCTTACCACCCTCTTCCTTTTGTTTTGTGCTTTTTTTACATACCTATATGTTACAAGATATACATTTAATTAATACAATAAGTGTTTAAAGATTATAGATCTCTTGGAGCTCCTCTGCTTCCAAACAGGAACTGAGGAGGCATTACGCGTTTTCCCTCTGGATCGCCACACTGAGGCGCTGAAACAAGAAACTAGCAGCCCTTGGATCTGTCTATTAGCCTGGCACCCAATTTGAGAAATCCCAAGAAGTTCCTACCCCAGGGACCATGCGTCTTAGACACTATGTGAACAAAGATGTATTGACCTTCCAATCGCCTGTACTTGATTGATTTTACTGTTTCCCTGCGTATATATATAATTTTTTGCTGTTACGCATCAGTGCTGCCCGATATCTAATGACGTCATCAGTGACATGTTTATAAACAAAGCGACACCTGTCACTTTCCCAACTTCACGGCATCACAAATACATACTCTAATGTTTAACCAGTGAATAAATCAAACTATGCATGTGTGTGTGGTTATTTTTCCTTTGTTATAATATTTACTTAATTTCTGTCGTTATTAAAGCAAGTTGGCTGCTGGGCAAGGAGAGGAGTGTTGCCACACGTCAACTGAGACTGTGCAGGTGTTAAGCCGTAACCTGTAGACGTGGGTTGTACTGTGTTTTCTAGTACGAATGAGCCAATATGATAAGTGACTAGACTGTGTAAATGTGTTTGGTGATATCATGAAAGTCATCAAGCATAATATTTGTAACGTTTTAATGCAGTAGGGGGAGAACGTAAGTATTGTATTGTGTACTCGTGGCCAGAGAGTGAAGTTCCCTTCGTGCAAACTGCACGAATTGCGAAAAAGTGTGTAGTTCACTCTGGTAACATTATCTCTAGCTTTTTCATTTATATATCTTCATTTTTCTAAAGTAAATTTAACCCAAACCTCTGCCACTTAATTCCATTAAGCACACTAACAAGGATAGCAGTCTATCTGAAACACTTGTAAATCAACCACTTTTAGTTCTCTGGTCAACCTGATGCAGTTTTCTGGTAGGTCTTTGATAAAACATTTGTGTATCAAACGATATAATATAAGGATAATCATGTATTTTCTGCCCTATCAATATATCTTAGTAATGATATTTTGCACAAAGCATACCAATAAACATCATATGCATATGGGGGCATAACAATACACATCACAACTATAAAATCAACAACACTACCATGCAGCAGATTGATGATGAAAAAGACCTGAGAGTCAGGAAAGTTGGTAGTGATGCAACTGTACAAATTTTTTATTGTGACCCCCATCTGGACTACTGTATCCAAGCATGGAGAACTTGTCTTCAAAAGGAAATATCTGCTTTGGAGACAGTACAATATAAAGCAGCAAAAATCATCCCCAGAAGTCAATTCTCATACCAGTAAAGACTGAGGGGCCATAGGACTATCAACACTAAATAGTTGATAGGTATAATTGAATAGTTGTATGCAGGCCCAGGGACATAAATAATTACTGTATCAGGAGAAAGTGCTATGCTGTAAATGCAATAAATGCCAAAACCCTGCTATAGTTTAAAATCTGAATACAGTACTGTAGATAAACATCAGGTGGATGTTTGCTTTAGGATATAAGAATACAAATGTAAGTAAAGTACTGTGTATGTTAGAGTACTTGAAACTTTTATAATAACGTATTTTCCTTTAACACAGCATGAGAACGTGGAATTTTCTACATATTTGGTCATGGATGCTGTCTCACACTCATTATTCTCGGGTCAGCTTAGTGGATGACCTCAAACATCAAGCAACATCAAACTTACAGCAGGTACTTTCTCATATTAAAGAACTGAAGATTCAAAACATGTACAGTATCTTTGATATGACTTAGAACATGAACTATATCCATATCTTTGATATGGCTTAGAACATGTGCTATATATTTCTTTAAGCATATAATTTGGAGCAAATTATTAAATAATTTGTTTTCATTTCATTAATATACTGTATTCAGAAGACAAATGTAGATACAAGTATAGTAGTTTTAAGTTGGTCACATTGGGTGACTGCAGTGACCAGCAGTGTGTGATGCAATCAGCACTTGTGCCCTGTGATGGGCTGCAGACCGGTCTGCCTAAATTCTTTCGTATGAAAGGTAACGGCAAAGAATGTCTTGTGCCACTGTTCAAGTTGTTTGTGAAATTCAAGTTTGAAAGAGTAAAGCTGGTAATTGTGATTGCATATGCTCTATATGATAATATAAATGATTAGGAAAAAGGTATTTTGGGGCAGCTTAAAGAAATGAAATTCATACAATACAGAGGTGTTAAATAATAACTGTGATTCTATTTGAATGGTATAGTAGAAGGTTCTGAAAAAGGCATAATGAATATACTGCACTGTATAAAACATTGCAAATATTGAGTAATATCATCCTAAAATTCCTAGAGCTTTGTTTGCAATCTTTTATTTAAAAAAGTTCATTGCTGTATTAAAGTACTGTATGTGTTCTATATAGCACATTCAGTATTTGTGTGTAAGATGTTGATGGCAACAGGTTGTCTTGATGCTGTTCAAGAAATATGCTACTTAACTGCTTTTCATAAGCTTTTTTATTCTTTGCATTTCCAGAAAGAGGATGAAAATATGGGACATAGCAACTCACCTGAAATAAGTAAGTTTACAGGAAACAGACTTAACCAGTAAGCTTGTGTAACACTTGGGCTGTGCATACATGCTTTTTGTAGATTGTATTGAACACCACCTTATAATATGTACAAGACTCTCAATACTAGCACTATTGACCATAGCCATATGCAAATTATAGCAGTTATCAATAAGATTAATTAATACTAGAGGGGTTTGTTTTTCAATGACTTACAAAATTCTTATATACAGCTACTTTGTAGAACTCTTCCTAAAAAGTGTTTTCAAAATACTAAGTACATACTATACATATCATATATCAGTTCAGTACATCAATTCAGTACATACATATCAATTCTGATTGAAATTACCTACTTAAAATTATCTGCTAGATTAAGGACCTGCCCGAAACGCTGTGCGTACTAGTGGCTTTACAAGAATGTAAATACTGTACTATCCAATGTATTCTCACAATCCCAATGTACCTTCTTGTATATATATAAATAAATAAATAAATAAATACAACATTTCTAGTTTAAAATAGTTGCTTTATATGTACCCTATTTCTTTGATAAACAGTAGTTTTTAAGAGTGACAATTAGCAGACCTGGTACATTTAATGTTTGATAGCAGGTGATATTTGAGGGTTGTGATTTTTAGTTTGTATCATAGTAAACTGGCTTGAGTTAGACTTACTACTGTTTCCCTTCCCTGTCATGAAGGGGAATAAGTCACTTAAGCCTGGTGGGTGATGTGAAGCCTGAGTTGACTCTTAATGCTTTGGCTATGGGAGCATCTGAGAGTTTCTCATAAATGTGTTTCACTTCTCAACACCCTATTTATATAGGGCTTTTGTTTGTGATTATATCAAACATTTTCTTGAAGCTTACTGTAGTTTTAATTATAAAAAAAATGTTTTGCCTGATGCAGGTGGAGAGCATTTTAAAGATTATGTTCAGAGAGCCAAGAATCTTTCAGTTTCAGGATCTTTCAGCTAGTATCATTCCATGCTTTCCTCCTCTCAGGGAAGGGGGAGCATTTGAAACAAGTACTGTACCCTTAATGTTTGCCTTAATGAGTGGTAAAATGAAAGGAGACTATCATGCAGTAAGCATTTTATTGTGGTGTGAATAGTTATCATATATACAGTAATATTGTACTGTATTTAGAAATATGCTTGTCAGGCTGGGAGTTTGTGCTGTTAGAGTAGGCAATACTGTATAAACATCAGAGGTCCACGGTTGTTCAACACCCTCCCAGCGAGCATAAGAAATATTGCCAGAACAACCGTGGACATCTTCAAGAGGAAACTAGATTTATTCCTCCAAGGAGTGCCGGACCAACCGGGCTGTGGTGGGTATGTGGGCCTGCGGGCCGCTCCAAGCAACAGCCTAGTGGACCAAACTCTCACAAGTCAAGCCTGGCCTCGGGCCTGGCATGGGGAGTAGAAGAACTCCCAGAACCCCATCAACCAGGTATCATCCAGGTAATGTGTTGTTATTCATACAGTACTGCCCTTCCCTAGGATGCAACTCACAACAGTTGACCAACTCCCGGGTACCTATTTACTGCTAGGTGAACAGGTACATTAGATGAAAGGAAACGTACCCAACCATATCTGTCTTGCCCAGGATTCAAACTCAGGCTTCCTGCTTGCAAGTCATGAATGAGCCCAACTGTACTACCAAGATCTGTTACGTTTTCAGAACCAACAGTATGCGAAATGCCTATGTATGATTTGGCCAGATCCTCCTTTATTGTTGCTGTGTGCCTGATTTGCACAAGTGTCTGATACTAGTGAAAATTATGCAAATACTATATAAATAAAACATTCATAGTGTCATATTTGTAACTTTTTCAGGATTTGGGAAACGCCATGTGCTGATCATTCTGTTATTCCTGGGGTTTGCTGGTGTTTACGCCATGCGCGTTAACTTATCTGTTGCCATTGTTGCAATGGTAAAACCTCATTCCAATGGCCTGGAGCAAGTTATTAGAATTGATGATACATGTCCAGTACCTGCATACCAGAAAAGAAAGGCAGTGACTGCAGAAATTGTAAGTACAGAACCTGTATATTATGTAATTATCCAAGCACCAACTCACCATCTAATTTTAAGTACTTTCCCTGTATCTAGGTGGAATGAAGTAATGCTTCGCAGGCCCACTGCCTGAAACACAACTGGTTGAATTTTGTTTTCATCATCAGTATATATATAAATTTTCTGTGGGAAGTCCCTTCAACTCCCTGGAGCTATTGGGCTAATATGTGATGCATTAGACCAGGGCTTTAGTTAATGGAATTCAGCCTACTGGGGATCATTAGCCAGAACCTGGCCCCCCTCAGAAAGGTACAGGGAAGCAATGGCCCAGGAAAACCCCCCCTGAAGTTGGGGCTTTTCTTATCTGCCATCGACCAGGGTTTGGCATCCAGAAAGGTAGGCATAACAAAACAGATCCCACATGGTAAGAAAATGCAACTGAAAACTGATCAGAGAAGCTAGCAAACATCACATAATGCCGCCGCGCCGCTCATCCGTGCAGCCGCAAGCGAAGGCGAGACTGCAGCCGCAGCAATGACTCCAGAGGGAGAGACTAGGAAGTGGTCTGAGAGTCCCACACTAAACACAGCCAAGTCCAAACCTGAGACGGAACCTGATGAGACTTCCTACAGTTCACCAGGAGCCTGAACCTGGCGAGCTGGGAACCGACACCAGCCAGTTGTCGAGGTAGGCCAGAACCCTGGTCAATGGCAGACATGGAGCACATGGGGGTTTCCATAGGCCATGGCGCTTCGTGCCTCTCTGAGGGGGGGCCCAGTTTCTGGCTCGTGGTCCCCAGTAGGCAAGAACTCTAATCGACTCATGCCATGGTCTAATATATAAATATCACCCAGAAAATGGAGTTTCATTACATTCAATGCTGTTTTTTCCCACAAAAATGTACAAATTATACTACAGTATGTGGCCCCTCCTACTGAAAAGTTTGACCCCTGCTCTAGGCCAGCAATTTACCTTCTAAGGGTGCAACCCCAGCAGTTGACTAACCCCCAGGTACCTACTTGCTGCAAGGGAAAAGAAGGCATCAGGTGTAAGGAAATGTGCACAGATATTCAATTGATCAATCAATGGGAATCTAAGTCAGGACTACTGTATTTAGTTGTGAACCATCTACACTTACCACTGCATTACAGATCACTTGCATCAATGAAGGTTTCAGTAACAGTAGCAGCAAATGCAAGCAGAAATATTCTGTGATGAATTTGAGCAGAAATTAGGTAATTAAAAGTGGAAAATGGTGTTCCCAAGTCTTATGTTATTGTAATACTGTACAAAGTAAGGAGGCCACCACATTTGTTTTTATTGAGCTCTCTCTCTGTGGCTCCCTGAAGCTATCGATCCGAGATGGTTTCCTCCTACAGAATCACGTCTCATACAAGTCCTGTTTGGCCTACTGGGGACCAGTCAGAACATGGCTTCCATTCCCCCTTGGCACAGAGAGTAGGGAATTGTTATGATCACCCATACCAAGAAACCATCTAGAAAGTAAGCAAAGCAATACAGGTAACTGAAAGGTTCACAGAAAATGAAGCACCAAAACTGTCAAATGACTTCTCAAACATTCATTCAAAACAATTAGTTGACTTGAAACTACAGTACTTTGAACCTCCTAGTGCAAATGACTACCAGCAGGTACCACCCAAAATGTCCAGCCTTCCTCTTTGGCTAGAAGCCAATCCAGTCGTGGTTGTTAGACCAGTTGGTCCTTCCCAAGTCACCTCTGCATGGCGAGTTCCACTTTTTTCTCAGGTAAATGCTGGCCATCCTTTGGACATTGTTATGGCATTTCCTGTTGGCAGTCATTTCCACTAGAGGGTTCGAGCTAGTTTTAACTGAGCCAATTGTTTTGAATGAATCATTTGCAGAGTTGTTTGTCTGTTTCAGTGCTTAATTTTCTGTGAACCTTGCAGTTGTATGTATTGCTTTGTTTATCTTCTGGATGCTTTCTAGGTGTTGGCGGTTGTAACAGTCCCTTGCTCTCAACACCTCTGTCAGGGGTCCAGGCTCTGGTTTTGGTCCATGGTAGACCAAACTGGACTCATATGACTAATGTGACTCAGTAGTGGGAAACCATCTCAACGAAATAGTTTCAGGGAGCCACCGAGGCTCTACTAGAAAAAGGCATTACGAAAGGCAAAAAGAAAAGTTTTCTTTCATTATCTGACAAGCAATCTCCTTTCATTTTATTGTCTGGTAATTAGCTCTTTCAATTTTTTATAGAAAGGAGAATTTGACTGGGATGAAAAAACTCAAGGAATGATTCTTGGGAGCTTCTTTTATGGGTACCTCTTGACCAACTACCTTGGTGGGCGACTGGCTGAGAGATTGGGAGGACGACTCATCTTTGGTGCTGGAGTAACACTCACTGGTCTTCTCACAGTTGTCTCACCAATGGCAGCCAGACATTCCTCTACTGCATTTGTTATCATAAGAATTCTGGAAGGGATGACTGAGGTAAATAATTAATTAATTTGTGTTCTGGGCAATACCTGTATATTTTTGTGGAGATCATAAAATTGGTCCCTGCTTCACCATATATGGGCATGAATGTTCTATGTCTGTTTTAGTGATTTTTCTTCCCATGCCTTGTATAATATGATAAATTCTTTGCCTGACCAGCCAAACACATTATCTTTCACATCATTTCTCAACTAATCTTTATGTTCATGGAAGTTTGATGGGAGCCTCCGGGGCTCGCCCAGAAAATGGCGTATCATTACATTTAACACTTTTTTTTTTAAGGATAAAAGTACACAGAAGTAGGTTTAAATGTAGGTAGCTGTGTTCAACAGTTCTCAGAGCAGTTATCTTTGTGAAATGAATAATAATATTACAAAGTTATCATTAATAGGTAACACGTAAGTCAACAGAAAGTCTTATTTGTTTATAAGATTTCCTGGCATTCAGTGGCAAGATATTTAAAATATACCAGTATACAGTGGAACCTCAACTTATAAATGCCCCTACTTACAAATTGTTTGAGTAATGACCCCAATTTTGTTGGAAAATTCGACTCGACTTATGACCTTTACGTCGACTTGCAACTTTATTGATACACCCATGGGTCAACCGAGCGCGTGATTCCTGGTGGCATGGGCGACCCAGTCTCAGTTTACCAGAGCCGCCCGCTTAGTGACGATCGCGTTTGAATTTTTTGTAAAGAATTTCATTGTTTTTGTGCTTTTTTGTTTTTTTGAACATAAAAGTAATTATTATTTATCATGCCATTGGTCCCAAGAAAGTCAGTGGAAAGGTTCAACCTAAGAAAATACAGTAGAACCTCTATTAACGAGTTTAATCCGTTCTGGCACCGAGCTCGTTACCTGGAAAACTCGTCTTTGGAAACAAATTTCCCCATTTAAAATAAAGGAAATAAATTTAATCCGTTCCACTCCCAAAAACATCCATACTTGTATGACTTTTTTTATGTAAATATAATACTGCACATGTAAATATAAATGTTTTGTTGTAGTGTTTTAATATTTACTTTACCTTATGAAGAGTAGTTGCTGGCTTGAGGGAGACGATGGAGAGGTGGGAAGGAGGAGAGGGGTTATGGTGTGGAAGGAGAATTCACCTCTGAGTCAGGCGGACTCTCTCTCCTTGGGAATTTCACCCAAATTTCATTTCAAATGTCACACAAGGATGCGTTAGACCAGCACCAAATAAAAAAACTACGTTGATTACACTCGTTGTGTCAACAATATAATAGTCTTACCACGAAGATACAATACAATGCCGTTTTCTCAAATAGGCAATGTGGTTATTAAAGAAAACGGAAATTTCATGGCAAACATGTATACAATCCCCAAGTCGATCGGATAAGTATTGGATTTTATAGAAATATTTGCTCAAATGATGCTTGAGCGCGGTGTTTGGGTGCATTCAAGAGAAAAAAAGTGTGTTACGTTCAAGCGACATATACCTGCAAAAGTGATAACACTTTCATAAAGTGTTATCACAAAGTGATAAATTAATTAAACATTTTCACACACTGGGTTGTCACTGCTTTATCAGGGCAGCTTTTCCAAGAATGCATTCACCTTTTCAAACATTCCAAACACTTCCCTGATCTCAGTGGAAGAGGCAGCATCCTCCCTTACCTCCTCATTCCCTTACTAATGGTGTAAATTGTTGATGAGGACCTGCCATACTTCCTTGTGAGATCAATCACACAGACACCACACTCATGCTTTGCTATAATTTCCTTCTTGAAATCCATAATAATTGTGTCTTTCTTCCTCTTGAAAACACTATCTTTAGCAAGCAGCTTCTTTGGAGACATCGTGTGTTACAAATTGTAGTCGCAAAACCACTAAAAACCCAAAGAAAAGCTCAAATAAATCCAGAGGGATGCTTGTCGTGTGAGATACAACAACAACACTGGCGTCGGAGGCGTCCGAGAATTTGCGAGAACCCGCGAGACGCTAGGAAGCGCCATGTGGTTTCACTCGTTAATAGAGGCGAGCTCGTCAATAGAGACAAATTTGCTGCGAGTGGCTTGCTCGTTACTGGAAAAACTCGTTAATAGAGCCACTCGTTAATAGAGGTTCCACTGTAGTTGTGAGTAGAGAATATCCCTTCCTCATTAAGAAAATGTGTGAAGTGTGGGAAGAACTGCAAAGTTTTATTGAAAAAACTCACCCAGATAAAGCTGTAGCAGGCCATTTCATTGACCTTTTAAAGGACAATGTGATGTCTTGCTAACACTAACACACAAGTGTTAAAATATAGGGAAAGACAAGTGTCTTTAGACAGATTCTTAGCGAGACAAACAAGCAATGAGCCACAGCCAGGTCCTAGTGGTATGCCTGCAAAAAGTAGGAGAGAGTGAGTACCCCAGAGAAGTCATCACTGCCTGATGTTATAATGGAAGGAGACTCACCTTCCAAATAGTAACACTTCTCATGCATTCCCCCCCCCCCTCCTCACCATCTTCTATACGCCAATAAGTCATCAATTAAGGTAAGCTATAACTTGTATATAGTATAGTACAAAATATGTACAGTACAGTATGTGTATTATGTACAAAATGTATTTTGAAGTTAATATTTTTGGGAGTGTGGAATGGATTAATTCAATTTACATTATTTCTTATGGGAAATTTGATTTTGTGTTACGACCTATCTCTGGGAATGGATTAAATTCATAAATGGAGGTACGTACCACTGTATATATATTGTAGATGTCTTGCAAAATAACTTTCCAACGCTTTATAATTCCTGTAACTGAGGTTGCCAAGCTGCACAGCTATAGAACATCATCATTGAATTCTGAATTTAACTACTGTAATTTACAAACATGCTGTTGCTTCACTCAAGGGTGTGACCTTCCCAGCCATGAATGTGATGATGTCGTACTGGATACCTCCTCAGGAGCGTGCTCGCTCATTAGCTCGTATTGCTGGAGGTATGTAACTTCTCTTTCTTTTGGTTATTGATGTCTATGAATTTTTTAATTGATATCGAAAAGACTTGTCCTTTGATAGGGTGAAGAATGGCCCTTTGATAGGGAGAAATCTGGTTCTTTTAGGGAGAACACTGGTCCCTTGATATAAATAACAAAAATGGGTGACATTCTAAATATGTATACTGTCTCCGTATTTATTAGAGAATAATTTGGTATTTTACCTACACCTGAACAAATTTATGTAGGTGATAAAGAGGACAATTTGAGTTATTTTGTGGTTACCAGCAAGGAAGCTATTAAACATAAAACCTTGTAGTCCAAACAAGTCTCCAGGACCAAATGAAATCTTTGCCAGTGTCCTCAAAGAATGTAAAAATTAACTCGATGAATCCTTGACTTGTCGTGATTACTGAACCCAGGTTCATCCCGAACAAAATGATTACACAACTGTAACTCCCTTGCCTCAGGAGCAGTTACTTCTACCATGTAATTCTCTACACTAAAACCCTTGAGGCGTACTACTAGGTTTATACAGGAACTTCACGAAAGAACATATGAAAGGTGATTAAAGACCGTTGGGTTTTTCCAGTTTAATTACATAAATATACTCTGATAATAATTAACCCTTAATCTACTTTCTCTGGTTAAATTAGCTTCTCATACACATAACCCCACTGTACCTTTCCAGTCACCACCTGAACTCGTAACCTCCACCTGAGTCCCTAATACCGAATCATCACTACAACGTTCCACACCTGGTTAGTCTCCCATCCAATATTCACACACTGCGTACTTGACTTGGTCAACAAGATCACATCGGGTCCCCACATTTGATCTGTTTCACTCCCCCGCTGCCACAGACGGAGATAAGGAGAACTTGCTAGAACCACTCTTGCCACGAGACTGCCCTCCAGCTGGTCCTAGCCTCAACCATTGCATATTGCATCCCAAGTAGGGTATAATCCGATTATATGTAAAATCTCCTTGTTTCCAGGAACATAAGAGGGTTACCCTTTATCTTATTGGCTGGTACATTCATTTGAGTGGGCAACAGTTGTCTTAATCCCTTTGACTTTACCTCGATGTGTGGCCAGTCTGAATACTTAACATGTTCTTTCAACCATCATTTGTTAAGTGTTGTAGTGCTTGATTCACTAGTAAATATTAACTCCTAACTTGTGGATTACAATAGACTTTAATGTTTAATATATCATTAGATTCAAGCAGAGTACAGTATCTGTACTGAAATCATTAACTGTTGTAAATGTGGTGCCAATCTTGAAGAAGGGAAATAGATCACTTGCATCAAACTACTGGTCAATTAACTTAATGGCTATTGTGGGAAAATTACTTAAAAAATGATAAATTATTAAATTAAATTAAAATTTAATTTAATTAAATAAATTAAATTAAATAATAAATTATTATCAATTATTATTGGTTATAAATATATTATAATTCGTATACATACATCTTGAAAAGCATAGATTAATGAAGGAGTCACAATTTAGCTTTACTAAATACTGCTTGTACAGTATTTGACAAATTTGCTTTCTTTGCTTTGTGGCATTTTGAGGCAGTTAGTAGTAGAAAGGAGTAATTCATTGTACCTTAATTTTAGCAAAGTTTCAGTGGGGAGCCCCTACGGCTCCCTGGAGCTATCGAGCTAATATATGACACCTTAGATCTTATTATTCATCAAATCATAATAATTATTAAATATTTATCTAATTGTTTTTAAACATTTCAGGATGTCAAATTGGAACTGTGGTGACACTGTCAATAAGTGGATGGCTCACACAAACAGAGTGGGGATGGCCATCAGTCTTTATTATATTTGGACTGTATGGACTAGTGTGGGGATTCTTTTGGTTCATGTATGCCTATGACTCTCCAGATCTCCATCCCACAATCACCACTTCCGAAAAGCTCTATATTAAGCATGGTACTGGAGATCACAGAAAAAATGAGGTGAGGCTGTCTGCTGAGCAACAGGGGCCCATCAGCTGATACCCAAGTCTGAGCCTTATGGGCCATCCCAGACTTATTTACACACACCAGGCTCTAGATGACTTATTTCCCCCTCCATGGCAAGTTACTTTACAAATGGTCTAAGGAAGAGAGACAGTAGAAAATCTTGCTTGATCCACCACTGACATCCCTCACTATTAGATAAAATAATGTATTATTAATGCAGTACTGTACACTCACCGGAATGGCCTTTGCAAAGTTGAGGTGGACTGCCAGGGGTGTTAAGTCATTTTGGCTTGTGGGGGTGGCTGTGCTCTTTCCTTAGTTTTGCCTCTTTCTTTTCTTTTTCTTTTTTCCATTAGCCCTATGTTTCCTTTTTGTTGGGCACTAGTACTTATGGATTCTGTTTGTTAGTGCCTTGGCTTTCCAATGGTAGGATGTGATTTGGCTTGGGATTGCTAATAGTCATGGTTTTCTTAAGTTCCTGGTTTCTGGTCTCTGTGGTTGTATCAGGAGGCCCTGTCTGCTGGCAGCATTCTGTCTGTTTTTGGCATGGTCATTTCAGCCTTTGTGCCTTGTTTTTCTCCTTGGGGTTCCCTTCCTTGGGTTGCTTTCCTACCTGTGGCAGGTGATGGCCACCATGTTGATTTGCATTTTCCCATGGTTGGTGCAGTTCTCCTGGGATTATCATGTAATTGTTGCTGCACTACTTACTGTTCTGGCTATAAGAGCTGGTTTACACAGGTTTCTCCATCACCTTCACTCTGGAACTTCATTTCCAGGCTCTTTTGCATTTCTTTGGGTGGCCGAATCATTGCTGCCAGGGCATGCGTGGCTTTTATAATCTCTGGCCGTATTTCCTAATGTTAACACTTCTTTCTTTCAGCTCCATAGGTTGGTCCAGTCCTGTCTTCTGAGGATGTAATGGCTAGTTAGTAGAGCAATGCAGTAATTGGGTTTCCTTGATTTTCAAATGATTGTTTTCAAGGTTTTCTGAGTGTATAGATATGTTCTTTGTCTTATAGTGAGAAATCACTTGGTGGAGGAATAAATTGCATTTTCCACTCTCTCTCTTCTCTAACTGCATAACAACACCATTTGCCAAGTTACTTGCCATGGTCGGGAAATAGATCAACTACAGCCTGGAGTGTGTAGTGCCTCATGAAGCAATTAAGGGACTGGCTCAGATGCAAGCATTTCATTACATTCACTGCCTTGTTTTATTTATACTGTAGTTTCTAAGATTCAAGACTGTAAAATGCTATAATATTTTTTATGTTTATATAACAGTAATTTATATATAGATACTGAATAACTATAAAATATATATTATATATTAATTATAGGAGTTGATGGTTTCATAACATGGTTTTCAGTGCTTTTCTTTTGTATATAAAATTTATTTAATTCATTTATTTTGAATGATCAACTATATATATCTGTGTGCAGAAATAGTTATCACATGTACAATATGACAATCTCGATACCTCTTGAGAAACTCAACTTTATCTTTTTATTCTAACAACCATCTTGTGCTACTCGTTGACTAAATATTCATATTCAGTTCGCCCATAGGATTCTAAACACTAATGTTACATTCACATGTATACAGTATATTGCTTTGTAAAATTAAATGTTTTTGTACTTATAGTATCCTGTCACAGTAGCTTACATAAGTAGGCTCCTTAGCTTAAGAAAGATTGAAAATTAGGGTGACACTGTCATAGATGCTCATGTCATAACTCAAAGCCATGTTCCTCAATGTGTAGGAGGTAGGTAATGGACCAATGATCACCATATCATCAGGGGCCTCCCAGAAACTGTTAGTACCATTCTTGCATGCTGTACCAGACACATTCAACGAACATTTTTGCATGTCATAGAGCAAATTTGGGCCACTTTCAGGAATTGTTAATAACTATCTCTGTCTTGCATGCCCTGTTTTGTCTTTTTTTTCACCCCAGATGGAGAGGTTCAGAAAATCTTTGCTTTTGCAAGTATTCTAATGTCACCTGTTGAGTAATTAATGTATGGGTTACACGGTGAGATCATACAAAATAATTTGTGGTGTTGACACGGTTAACCCTTACACTGCTCAGGGGTCCTGGGGACATTTACACCCCTGTGCGCAAGAAAAAAAAAATTCAAATTTTTTTTTTCGTCTTCTAAACATGTTAATTTGTGTCCCCTGAGTACGGGAAAAATAAAAAAAAAATCGTAGGTGACATATTTTGGGCGCAATTGACCGAGGAAGTCTGGCAAAAAGTGGGCGTTGACAGAGCGGTCGTCAGACCCGGTCAGCGTCACCCGTGCTGACAGGTGGGAGTTGCCACAAAGATATTACCTAATTGTTTCAATGTCTCCGATTGATTTTTTCTTAGTTTTTTTGCAGTAATATTATTCAATAGTGTGTATTGTAATATATTTATATAATAAAAGTGGTGAATAATTGCTATACTCAAAAGTATGATGAGCATATTAGTGATTCAATTATTATGTTTATAAAACAATAAACAAATAGTTTTGCTTCTATTACACTCTATACACAGGTTATATATAAGTATCTGCATGTTTTGGTCACCATAACGAACAACTAAGTTGGTATTGAGAGTCGGAAAGCAACGAGGAGTTACCGCCACACACCAGCCAGCCACTCGCTGCCACTCCCTCAACACACGCACTAAACTTTCTTCCCCATCAATACCATTTGTGGTGTTATTACACTATATACAGACGTTATATATAAGTGTTTATATTTTTTGTTCACCACAACTGTACAGCTAAGCTGATATAGTTAGTTCAGGCACTAAGAGTCGTCGCTATATACAGATGGCGGCTGGCGGCTCCCTCCCTCATTCAAGGTCACACGCACTAAACTTTCTCCCCCAACAATACTGTTTGCAGTGTTATTTCCCTATATACACATATTATATATAAGTATCTACATGTTTATGCACCGGAACTGTACACCTAAGCTTATAGTGCGCCCAAAGAGCATAGTGGCCACCCTCTAAACAGCTAGACAAATCGTGCAGACGACGTCACCTCCGTCACCCATATGGCTCCTCCCAGCATAATCCTTTTGCTGTTATTACACTAATACACACATTATATATAAGTATCTACATTTGTGTTCACCATAGAGAACCACTGACCTGGTATGGTGAATGCAAACAATAACAGGTAGCCACAGTCAGTAAACGATGCTGTCTCCCTCCGTCTCTCAGCATCACTCCTCCCACAGCGCTAATTATTACAACAATCCTGCTATTATCACAACCCTGGTTATTTATATCACAGTCATGGGTCATCTGTAATATTGTCATCGCTAAATAATAACAAATATATATTTATTTTGACATTTTTCGGCGATGCTGTGGTCACAAGCTGAACAGCAATGCTGTTCGCTCATGCTGCGTGCGCCAGCCTTGGTTGCTCCTACAGTACTGTGCCTCTCACACCTGAGAATATTGCCCACGATTTTTTTTTAAAATGGCGTCTGTTTACAAGAGCCCTGAGGAAGCTACTGTGAACCCCATGTAGCTGCGGGCATTTGAATCGGGCCTGGCACTCTATGGCGTATATATACGCCATGCGCACGGTGGGACATGTTACTCAGTGCGTATATATACGCCATGCGCAGCTTAAGGGTTAATGAAGATTGGCTGATTGAAATGGGTGAGATCAGGATATAGTTGATATATTCAAAATCATTTCTACTGTGCAAGTGTAGTGAAGACTGTAACAAGCTAGGAAGAGACAGGACATGGATTCAAAAGGTGGTATAATGAGATGCAAGAGGTTAAAGAACTACAAAAATAATACCCAACTTGTGCAATATTGCAATAGAAAATTTTGTATGTTTCCCAAATAAGAGTCCAGAGATGATTATTGCTCTTTGGCATCCTTACCTGTCGACTACCTGCTGAAGATTCCAGGAATCAAATGTCCTTCAGTGTTATCACTACATACTTGTTATTCATTACCATTATTGTTATTTGAACAAATCCACAAGGGCCTCAATGAGGCTTCAAACCTATGTGCTGAATGTTCCCAGATGCGCTCTAGTCAACTATACCACCACATACACATCTGCTCCAACCCTCATCGAGGCCCTTGTCGATTTGTTCATTTAATATATCACGTTATTCTGATTTCTGTGTGTATTATTGTTTATCACTATTTAATATCCATCAGTGCTATCACATTAATATACATTAGTGTTATCACAGTTTGGCTTTTAGTAATGAAGGAGAAGCATATTTGTCATTCTTAATATTTTGGTCAATACTATACTGTACTTGGATGTTCAGCAATATGTCACACTATTATAATTTTATTTTATTGCATGCTTTTCATTTACTATAACAAGAGGCTGGATGTGCCATGGAAATCCATTTTGACATCGACCCCATTCTTGGTGGTGATAGCAGCTCACGTTGGTCAAAACTGGGGTTTCTACTGCATACTGACAGAGCTGCCCACGTACCTCAAAAATATCCAACATTTTGATATGAAGCAGGTGTGTGTGTATATTAATGTACTGGTGTGTGACCCTTTTTTTCTAAGTTATTATACCTTCTATCTTGAGATTATCTTGAGATGATTTCAGGGCTTAGCGTCCCTGCGGCCCGGTCCTCGACCAGGACTCCTTTTTGTTACACATCCCCAGGAAGCAGCTTGTAGCAGCTGTTTAACTCCCAGGTACCTATTTACTACTAGGTGAACAGGAGCATTAGGGTGAAAGAAACTGCCCATTTCTTTCCGTCTCCGTCGGGGAGCGAACCCGGAACCTCAGGACTACGAATCCCGAGCGCTGTCCACTCAGCCGTCAGGCCCCTACATTTCTGTGTGTATTATTGTTATCACTATTTAATACCCATCAGTGCTATCACATTAATATACATTAGTGTTATCACAGTTTAGCATTTAGTTATCACAGTTATTAGTGTTATCACAAAAAATGTTCAGGTGAACATTTTTTGAAACTTTAGTTTTTCAGTGTTGGGCTTTTCAAGCCCAACACTTTTCAAAGCCTAACAGTGTTCCACACTGAACACTGGCAGCACCCCAGTGTTTACACAGTACAGTAATGTAATACTGTATTATTCAATGTGTAAAGCAAATACTGTAGTGCTTTAATATAGTATTGCCAGGGGGATTGCTGTGGGACATTACCAGTATGCTCATTTTTATATGGGGCTATTAAGAAGAGTAAATATTGTAAGTACAGTAACTATATGTAAATAATACAAATGCCCATTTAGAGTTGCTAATGGTATGTGGAGTAATGAGTAAAATGTGAGAAATGCAGAATAAATGTGTTGGATGCCCTAAAACATTTTGGAAAAATGCAATTTGTCATTTTAATTTTGCCTATTTTGAGTGCCTGACTCGTAATATGTTCACAGTATCATTTTCTGTCTTCCAATATTGGGAGAAGAAAAATCTTTCTTCAGGTATTATTCAAAAGTGTGTAATTCTGTTACCTACTCCGTGCTAACATCTTCAAGTAGAAACTGTAAAGGATGCAGCCAATCTCCAAACTTGATGTATGCAAAATCTTTAAATGGGTCACAGAAAACAAACTTGATTTTCTATAAAACACGTTTCAGCTTCTCCATAATGGAACAAAAAATAAAAACTAGAACCATCTACAAAATACTGTATAGTCAAACCACACTATAAAAGAAAAAAATGAATGTAAAATAATCTGAAAGTAATCATATCAGTAAACTTTATTGCTAAAGAACACTGTAGTGTCACATCTATAAGAAAAATGATAGGCTCAATAACAACCACCTTTTAAAAAAAGGATATGCCAAACCATTGATGATATTTTCAAGACGACAGTACTATCTAGGGATAGAATATTGTTTCACAATAACTTTCCCATTGAGAGCTGGAGGAGTTGCTGACATGGAGAATGTGCAGAGAACATTTACAGCTTGAAGCCATTAAAAAGAAACTCTTAAATTATTTGGACCACTTAAAATAATTCAAATTTTCTCCCTGGAGTGCAGGCAAGAGAGAGAAATCATAAGGTACAGCTGCAAAATACTGTAATAAGATAAGTTGGCTCCAAATCTGCATACTTAAATCATTCCCAATGAGACCAAAAGCATGGCAGAATGTGAAAAAAATAGCTTCACTGAAAAGTATGAGAGCATTAAGTATTTTTAAGAGACAATTCTCTAAATAATAAGGACCCAGAGCTTTTCAACTAACTAACCTCTTTTGGCATTCTTGAGGAAACTTGATAAACACCTCCACAGTATACTTGAATCAACTGGTCTGTGATTCCTACATCAGTTTTCTTGCAGTGGCATCCAACAGCTCGGTCAGCCTGACTGACTGGTCAGAGACTGGGTTGAAATAACATTGATACTAAAAAGCACTTCAAAGTAACCACACAGTCACTAATAAGTAAGCCTCTCTTTCTGTTTCATGCATCCAGCTCTCCAGATTTGCAGTTTACATATGTAATTTTAATATTACAGAATATACTGTATATATATATATATAATCTAAGGATAAAAGTTTTAACCAAACTGTTGAATGATGTATATTGTTTCTTCAGAATGGCATATTGTCAGCAATGCCATACTTGGTAATGTGGCTCTTTAGCTTGGTATATTCCACCTACATGGACCATCTCCTTGAAAAAGGGATTCTCTCTACCAAGCAAATTCGACAACTTTCTACAGTTATTGGTAAGACTTTGCATGGGTTCATGTATATCTTAGTGAAGCACTCCTAGATTGCTCAGAACCCAACCAACACTAGTTCACTAATACAGTATACAGCAAAATAAAAGTCTAATATGCACAGTATGTATCCAAGTATACATGCTTTGAATGTGGTGATTATATCAGTTTTTTTCCATCTGTCTACTGGTGTAATTTTGACTTATCTAATGCTTCTAGTCTCCTCATAGCTTTTTGTTTTAAGTCTGGAAGCATTTTAATAGCATATCTTTGCAAACTTTTTAGTTTATTGGTGTGGTTTTTAAGACAGTGGCAACATACAACAGCTGCATATTCTAACACAATTAAAAATAGAGAAAATTGGAAAATGTCATGGGTCTTCAATTATTTAATTGTTTTGCATTTGGAAATTTAATGTGTGTCAATCTGTGTATTACTAGTACTGGAGTCTCATGCACCACTTGTCATATGAAGAATAGTAAAAATACTGAAGAATAATTATTTTCTCTTTCAGCAACTTACATTCCCATGATATTGTTGCTACTTATTCCCTGGGCTGGTTGTGATGGTCATCTGGCTGTTGTATTAATTTGTATTGCTGTTGGAACCACTGGAGCTTCATTCTGTGGAATGCACTGTGCATTCCAGGTGAGTTAGTTAATGTTTTTTCTGGGGGGAGCCCCTACGGCTCCCCGGAGCTATCCATGGCTGATATGGATACCCTAACTATTTTGCATCAGTCGATGTGGGTGGAGTTCTAGGCCTACCAGGGACCACGAGCCAGAACCTGGCCCCCCTCAGAGAGGCACGGGGAGCAATGGCCCATAGAATTGCACATGTGATTTGGAGCATTCTATATCTGCCATCGACCGGGACAGGCACCCAGAAAGGTAAGCGCCACAAAACAAACCCCTATTCTGGTTAACAACAAAAATCGACAAACGAGTGGACAGAACTCCCCCAGGAAAATGAACTAACAAACATGACGTCACACGAGCCGCGCCGCATGTCTGTGCAACTCCCCCCTCCCCGGGAGGGGGAAGGGGGAGCCCCAGACCCCTGCGCCGGCGATCCCCGCCTCAGTTCCTTGGCTGATGGGATAATGCACGGTCGTGTGGCTCCAGCTCCGGTCTTGTCTCAGTACTGTGACTTGTTTGCAGTGCTGCTCTTACGGTGGTCGTGTGAGCTGGGAGTAGTATTCTCAGGTACTCGGGCTGCATGTGCTTAGGGTCACCTTCCCTGAGTGCCCTGTAAGTACCGCCCTTGGGGCTTGGGGTTGCCTTCCACAAGTCACCTTGGGTCTACCTCTGTTGGCTTTTTGCTGCTTGGCGTTTAGCTGCCCCGAGTGTTTGGGGGTTTTACTCCCTTGTTTACCTTGGGGTAAGTGGTAGTTATAGCACTGGTGGGGCACAGGGTACTGCGTAGCTAGTTTTCACCTATGACAGCGGCCGGCTCTGTTCCCTCTGGGTACGTTGTCCACTTGTGTGGTTTTTCTTTTATATTTGTTTTTGCCTGGTAGGGGGGTCTGCCTTGTGTTCTCCCCCCCCCCCTTATATTAGGTTCGTTTGTGTGGTGGCACCCCCTGCTTCGCCCTCACAGGTGGACACGTCCCGTGGGTTCAGCTTTAGCAGTTTGCTTGGTAGTTTGGGGCGCCGGTTAACAGTGCCCTGCCTGGGATAACCCTTAGCAGACCTAGTCTAGGGGCCCTGGGAAACCCCCCGGGGGCTCTCGGGTCCGATAGTGGAGACCCTTGCGTCCCCTCTTGCTTTGTGCGAGTTGAGGGTTGCTCTGTCCCTTTGTCTCAGGGTGACTCTCCTTGATTTTTGTCTCCGTCATGCTGCCTGTTGGGTCGGTGACACATTCGACCCTGAGTCCTGCGAGCTTTGTTGCTTGTTCGTGACTCCATTCACCCAGTCTGCTGATGAATTCCCGTGGGTGCAGGCAGCTTGCACGTTGCAAGGTAGGTTGTTGCAACGTGCTCGGGTTTGTCGCTTCCCCGGACGCCCCGATGCTGCCCCGCTTTGTGTAGGGACCTAGACTTGGGGGTTTTGGTTGTTTCGGCCTTGGTTCCTTCCACTCCTTCCTTGTTTTATCCCCTCCTGCTTCCGGCCCCTATGCGTCTGCAGGCTTCGGGGTCGGGGCGGGGTTAGAGGTTCTGAGACTTGGGCAGTTTCTGGGGTTGCCCCGTCTGGGGTAGCTGCGGAGGCATTCGAGTCTGTTCCTCCGGCTGATGCTCCGGGGTCTGACCAGTGGGCCCCTTCTCTTCCAGCTCTCTCGGCTGCCCCGGCTTTTTCTTGTGGGGCCGGGGCTTTGGAGGTCGACTCGGCCCCGGGGCCTGGTGTAGAGGCTCCTGAGGTTGGGGAGGAGCGGCCTTGGGGGCCTGGGGCTCCATTGTGCCCCGCCTGGATTTCTGTCCTTCTGAGCAGGGCTTACTGTTGCGAGGAGTGGGGTTTTCTTTCCCCCCTCTCCGTACGATTTGGGCTTGGGTTCTGCTCCTCCCCAGGTTCGGTTCCGTGTCCCTGTGGTTTTTCGGTTCCGTCTTCCAGAGGTTTTTAGCTACCCGCATCTCTTCGCCTGCGGTGCAGTTGGCCTATGCGGCTTACCTCCTGCGTGTCCCGGAGTTTGCCTCCATACTGGTTCCTTGTAGCCGTTTGGGCTCCTTGTAGCTGTTTGCGCTCCCTTGTCGCCGGTTGGGCTGCTTGTCGCCGGTTGGGCTGCTTGTCGCCGGTTGGGCTCCTTGTCGCGGGTTGGGCTCCTTGTCGCGGGTTGGGCTCCTTGTCGCCGGTTGGGCTCCCTGTTGCCGGTTGGGCTCCTTGTAGCCAATTGGGCTGCTTGTTGCTGGTTGGGCTCCTTGTCGCCGGTTGAGCTGCTTGTCGCCGGTTGGGCTGCTTGTCGCCGGTTGGGCTACTTCTCGCCTTGTTGGGCTATTTCTCGCCTTGTTGGGCTACTTCTCGCCTTGTTGGGCCACTTCTCGCCTTGTTGGGCTACTTCTCGCATTGTTGGGCTACTTCTCGCATTGTTAGGCTACTTCTCGCCTTGTTGGGCTCCTTCTAGCCTTGTTGGGCTACTTTTCTTTCACGTCTTGCGCATGCGCCGTGGGAGTTTGTTTTGGTTCCGGGCGGTGTGCACATGTGTTGTTCTGCATCCATTTCTCTCGGGGGGCTTCGCCTCTCGCTCTTTTCTTAATCCTATCCGTGCCCCGTTGCTTTGGGGGTGTTCTGGAGTGCTGCTGTGGGGAAGTCACGAGGTTTTTCCCTGCATTCTAGGGTGGGGAGCCTCCTTCACTGCTCCCCTCCTCCTCTCCAGCATGGGCGCCCTGGCCGTCTCCGGCCTCATAGGCTTGCGTCATGGCCCTTCAGCGCCTATGTTCTGCAGGTGAGTTGGTGCGGTTTGGCGTCTCCTTCGTCCTGAAACTGTTTTTGTTTTTGGAAGTAGGATTGGGTGTACATACATACTTGAGAACGTGGACCGTACCACCCGAGGTGCCTACTGCAGGGCTATTAGCCCATACAGGGCAGCTCTTGTTCTCTCCACCTGATTCCTTCCTTGGTTCACGGGTGTCTGCGGGTGGCCTCTTGGTCCTTCTGAGATGGCTCCTGCCTGTACTCCTCCTGCCCCTCTCCTATGCTTGTCTAACCTTGCTTGAGTTCGGGGCCCCGCCTCCACCTTGTTCCACGGTGCAACGGTGGGGGTGCCTGTTCGGTGGTACATTTTCCTGTGTCGAGGGTGTTTTGTGCTCGTCTCCTTGTGCTTGCAGGATTGGGTTCTGGCTCTTTGGTTCTGCCTCTCCCCTGTCGTTCGCCTGTCGAGCGGATTCTGTGCTTCATGGGCGCTCTCGTTTCTGCTCTTGGGGCTGTGTATGGGGACAGTCCAAGTTGGGCTGCCTCATGTGTTTCTTCAATTGCCTGTTCCACTGCCCATGTTTCTTCTACCGTCCCTGTGGCTCAGTTGGGTGCTCGGTTTCCGCCTGTGTCCCCTTGTTTGCCACTCGTGTACGATTTATCTATCTTCTCTGTCGCTTCCTCGGGGAGTGTGGTGACGTTTTGATGCGGTTTTGGTACCGCAACTGTGTGTCGGGGATGGTTGTGGCATTTTGTTCGGCCCTTTCGTGCTCCTTCTGGGGCCCTCCTTCCTTGCCGGTCTTGCTGTGCCGGGCCTGGTTTTTCCATGTTCCTTGGATTCTCTGTCCTGTCCTTGTTGTCCTCGCCTCGTTGTGCTGGCTGGGGATGAGCTTGGGGTCTTCGTCTCGCCCCTCGCCTATCCTCCAGTTTCGGGTCAACCTAGTGGGCTCCCTTCCTTAGTGTTTTTCACGGCTGCCCTGGGGTTTTTCTTGACGCTGGGGCTTTGGGGGGTCAGCTCGGCCCCAGGGCCTGCAGGGTGGCTTCCCGGGGCTGGGAGGGGCTAACGTGAGGGGCCTCAGGGCCCGTTGGTCCCCGCCGGGGTATTTCTACCCCTCTGGGCGGGGCTTGCAGTTTTGGGGTGTGGGGTTTTTTCCGTTCCCCCTTTCTGCGAGTGCTTTTCTACGGTCTTCGCCCCTTTTTTCCAGGACGGGCCTTCTCCGTCATGTCCCCCTCTTCTTGGGGTTTCTGCATGACTTTTGGTCTCGGGTGCGACGGGGTTTTTGTGCCTTCGTCCTTTGTGTTTGCTTCTTTTTGTTCTCGAAGGTTCGGGATGGTTTTGCTCCTTCCCATTTTCTGGTACATCTGTCGTCATTCGGTTGAGCTTCCCTCCGGTCCTTTCTAGGGCTTGTGGGTCCTATTCCAGGCAGCTTCTGGGTGTTTGGCCTTGTTCTTTTGTTCATATCTCTTCTCTTAGCGCTGTCTCGGTGCTACTCATTTTCCTGGGGGCGATTTTGCTCCTCTTAATGAGTCTTTTCGCTCCTGCCCTTCTGCAGGATGTTGGTGCGGGGCGGCTCCTTATGCGGGTTCCTTCCCTGTCGGCTGCACTTGTGGCGGTGGACTTGCACGCTTGTGGCGTTTTGGTTTTGGTCCTGCATTTTCTTTTCCCTCCTGGGGCTGTCATAGGGTTGGCTTGTGGAGGATGTAGAGGCACTTGGGGCCGTTCCTGGGTCTGGCACCTTGGTTTCTGCTGCTAGCTTTCGGTGTCGATGTTCCTTCTGCGCCATTTCGCAGGCTGTCGTGCGTTGTTTCGCCTCCGGCCTGCTCTTGCACTGCCTGTGCCGTTCTGGTCTTTGGACCGGGTGCTCTCCTGTTTTTCTTCTCCTTGGTTGTTGTGGCTCCTTCGGTTCAGGTTGCTTTGCCTCGGCTCTCTTTTTATGTTGGTGTTGGCCTCTGGGGGTCGTGTGGCAGAGCTTCATGCTCTTCTCAGGCGCAGTGGTTTTTGGCTTCTGTGGTCGTGGTCATAGGTCTCTTCGTCTGCAGCCGTTCTCCCTTTTCTGGCAAATGCTGTGCCTGCTGCTTTACGGAGGGGTCCTTGGGTTGTCTCGACTTCGTGTTGAGGTGTGGTTCACCGACCGCCTCCCAGGTATGTCCCTCGTTTTCTTAGGTAGTCTTTGGTGAAGTAGCTCCGGGGAGCCGTAGGGGCTCCCCCTAGAAAACCAGCGTTGAATGAAATGAAACGCCATTTTCTGGGTGAGTCCCGGAGGCTCCCCGGCACCCTCCCGCCCTCCGGTTGGCGTTTTTTTCGCGGTTTTGATATCCAGCCTCAGAACTGGGGCGGGGATTGCCGGCGTGGGGGTCTGGGGCTCCCCCTTCCCCCTCCCGGGGAGGGGGGAGTTGCACAGACATGTGACGCGGCTCGTGTGACGTCATGTTTGTTAGTTCATTTTCCTGGGGGAGTTCTGTCCACTCGTTTGTCGATTTTTGTTGTTAACCAGAATAGGGGTTTGTTTTGTGGCGCTTACCTTTCTGGGTGCCTGTCCCGGTCGATGGCAGATATAGAATGCTCCAAATCACATGTGCAATTCTATGGGCCATTGCTCCCCGTGCCTCTCTGAGGGGGGGCCAGGTTCTGGCTCGTGGTCCCCGGTAGGCCTAGAACTCCACCCACATCGACTGATGCAAAATAGTTAGGGTATCCATATCAGCCATGGATAGCTCCGGGGAGCCTCCGGGACTCACCCAGAAAATGGCGTTTCATTACATTCAACGCTGGTTTTTTATTAAAGTTAAATAATGTACAGTATTTTGAAATATAAATAAATGAAGGCAGAGTCTTAATGTACATATCCTCAAAAAAGTGGAGTGATACACAAGCATATAAGAATTGGACAGAATTGCAGCAAGCCTCTTGGCCCATGCTAGGTAGGTCCCATTTTCACATACACTTCACCTATCTTACCAATCTATTCTTGAAACCTCTTGGTCTCTAAAATGCTAGCTGGTAACCTAATCCTCTCATCCACACCCTTATTCCTAAATCGTTATGTCCCTATATCCATCCTGAAACAAAATTTCTCCAGTAAGATGAGGATGAGGTAGGAAGTGTAATGGTGGAAGTTGGGAGTATTGAGGTGGATGTGTTTAGGTTATGTGGTGAAACACATTTGTGGTACCGAGGGAGGGGTGTGTTGGCATGGTTTTAGAGAACAGGAAGTATTTGAGAGTCGAGAGAGTGTGTGGGGAAGTGGGTGAAGGGAGATGTGGATGGTTAAAGGGTGTATGGAAATGGGTCAGGTGTAAGGAGTGGGGAATAGGGGTGGGAAAGTGTGTGTGTGTATGGAAACTGAGGCAGAGAGGGATGTATGAAAGTGGAATAGGGTATGTGGGATTGAGGAAGGGCGAGTGTGGGTAGGGAGATGTTTGTTGGAGTTCGAGTAATTGAGCAGTGTGTGAGAACAGGAGAGTTGTGTAGGAATATTGAGAGGTGTGTGGGAGTGGACAGGGGGTTTTGTAACTAAATTTCAAAGGGACTGGGTGATAGGTGTATGATAGTGGGTGACAGTTGTATAGATATTAGGGGGTGAAGGTGGGAGAGAGGTTTTGCAAGAGTGGAAAATGGAAAAGGGTGTTTTGTGAGATGGAGGGCAGTACGTGTGTGAACCTGGCTTCTTGTGGTTTGAGTGGGTTTCAGAGACCTGGTACAATTCCCTAAGCCTTGGTAACCTCTGTGGTATAATTAGAGAGCTACTGAGTAGCCCACAAAAAAAAAAAGTTTCATTACATTCAGTGCTCGATATTTAGGTCCCTGAAACATAAAATTTATTATAATGATGAATGAAAAAATTGCTTGAGGAAATTCACTTTGCACGTAGTTTTCTTGGAATGTAACCAACATGCAGATTGAAGAACCACAATAATACACTTAGCCACTTCCATTCATCAAGTCTCCCAGAGCACTCTCATATCTTCAGTGTTGCATTAATCTACTACTAATATATATATTCCACAACTGAATTTGTCTTTTCCTAGGAGCTGGCACCTAACTTCTCAGGGACACTGACCGGCATATCGAACACCTTGGCTACGATTCCTGGGTTCCTAGCCCCTGCTGTGACAGGAGCCATCATCAACAACCAGGTACACCTTGTGTGACTTCTTTAGGTTGTATTTCAGCCCAAGGCACTTACAGTACTTGCCCTTATCTGTAAGAAAAAGGAGAATCTTCTTTAGTGACGACAGGATCAATATACAGTAATATAATGGAACGTGAACCAGCACTTTTATTTTTACGAATATTATTTACCTGTTGATCAGTAATAATGAGTTTCATTTTTGGAGACCCCTCCCCATCTCCTTAGTGACAACAGATGGGTCTCGGATGGTCAAGTGGTTATTATTGTTTAATGGCAGTGCTTTTTTTTTTTTAATATAGTCCAGAGATAATAAATCTAAGGAAAATGCATCAAAATATCAATATATAAACTAAATGAATTTTTTTTATATTTAATTTTTAGCAAACTCTGAATCAGTGGAAGAAAGTGTTCCAGTTGGTGTCTCTTGTGTATCTAGTTCTGTGCTCCCTCTATCTCATCTTCCTCTCAGTGGAGGTTCAGCCATGGAATGAAGGCAACACTGATAAACGGTAAGATCCCTTAATTGTACATTTATTCAACATTAAAATTCATTAATACTTTTATATATAAACATTTATCTTCAAGCTTTTTCCACCTGTTCCATAATCAAGCTTAAAAAAATATATATTGCCAATTGTGATACCAATAGTAAACTATTATCTTCTAGGTATGCTACCATGACAATAATTGCCTCGTGTGGCACTAACAAAACTTTTTTCCATGGAGTCGACAGGAGCCGACCCCTGTCGGCTCCCTGAAGCTATCTGAACTGATATGTTATATTAGTTTGGGGTCATCAGTCACAGAGTCCTTTGTCTATCGGGAACCATGAGCCAAAACCTGGCCCCCCTCAGAAAGGCACGGAGCAGTGGCCTAGGAGCACTTTACATTTAATGTCATAATTGCCATTGACCAGGGAAGGATCCAGAAAGGTAGGCGAATCAAAACAGACCACTGTCTGGTTACCCTGTGTAAGCTACATCCTAAAAGATCAAAATATCTCCCCTAGAAAGAAACCAACCAAGCGACACGTCATGCAACTAGCACTCCCGCTCGTTAGCACTAACCCCCCACCCCCCACAGGGGAGAGAGAGGGGGGAGCTGGCAGCCCACCACTCCAGTTCTTGAGCAGATTAGCAGTCGGACTTGACACCTCTGGCCTCATATTCCTGTTCTGGAGTTGTGCTGTGTGTGTGGTGTGGTGGTCAGGTGTCTTAGTGTACAGGAGCTGCATGTGCCCGGATAGGCTCAGAACTCCATGTGACTGATGACCCCAAACTAATAAAGCACATATCAGTTTGGTTAGCTTCAGGGAGCCTCTGGGGCTACCCATAGAAAAGGGCATTTCATTACATTTAGAGCTGGCCTTTTACAAATATTTGTTTCTGTCTGAATGTATACTACTGTACAGTACTTAAATGAGACCCATTTAAAATGCATACTGTATTTCCTCATTTTGTCTGGCCATTTTACCATTAGTCAAACTTTTACCACTGCAATGCCAATTAATCTTTTTAACTCATTTGTTCATTTTGCTCTAAATCTCTTACTGTAATAAAAAGTTCCCAACACAAAGTTGCTTCTCTGGCAATATGCATTAATTAAAGCAAAAACCCTAAAGGAAGCAAAGAAATTATAAATGCAATGCATGTAGGAAAGTGTTGAAAATTAAAGTACAGTATTTTTCTGATCTTTAAAGTGACTTACTGTATTTGAGTGCCATCATCTCCAGTGGCTTTGATGGAAGCAGGAAGTCTGCAGCTTGTCCCCCCCCCACCCCATTATTGCTAAGGATATTTTCCAGTGACTGCTAGGGGGGCCTAGATTTGCTTTAACATGCAATTTATTTCTTCTTTGGTAATATCTTTCATGTGTGGCTTTTGACATGCCTGAGGCCTACCATCACTTATCTGAGCACTGTTTTTTTATAGATTTTCAAAGGAGTGTAATAGAGCTATTTTGTTTTCTTTATTTCAGAAAACGACCATTAAAGGAAATTGTTGAGCTGAAATCGGTTTGAAGAAATTATTTATTTGAATGGTAATGTTTATATTCTATGTTAAACTATGGTAATGTTTATAGTCTTTGGCAATGTAGAATTTATTTATTTATTTATTTATTTATTTATTTATTATATTTATGGTGTTATGTTGACCACAGTAAAGTATTTGTGCCCAGAGATAAGCCAGATAATCCCTCTTTTAAAAATAAATGAATGAAATGCAAAGTTTAATGTAGCATAAATTTAGTATGGGAAGTGAAAGCATAATATTTCATGAATCATAAAACTTCAGTTGCTGACATAATTATTTTACTTTCTATGTTTGAGAAATAAATCTCAGGCTCTTAGTCACATGGTACTGTCTAATGATTATAGAATTTAGTTCTCTGCAAGTTGCAGACTTTATGAAGGAGCAAATATAGCTAGTGATCATAACTGTGCTGGATCCCTCAGTAGCTTCCCGGAGCTCTGGCACTGATATCTCAAAGTCTCCTTACCAGGATTCTGAGACTTTCTTGGCCTACTGAGAACCAGGACCAGAATATGGCTCCCTCAAAGAGGTGAGGGGCCAAATGCCAGGGGCCAAAGATTGACCCAAAGTTGTTAAGCATGTCACATAAACAGACCACTGCTATTTGAAGAAGGAATAGTCTAGAAAACAGGGTAAATGATAGTTGGGTAAACAATAGTTAATAATGGACAAACAACCGAGCTCCTCCAGTGGCCACCGGTTGGCAGTCCAAGTGCATACAGGCATTTTCGTTCTATGTTATGATTTGACTGCGTTTTGTACGTGGTTTTCGTTTTTGTATTTTCGTTTTTTCCATAGCACAGGAGCTGGAACTTATCTTCGTTAAACACCATATTATTTTCTGTAGTCCATAGAAACACCAGATTTACATCTGATTGGAGGTTTGCCATGTCCTTTATGTTGTCAACTCTCATAAAAATCCTAGTGTCATCTGCAAAGGATGCTACAGTACTATAGATTGTGTCGTTGTACTATAGATTGTGGCATAGATGAATAGACATACTGGCATGTGCAGTAAAATAGGAAAGGTTTCCGATGTGATATTCATCACTGTCTCTGCTAGTCTTTTTTTAGCTGGTGTATTAGGAATGAAATTTTACTTTGATAATGGAAGATTGGGACTCTGGTAAATTACTAGATACTCTCTTTTCTCAAAACAATATCTAGTGTTACTAGGCGAAATATACCTCTGTGTAATTGCAAGAATGGGTCCATGAAAATATTAATGCATTCATCAAATGTAATAATATGGGACAGTCTTCTGCCCTTGCTTCGCATATCATATTTCAATAACTACAGAGATCAGGATAGTGCCCCAGAATTTTGATTAATCAGGAAAGGTTATCATACGCTTTTTGTCCATCATAATGCCTCCCCATCTTCTTTTCAGCAGTTACTAGCTGGGCACTACAGAACAAGAGGCCTTTAACAGTTAGAATGTGGCTTGTTGGTCTCATCTTATCTTTATGCATATTTAATTGTTTAAATTTTGATATGGCATTTATTTCAAAAGGCAGCTAATTACTGTACATTTAATTGGGCACAGGATAAGCTGTGGTGATCATAACACAAGTATTTTGATAAGAAAATCTCATGCCTCAATAATGCATTTTGTTTAGTTAAGATAATGTTAAATTTTATACAATTTAATGTATTGACTGGCATAAATAAGGTACTATTTTATTTAAAATGTATTTATTACCCACATATCTGTTAACAATTTAAATACTTAATTATTTAAAGATTTCTGACTGCCCTCAGGAATTGGTAATTTTTGTTGTCTTAGTAATGCAAGATGTTACAGCTGTCAAGTATTCAGAGTATGATGTATGACACATAAGTAACAAATCAGTATCATGGCTGTGAGAAACAATTATAAAATTGCTCACTTGTCAGTATTTGTAGTCTCCATGGGTAATTTGCCATACAGAAGACAGTAACGGCATAATAGAATAGATTGCTCAACATGAACCATGACAAAATGAATTCCATAAGTAAATTAACTTGTACAGGTATATTAATAACTTCAATGAAAGAAGAGAGAGAGAGAGAGAGAGTGTAGATACAGACATTCATTGGAGTACAGAAGCAGGCAGATGTACAAAAAAAAACAGCTACAGTATAAAGAAACAAACATAAAAAGAGAGATGAAAGAGGTAAGCATTTTAATACTGAAGAGAGAATTTTATGAATTGTATTGCAATATATAATGATTCACAATGCATTCCAGCATTTTATTTTTCATTAGGCTCATCAAAACTTACATTGCTTCTTAACTTTTGATACATGTAAATTAGGGATTAAATAAATGTAGTGAACCTTTCTGACCAATCATTCAGTTGCTCCCTAAGATAAGCATCAGTTGTGGCTTATTCGTGGTTCGTGACAGGATTCACGAACTGTTGAGCAGGATGATATTTAACCACTGCACTGCTCAGAGCATCTTAAGGCACCCGACCAGGGGTGCGCAGAGCGCCATATGGCATTTTTAGGTATATGGAGCGATTCAAAACTCCCGTGACTACACGGGGCTCACATCATGTGTCTCGAGAATCCAGTAAATAGATGCCATCTTGAAAAAAAAATCATCAGCATCTGTACTGGCTTTGAGAGCCTTGGTACCGAGATAGTGACCAAGGCTGGCGCATGCAGGAGCAGCTCACAGCACCACTGTGCAGATAAGGGCCACAGCACCAGTTAGTAATGATAACTAAAATAGGTAACTAATTATTTTGCATTGATAGTGTCATATATGTTCCTGACTGTGATAAAGACTATGTACAACATTCAGATATCAGTGAACACAATGTTAGTTATGATATTCACAGCATGAGGTAAAGAGACACAGCACCCAGCCATTGTTTCCTGCATCTACACATCATGAAGCAACCTCACGTTCCTTCACAATATAACCTTGTGGAAATGGATTCATATTCAGGATTTTTGTGATAGGAATGTGGTAATAACAGCAGCTTTGTTGCTGGTCACAGGGAAATATGTAAAATATTGCATCATGGCTGCTGGCATCATCTGCTTGTGGCACATCATCTGCTGTGTTTTGATTTCATCACTATACCCACCAGAACTGCTTATTAGTTTGTTATGGTGCATATAAATGCTGACAGTGATATATAATGTGTGCACATATATAGCGTAATAACAGCAAGAACACTGGATGGTCTAAGAATATGATATGCGCGTCACTATATAGGGGCCCCATATTTTTTGAGAATAGTGATTTTCAACACATTTAACTATATAAATTCCACAAATTAGACACTATAGAATAATATTACTGCAAAAAAAAACAGAAAAGAAATAAATGAGATATTGAAATACGTACACTGGAACCTTGAGTGATGAGCGGCTCCAGTTACGAGCATTTCGAGTAAGGAGCAAGCCACTCTCAGAAAATATGTCTCGACTGACGAGCTTTCCCTCGATTAACGAGCATTCCCGCTGGTTCTCGGACACCTCGGACGACAGTTTTGTTGTTGTTTCACGAGACAAGTTTTCCACATGAGCTCGGTGCCGGAACGGATTAAACTCATTAATCGAGGCACCACTGTAATTATGAAAAATTATATTGGTGGCAACTGCTGCCCCATGGGGTGGCAGGGGTGAGTGTGTCTGGGCGCCTACTCACTCGGCGACCATAAATTGCTCAACTTCTCAGCTCCATCAAAGCTAAAGTACTGTATGTCACATACAATACAGTATTTTATTTTAGTTTCTTGTGATCAGAGACTGCATTTTAACAATATAAGAAGATAAAATAACTTGTTGGAAATAGAAGAATTTTGGCACACCATTGCAGTGTCATATTATAATGCGGTGCAGTGCAGTGGTTAAGCACTAGAGCCACTGGGATCTTTGAACATCCCTGTAAGGTCATATAAGGCACTGAAAAAAAAATGTAGTCATAAACAGTCTGGTATAGCCCAAAATATGTCAACGAGGTACATCTAGACTCAAAGCCATACTGAATCCTTATAGAAGTGAACACCAAGTGATGCTTCAGAAATGCTCATTTGCTAGCCTGGCCAAATCAGTTACCACCACCACCAGGTGGCAGCTCAAGATTAGATGGCAACACAAATAGAAATTTAATAAATTAGGAAGACATGTGGTATACTCTAGTGACTGGAGTGACCACAGAGGACTTGGAGAAGTTGGCTGTTGCCCTTTAGGCACACAAAAATAAAATGACAAAATATAAACAATATATAAATATTTATATTTATTCCTTCATGAGAATGGATACAGTACCTAGTAAAGATTTAGATGATGAGGTTAAAGCACTTTTCAAATTCAGAAAGACTAATGTTAGCTGGTTCCATTATATCATAGTCCAGCCTTAGGATTTGCCATATTAGACCTATAACTTAGAATGTAATACTTTCTTTAGACATCTACTAACACTAATTAAGATTAGATACAATTCTGTATTTCTTTTCAAATCTGCCAAAACACACACACAACAAAATTCCCCAAATTAAGATTTAATAAACCAGTAAGAATTTTAAGGATACAGTATTCCATTTCACATATACAGTGCTAAGCTCACTTATCCGGATTGTATGGGAAGGATTCCTCACCCGATAAGCCAGACATCCAGATAAGCAGGTATTTTCTATTTCTTGTACCACAACCAACATAATTCGATTTTCCACGCAGACACACTATAAATAAAAAATATAATTTAAAACAGAAACTTCAGCTTACCTAGTTATAATTCATCTTGTTGTCTGATACTGCAGATCTTGAAATGTGCAGTTCTTGAAAATTTACGTAACCTAATCTCCAGTTATCTGGATTTTTGTCCGAATATAGCAAAGTTTTGCCAGAAAATTACCTGGACAGAATTTTGGCAGGATAACCCAAATATCCAGTTCAGGGGTCTTCAGATGACCAACCTCATACAGTATTAAAAAGGCAAAAAGAAAAGATACTGTATTACAAAAGAAATATTATTTGGAGAATAGAGGTTTTTGAAATATTCCAAATAATAAACTCTTTGAAAGAGACAATTGTCAGTTTGACAAAAATGTAACTCGGTGGTCTCTTATAGACTAAGCCTTAAGACATTTAAATCTTTTGTCATTTTTGTATATGCTGTAATGTTTTCACAAGCATTAAAATTGCTTTAAGTAAATAAAAAAAAGCTTGTTAAGGTTGTACTTATAGAGCTATAATAAGGTTTAAGGAGAATTTAATGAGAAATTCTCATAGTAAAAAATACTATAGTGACATTAAAGGTATAATTAACAGATACTCTTCAGAATATCTGTATAGAACTTCTTTGACTCCTTCCTGGTAGCATAAGTGGTTATCTTCAATATATATGCTCATGCAGCCCACTAACCAAATATCTATACCTTTGGTGTATAGGCTGATTTTAGGGGTCATTAAACAAATGTCTTACATACTGGGAAACAGCTCAGATTAGTAAGAATATACTGTATATGTATATACTGTATATATATGGTTATGAATGGAGAAAACAAAGAATAAATTTCATTATCTGTAGATTTGTTCTGCTTTTGAATATGCTAGAGAATATGAATATACATATGGAAATATAAATATATTTTATTTATACAGCAATTTCATAACTGTATCATAATGTAGTATGAAAAAAAAGTAAATTTATCATTGTATGCCTAACTGTTAAATTATTAAAAATGTAAATATATACTGTATTAAAAATGTAAGTATATTAAGTTTTTTTTGTCATAATGTTACTAATGTCATTTTATCATAATCTATAGTTCATGTCAAAATGTGCAATATATATCATTTGTAGGTTCATTTTTTATTGTATGTGTGTGTATGGTTACAGTGTTAGAGAAACTACATGTAAGAATAGATTATACGACGTGTTGTAGTCATTAATGATATAAGACGGGTGTGACATCAGCATGAATACGTTGTAAAAAACATGATAAAATACTGCACGTGTAAAATATGAATAAGTGTTTCCTGGAGATTGAGATTGGAGCGAGTATATTATTGGGATAATCTACTCGCTACAGAAGATTATCCCAATAATATACTCGCTACAAAATAATCCATTTTGTTGGGGTGAGGGATGATAGTGTTATTGCTTTCTCATACACTACAGCGAGCAGTAATACTATAATTATTTGTTTGTATGAAATATCTGAAATATGTACATTGTCAAATATGCACACATTTTCAAAACTGTTCTCGTAACTAAGAAACTACCGTAACTTGTTACATTCCTCATAAGATAAGTAGGATTATGTGGGAAATCCTTGTTAGTATTTTAGTAGTTGGGCAGATGACATCAGCAGCCAGTATTTTGTATTTTTTTACCAGTCTTTCTATAATTAAGGTATTTTAATGAATGTTACTGTTACTTCAAAATAAATTTATCACAAGGAAAATCCCCCATATTTATTAACCTTAAATATTAAACTTTAAACTTAAAATTTTCTTTTATTTACCATCTTGGTTTATTTGAATATAAAACAAACTTGTCAGTTAAAAGAGAGTTCCAAAAAAGGTTTAACACACTAACTTAAAATAATAAGAGATAATGCAGGATCATTACACAAGCTTACATTGTCATCTGTCAAACCAGCTAAATGCCTGTTTTTTGTTTAAATAAAAAAAAACCATGGATCTTATGTACAAGAAAAACCTTTAATGTTTGTTACACACGTGTAGTATATTAAATTAAAAGGCAGTAAGACAGGCGAGCACTAGTGGAAGCTGAACATCAATTGAGTCAAAGTGACATACGGAAAAAGTTTTAGTTTCCTGTTCTGGTGGTCAATCTGCAAGTGGAGAGCCTTTAAGTTAGAGGTTGTTGAAACGAATTCCATCCACAACTTTAAGAAAACAAATATGATGAAAATGTAAGTGGTGAGAGACAATAAGTAGGTCAGGTGTAAATGGATAAGAGACGGGGCATAAAGAGCTAAATCTCCCTCCTCCATAGTCAATGATGGGTAGACACAGGTTTCAACACAGTAGTTTCAAAGCATATGACACAGAGTGCTGGGAAGACGGGACCCCACGAGCGTAGCTCTCATCCTGTAACTACACTTAGGTAATCACAGGTGTCCAGGCAGCGGGTGTACCAGGTTGGCCCAGGTTGGCTCAGGTTGGCTCAGGTTGACCTTCACCATGACCCTCCACAGACGACCTAAGACACTGCTCCCGCCCAACCCTCACCTTGTGGATAACTTGCCACAGTGAGGCATGTGTGGTACCGGGTTCTGATGGTACTGTCGGGTTCATTCTTGAAGCACAATCGAGAATCCCAGGCGGGAAGGTTGGGCACATTTCCTTTCACCTAATGCCTCTGTTCACCTAGCACTGACTAGGTACTCAGGAATTAATTAGCTTGTTGTGGGGTTGCATTTTGAGCAGGGGGTCAATAATTCGGCCTTAGGGGTGGGGGAACCTCTATAAAAGCCAAAACGTGTATGAATGCACTCTGGCTTCCTGTCCCCCAATACAGTGAATTATTATTCACTGTACATATAATAATATAAACATTATTATTATTATTATTATTATTATTATTATTATTATTATTATGTGTTTCCTAGGGCAGAAAACTTATTTTATTCACTAAATTGTATAAGGATAAATCGCTCCACATATCTAAAAATAATTTATGCATATTATAATATAATATGTAGGGGGAGGGGGGTCCGCGGTTGGGGGTAGATGTAATTCATGTAGATCTTTTTCCCTCGATTGTTTCAAGCGCGGGTTGGACAAGTATATGAGTGGGATTGGGTGGTTATAGATAGGAGCTGCCTCGTATGGGCCAATAGGCCTTCTGCAGTTACCTTTTTTCTTATGTTCTTATGTTCTTTGTAAGGTTTCAACATCATTATCATTTCCCACTTTACCGTAAATCTTTGTCATCTACAAATTTGATGTGGTTTGTAATGTTCTTATCTATGTCATTGATGAATATGACAAAAGGATTTGGCCCCAAGATGGACCCCTTGTGGTACCCCACTTACCACATTTCCCCAGTCAGATTCATTCACATTTAGCACGACTTTGTATTAAGTATAGTAGAATTTGTCAGGATCAACGCTTCCCTAAAGTGCAGAAATAATAAATAACCAAAGCACCGATTTAATTTATTACCATAATTTGTAATTGAATAGGCCCGAAACGCTGTGTGTACTAGTGGCTTTACAAGAATGTAAACACAATGCTATATACTCTCACAAATCCAATGTACCTTCTTGTATATATGAAAATAAATAAATAATAAATAGGTTTACTTTGCAGGGACTGCACCTACAGTCAGTCGGCTCCCACCAGAGAAAACGGTGGTAGTGAGGCGGTGAAGCAGCGACCACGCGGCCACCACCACCACCACCACGTCCTGTAGGACGCCCTCAGACGGTACTCCCCCAGACGGTACATGTAGGAGTCGCTAGCCAGGTAGCACCCAAGACTACTCTCAGTCAAACAACTTCAGTCATCAACGTCACAAACTGGACGTAGCATAGAGAAGTAGTCACCCGGAACAGACCCATCAGTACTATACGTGTAACGAATAAAGATAAGCTGGAAAGTGAAGAGACCAAGCAACTGCAGGCAGTATAGAGAAAAATAAACAAGACAAAATTTTACATGAGGAAATGCCAGAGCCATTTTCTGAGGTATGTCCTAACAAATTCAATACAATTTAATTAAAAGACACTTCAAAATAGGCTTTTGGGTGACCATGGCCCAAGTCTATTTCCTTGTTCTGCCCTACTGGACAGAAACATCTGAAATGTGGATCTCATACATTTGGCTTGGTTATTGACTCACAATCAGGGATCCCGGGTTCAATTCTGTGGCAGGAGTGAAAAGGTTGTACATTTCCTTTAACCTAATGTGTCTTCACCAAGCAGTAAATAGATACATGGGAATTAGACAACTATTGTGGGGTTGCATCTTTGGGGAGGGTTAGTGGTTCAAATTGGGGGAGACCTTGATATAAACCTAAAGGGTATGTATATACACAGGCTTCCTCTTCTTGATAGAATGATTTAAAAATTATCTATTGTTTTTGTAGGGCAATTAAAGTAGCAATGACTTAGCTGGTTCATACTTTTCTGTGCAGTTAAATCCTACTACAGCAAGTGGCTTTCACTGGATTTATCTTTATCAGGAGGCCAACAACTGGGAATTTTGGTGTTGCAGAGCCTTTTATGCATTATTTACTTACATAAAATCCTGCTTCCTGTTGTGGAGAAAAAATGGAAGTGGTGAGTCTGCTACTTGTATTGTACTAAGCCTAAACAAACATTATCTTCTCTAACTAAATTTAACTTAATCTAACAATGAATTGGTGCCCGAGGCCGAAGCGTAAAACAGATAACAATTTGTTCTGTGTATGATGCATTTGACCCATTGAGTTTTTATATCAGTTTGTATAATTTATAACAATGTACAATACTGTTGTACAGTGTTATAAATTGTGATATACTAAACAAGTTTAGCGCCATCCTTGCAACGTTGTTAGAGTCTGCAAAGCTATCCACTAACTGAATATGAGCCAGTTTACCTTTAACTCTCAGCCTATTAGCAACATTGTAATTACCTCACCTTTCCTGTTTAGGTTTGTTCTTACTTAAATATACTTAGTGTTACTGAGTGACATATGTTTATTTAGTCCATGTCTGGCATGTATCTGTTGCTAAACCAGTACAATAAAGTAATACTCTACAATACTATAATGTAAGATAGTTTGTTGAGAGGGTGGAATTGTCATAATTTTTAATGACAAATCATGGGAAGCACCGTACACCTTCTGTAGTTTAGTTGTATGAATTGGTGATTGTTGCTGGAAATGTTTGCTGGGCTGTATGGGTGCCAACTGCATTATTCTGGTTAATGTGAAATATATGATTAATTATTTTAAACAAATATTTCACTACATTACTCTCATGTTTTCTCTTGAGCTGTTACCTCCTCACCCAATGAAAATGCTTTCTCCTGATAGTTACCTAACCTTAAAACTGAAAATAGAAATCAGATTAAAGTTGACAGTAATTATTAAATCAAACAAATTAAAAATCTAAAGCTATTGGAATGGTCTTGAACTTTTGTGTATTATACGTCAAATTGTATTAATTATTTGTATTATTTCTATTGAAAAAAGATACCTTTTTAAAGTAAATTTAGCAAATTTCCAAGTACTTTACTATACAATACAATATTAGCTTAATTTTACATATCTCTTTCAGCACTTAGAGGCTCAGGCAAGCATTATTCTTCATCCTGGGTCACGATATTTGCGTATAGGGCGTCCTTCAGACTCTGTTCCTCACACTGTTCTCCATGCAATCGCTCGCAAAAGACGAAGTGGTGTTTCATCTTATTGCGATCCATTTCTGGTTCCTCAAGCCAAGTTGGTAAGTATGTTTACTTGTTCACTTCCTACAGTAATGTAATAATAGAGATCTGTTTCCTAATTTTCTCTCCTAATTCCTCTCTCAACCAGTTTAAGTTAAAAACGAAGCTATACCTAATAAATTCCCTGTAACCTACCTTACCCTTCTATTGTCAACCAATATCTGTTTTTCTTTAAAGAGCGCTGTTTGTCGACATAATTGTATTTGTGCTGCTTTTTCATCTATGTTTTCATTTCTTGTTTTCATTCTACTCATTATGCTCAATTAGTATTAAGCTTGTCATTTAAGTTTATCATGCCCGAAACGCTTTGCGTAATAGTGGCTTTAGGCATTGTATGTACTAGCTCTACCTATAAGTCAACCAATCCTTGTAAAAATTTATTGTATGTATGTACCGTACCTAAATAAATTTGTATTGTATTGTTGTATAATTTAATTTAATAAAGGTAAAAGTAAAATTTATTACCCAATCTATATTGGTACAGCAATTTGTAATTGCAGTACTGTATATTGCAATTATTAATATTGCCTAAAAGATTTAAAAAGAAATCAGTTATCAAAATTCAAATGCATTCAAGAATTTCCCTATTGTGACATGTGACTGGGCACAATGGGGAAAACAGGCCACAATGGTCATCAGTCACAGGAAAAGGACTCCTGTGACTGATGACCCCAAACTAACATAGTACATATCAGTTCTGATAGCTTCAGGAAGCCAATGGGGCTCCCCACAGAAAAACAGGTTGGTGTCTGAGCATTTCTTTACCTCTACAGTTATTGACCATTAAGGTGGCCTTATATTGTAAATCCGTTTATATTATATGGATGATGAAATACGATAACTGTTTACAGTACAGTACATCATTAATGATACTGAAATTAAAATAACTTCCAAATTAAAAGTATTTTATTTGGTTTAATTTATTTTTATTTATAAATGTATACTGTAGTTATTTTACATTTTAATTGCAGTGATTTGCTTAGAGAGTAAATTATAACTGCCCGAAATGCTGTGCGTGCTATTGGCTTTACAAGAATGTAAAAATATTTAATGCTATGTAGTCTCATAAACCCAATGTACCTTCTTGTATATAAATAAATAAATAAGGAGTGTATTGGTTAAACAAATTTAAGACATATATTGACAAACATTTTTCTAAAATTATAAATTACTTAATTGAAATAGATAATGTACTGTACATCAGATTATACAAGCACAGATTCAAAAGAATTAAAAGAATAAAGAAAGTGTTAAAAATATTGTACCATACATGGTCATCAGTCGTGCATCAACAGTATAGTCAAAGGGTCCTGAATCAATCTCACTGTTAACACACGGCTTGTGTAAGGGGATCTGAATATGACAGCATTTAGATTGCTTTTCAGCAAACCATCTCTTTGCAGGTATAATTCCAAAATGGTATCAAGTAAAGTTATCCAGCTAGGAATATCTTTTTACTTTTAACATGTTTATGTGTCCTGCAGGATGGAGATGGTATACAGGAGTTGGAAGAGTGCCGTCTGAAAGTTAGTCACATCCTACAGTCATCTCTGATGTCAGATGGGTCCCGACGCTTTGCTACGCCTCCCCAGCAGATTGCAGTCTATAATAAGCGCATACAGCCTGTCCAGGATGATGATGGAGAACCATCACCACCTTGGGTGTGCACTGACAAAGAATACATAGTTGGAGATGAGGTAAATAGTACAGTACCTGTAAATTTGTAGTTATTGGGTCAAAACCCAATTATCTTATTGTCATCTATAGGCTATCTTCTTGAGGTTATCTTGAGATGATTTCGGGGCTTTAGTGTCCCCGCGGCCCGGTCCTCGACCAGGCCTCCACCCCCAGGAAGCAGCCCGTGACAGCTGACTAACTCCCAGGTACCTATTTACTGCTAGGTAACAGGGGCATTCAGGGTGAAAGAAACTTTGCCCATTTGTTTCTGCCTCGTGCAGGAATCGAACCCGCGCCACAGAATTACGAGTCCTGCGCACTATCCACCAGGCTACGAGGCCCCTTTTCCACCAGGCTACGAGGCCCCGTATCTACCAGGCTACGAGGCTAGCTAGTGTATGGAAATGGAATCATGGATATTTGACATAGATTTTACAGGTACAGTATTCAATTTCTGTTGTCTATGATACAAGATATCCTGATATGGAATTGTGTACATATCTAGGTAATTTAATGGTTGTGTGGAATATGAATGGCAGAAATGAATGGAAGTGTTAAAAGGTTTTTATGGAGGGAATGTTTGTTGATCTTGGGTTGTGTGAAATAAAGATTAAAGGAAGTGAGATTGAACAGTGGAATGATGTGAGAATTGTAAGACCATTCCTAGAATCGACATCACCAGCATGTAATCTGGACCTTGTGAAGCACAAAAAGAAGACTGAACAAATTCCACACATAGCGGTCTAAGCTATGAATATACAGTACATTAAGGGATCTCAATCAAACAACTGTAGATAAAAGAAAGGTCAGAGAAATATTATCACTACATTCATAATATAGAAGGGAATAAACAAGGTAAAAAGAACAGCTTTTTGTAGTTTGGGGGTTGGGGGAAAGGACAGGACAAGAGGACATGGGTGGAAGTTGGAATTAAAAATGTGGCTGAGAGAGGTACAGAAACACTAGTACTCAATGAAGACAATAAGTGGAATGCATTAAAAGTAGTATGTAGTGGAAGCCAACAACAATTTTAAGAGCAGATATGACAAGGAAATAGAACCACATGAATTATAATTGTACAGTTCCAGATACAAATAACTAGATGGAGGGGTCCCTGCAGATATGGATAAGTATCTTGCACTAGGATAAAGCACTAGCATTCAAGTTAAACAGTTTCACCACTCAGATTTGACTCCGTTTAAGCTGATCGTGTTTCTTTTGAAATAAACATTCCATAATTTGTTTAACAATACTTTAACCCCCTCACTATCATGTGCCTTTAACTTCCTAATCATTCATGAAGTATCAAATGGTTTGCTAAAATAAATGTTGTGTATGTAATGCATAAATTTTTAAAATATGAATGGCTCTCAATACAGCAATGCTGTGAGGCCTTCAATTTGTGTTTTTTCAAAATGTACGAGAATGGCATATGCAGTTAGTTGATTAAGGGGGCAAGGGCTCCCGATTTCCCCCAAATATTCATTAAATGAAAACTTGTTCGATTTCAATCAAACGTTTTTGACTAGTTGTATAGGAAAAGGGTTTCATCTGGTCCAAGTCTCAGCATCGTAGCATAAATAGGAAGGGAGAAAAAAATATTGAAGAAGGTGTCAAAATTATTCCAAAATGGTCAAAAACGATTATCAAACACAAGTGTCAACTGAAATCATGTCTATGACTCTCAGCTATCACAATAGCATATATTAAAAAAAATATTACAATTAGTTTTATTAGAAAAAAATGTAAGTTAAAAAAATGTAATTTTTTTTTTTCAAATTTTTTTGTTTTGTTTTTTTATCGGACGATTTGGATGAAACTTATACACCTGACTGCACATAAGCCTATCTGTAAGGGTGCCAATTTTGGAGAAAACTGGTTGATGTCAACCTCAGCCACAGATGGCAGCACCTTAGACTTTATTATTTTCATATTTATTTTCAATGTTTTCAACTAACATAAACGTTTGAATAACTTTAATTTTTTATTCAATTTACATGAAACTTACACCTTATATGTAAAGTGTATGTCTCTAAACTCGGAACTTATCGTTTTTTCCTAAGTTCATTTATTGATTTTATAATAGCAATAAACATGACATATTTGCATAATTTTTTGGGGGAACTTTGAATATTTGTATTAGGAAAATTAAAGATGTTTTGGAAACTCGATAAGTTACAAACCTTTATTATATGCTAATGTGTCAGAAAAGTGTCATAGAATGATTATATCTGAAAGGTGTGTTTTTTTTATTCTCACTTGAAAATGTGTAAAATTCATTGAAAAAAAATATATATCTCTCTTTCTATTTATGCTGCAGTACTGAAACTTGGAACAATTGCAGCCCTTTTCATATACAGTACTGTACAACTAGTCAAAAAATATTGGTTGACATTGAACAACTTTTCCAGAACCAATCCATGCCCCCTTAAAGTAATTTTCATCAATAAACACCAAACTAATTGGCCAGTACGTAATTCAATGCAGGTGATTTATTCCCTTAAAATTTTATACAGTATTACAATTGCAAACCTTCATGATTCCAGTATTCTGCTCGACTCTAGATTCATTAAATACTTAACATTATACAAGACAAGATTGGATAAAGCTTGTTCAGTAACATATTGAAGCAGGTTTAGAACCTTCCCTTTCCTTGACTCATTTTAAGTCTTACCCTATTTGTTTCCCCTAGAGCAAAACCTTCTATTCACAACCATGCTCCAACTACTAATGGGTGAATAGTTCAGTATTAATGCCCAGTATTAAAAGTATTCAGTATTAAAAGTTTGGTTACTAATTTCTCTGGAAACACTTAAAACTATATTATTAATTTACCCATGAGTTTAGCAGTGGAAATAGCAGTTGCACGATTCATACAAGAAATGCTTTTTAAAGTTCCTAAATAGCTTCAATAATCACTTGGGACCTTCTTATTAATGGTTTGCATACTTTAATACTGTACAGTATACACAAATTTGTATACACTACAGTACAGTATCTATATTAATAACATTTTAACCAATAAATCTTTTAGGCAGTTAAATATACCTTTTTAAAAAATTTTAATGTTTATAGTCAATAGTAACTCTTATCTGAGAACATATGCGTCAGGACCATCCACACAGCTGTTCAGAAAACAGTAGTTATTAATTAATTGTGTAAGAAAGATTTTGTTTTGTTTGAAGAATGCTTGGTTTCTACATATATATGGCTATGTCATAATTTCTTTTGTGTTGCAAAACCTTTGTTAATTGGGGAATGGGACAAGAATACCTCACAGTTGCTTTGGTAATTGACTAATATTTAGTGTGGCTCCTTTTCAGATATTGTCTCTGCACCCCAGCCTGGAATTCAATGTCCATTTTCCCATTGTGCGTGGCGATCTCAATATCCATAGTGGTTTGGGTGGATCTGTTAGTGCTGTACTGGCTGACTTGGAGACCATTTGGGGCCATTGTATTTCAACAATTCTCAATGTTCCACTCAAGGATCTCAAGGTTTGACTTCTTGATGATTATCATTGTAAGCAACCCATCCTCCTGTTTAGATATTACCTATTATGATGATCATCAATATGCAGACGAGGAGTCACAATAACGTGGCTGAAATATGTTGACCAAAACACACTAGAAAGTGAAGGGACAACGACGTTTTTGTCCCTCCTGGACCATTCTCAAGTCAATTGTCGATTTACTCGATTTAGTTTGACAATCGATTTGAGAATGGTCCAGGATGGACCGAAACATCGTCGTCCCTTCACTGTCTAGTGTGTGTGTGGTTTAGTCAACGATCATCAATAGCCAGAATTTGTACATTCCTAGCTTTTAGATAGTAGTACAATAGTAGTACAATATAATGACTAGTAAGGAATTCTTTTAAAATAAATGAAGCTAAAATACAAACTTAAATACAGTGGCACCTCGATTAACGAGCGGCTCTATCTACGAGCATTTTGAGTAACGAGCAAACCCCTCACAGAACATTTGTCTCTACTAACGAGCTTTTCCTCGATTAATGAGTGTTTCTGCTGGTTCTCGGTCACCTTTTACGACAGTTTTGTTGTTGTTTCGCAAGACGAGTTTTCCACATGACGACCTCGGTGCCGGAACGGATTAAGCTCGTTAATCGAGGTGACACTATTCCTAGGTCTAGTATAGCACACACATGTATTATATTAGGTCTCAGATATCATGTATTAGGCCTAGGGAGGTTAGGATAGGTTAGTTTAGTTTGTCACATAACACAGGTAAATAATATTTTTCTGGTTTGTCCAACTCAATAGCTCAGATTTTTATGTTCTAATTTTGTTGTACGTTGGTATATATACTGTACTGTGGTCCTCATCGTTACTATAAGTACTACCAAAACAGAAGGATTGGCTGTTGTAAGATATATTGAGGTTTATACACATTATAAAATACTGTATAACCGTGTTTCTCCATACTTTGTTATATCCATTATCTCTTTTGACTACATTCTCAATTGAAATATGGAGGATGTTAAGCCTCCCACATCTCGCTAGTTTCCATTTCAATTTCTGTATAGTATGAATAGGAGTGGTAGAATAGGCAAACTTGGAAAACAGACTTTGAGTATTTGAAAGGCACCTTTCTGAGGTTATTATGTCACTTCCATTCCTACCCAGCCTACCTCCACTTTCCTATTTATATTGGATTTTACCTAAGCATTGAAATGTAAGTGGAGAGAGAGTGAGTTATGGCATGTGGAGGTTGGAAGAGGTACTATTCCCTGGTGGCAGGAGTGAATGTAAACAAGGGTGGGTAGTTGGTTGTTAACCAGAGCTCACTATAATTATCATCACCATATAGGTGATGTTATTTGGGGTTTTTGAGATTTGAATATGTTGTGCAGATCTTGCAAAGCTGTCAATGGCAGGAAATAAATTTATTTTAACAATGACTCAACACGTGTTATCACCCTGTGGAGACAGAAAAGTTGTGTGCGATATTGGTGCAGTAAGTCAATCCTGCCTGACCTTGAAATGTCCATTCCCAATACCACAGTTGATATTATACTTTGGGGAGTCATAGCATATTCTACCCAAAGGTGATTTTCATATATTCAAAACCTAATTTTTAAATGCACTATTCTAATTTTTATGTATATTTTGAGTAGGTGAGTTTTTCGGCACAGATCATCTTGTTACAATGTGGATGACTGTACAGTATTAGGCAGTTAAAATAGAAAGTTATAGTACTATGATACATTATTTACAGAAGTCATAAAATTTTCCCAGTCATTGGTTAACAACAAAGTTCCTAATATTTTGTATAAAAAGTTCATTATTTCTTTCAGTTTTATCGGGCCGTGTTAATCATTCCTGACATATACAACCGTGACCACGTGAAGAAGTTGACCAACTTGTTACTGAACGGTCTGGGGTTTGGTGGCTGCTTTGTACTACAGGTAGGCATGTAGATAACCAAGTGTCTACATTATATTGTTTCTAATTCTTTAGTATGTCATAATGCCAGAAATTTTGCGATTTATTGTAAATATTGATTCCTCAATTAGATTGGCATTTAGCACATGTTGCTTATAAATTTGAAAGTGATTTTGTCTGTATTATGTAATGTGCCAAATTACAGAAGACCATTGCATTGATATTCCAGAGCAATGCGTAAGAGATAACACACAGAAATCACAATAACGTGATGCATCAATGAACAAATCCACAAGGGCCGTGACGAGGATTCGAACCTACGTCTGTGAGCATCCCATAAGTATAGCTCAGTCGATTAAGGCAGTGTCTGGGATGCTCACAAACGTAGGTTCGAATCCTCGTCACGGCCCTTATGGATTTGTTTGTAAGAGATAAATTTGTTAGAAACCGTGGAGGTATGTGTGGGCACGTAGGAACATTGCCCTCACTTCTCTCTTTGTTTTGGAGACTTATCACAAATGTTTACAAGAAAACAAACAAAAACATTTATATTGTTTATTATGGCATCGGTTATGGTTTTCATTATATATTTTCTCACTTGCATTTCTAAAAAACATATTCAATAATTTATCTTGGATTCAACAAGCTCTCAAAGTTCAACAGTGTTTTGTATAATTGTGAGACTTGCAACTGAGTTATACAGTACAGTACTCAAGTTGGGTAATTGCAGCAACATTTTGTTATGAACTCAAGCATTTTATTTTTTTTTTTTTAACAAAAAATTCAATTGCTCATATAACTGCATATTTTATAAGTGATATATTTAAATTTGCTTTATTCTAGTTTTTAATGTTTTCCAAATTTTTTATTTTTTTTTTATTTGTACAGTATGTTGCTTTCATAATTTGTTTAATAAACCTCTAAATAAGTTTTAGGCAAAGTGACTTACAAGGATATGAGAGTAAGAAATGCTCTCATGTGGACACGTGGTCTGCAAGTTGCGTTCTAGAGTGCACACTTATTACTAGTATAGTATATTCAGTTAGCATGAGAATTCAGTCAACAGATTTGCTGAGCATTTTGCCAGAATTTTAGGCTTTATTGGTAATTGTATTATAACTTTCCCGATAGGATCCCTTGCTAACAATAGAGATTTACATTCCATTTGTGATTTATGCCATGGTGAATGCATGACTGGAGCTATAATTGTGGAATTCTACTCTTGGTGTGACGACATGGGAAGTTAATGCGTTTGAGTGGTATTCCAGTGGGTCCTCTGGTGTGTTCGCAGAAGCCAAGCATAAGTATGTGGCACTTGATGCTTGGATTTCCCCAGCGCCCCTCATAATACCACCAGTGGCTGTAGAAGGTTGATAAAAGTTACTTCAATTTATAAAGCAGATTGTATCGTTTATTTTACAATTTGTTTTCAAGAGTCTACTATGCAGTTGCAATGTTCTTAAAATGTAGTTATCTGTGAAGGTTTCAATGTTTAGATCATTCATATCATAGGCCAAAATTTATGATATGAATGATCTAAAATTTATTGCATCAGAATTCAAAGTTATACAGTATTGCATAAAATATTACCTATTCATATACAGTAGTATCATAAAGTATCAGTATAAACCTCCTACTAATATATATATACAATACTTTATGTATTGCAGTTAAGCTTCCAAAATATAAAAAAAATCCAGTTTAAACACACCTATATTGTACTCCAAAATGTTATTAATATCAAATTTTGCTTAATCCCAAAAAATAACTAGGAATTGTAAATAGCTGGTTTGTTCTCACTAGCACTGCATTTGACGTACCAATGACGATGTTTCCTGAAAACTGGTTCTGTGCCTGCTTCCATGGATAAGACTTTATTTGTCATTGCTAGTTATAATCTATTCTTTTCAGCAAAGGTGTTCTCTCCAAGGCACTGCTGTAAGCTCTGGGAAGCTACTGAGGGATGCAACCCAGAAATCAAGCATTAAATGCACTAAAACATCTTCGTCTGGGTGGTCTATCAGTAGCTTCCCTATTTCCTCCACGTTGTCTTATTCCCCGTGTGTTTTGGTGTTCGGTACTGGTGGCTCGTGAGTGAGATGAGTGGAGGATTGGGGCCCCCCCAGGTGATCTGAGTTGTTACCTAAAAGTGGCCGAGTTGGAGCAAGGGTTATTTACCCATTGCCAATTACCATTTGCATGTTTTCCTCTCTCCATATTTCCTTTCAAGCAGTGGCAGGTTTTTGTTTCAATCTTTGTTGTTTGAGTCAATCTCTGATATTAATACAGGCAGTCCCAAGCTTACAAATGGGATGCGTTCTGAAAAGGTATTCGTGAGTATTCGTATTCGTGTTCAGGGCTCTGAACCAGATTTCCTGTTTTAGCACAATTCTTTAAATAAGGGAGGGAGGGGAGGGGATACGTTCCTGGACCTCCAAAGATCATCATATAAAATCAATATTTTGGGGACAAATAATGTAAGAAACACTATTATTTACCTTGAACAAGCAGTTATCCTGCTTGTTAAAGCTGGCTAATTTTGAAGAGTGAAGGGATATAATTACTAGACGTGGCAGTAGTAGAGATTGGGTGCCAGAGATTGGTTGGTCATCATTAATATCACTGGCAGCCTTGACACACATCTTTATGTAAATTTGTTCTGGCCTTGTAAGCCACTCATGACTTGTCATAAATGTATCACTTGCATTTGCACCTAATTTCTTCTTTAAATCTTCAGAAAGACTTCTATTCTAACTTTTTCTTATACGAGCATAAGGCCAATATAATTAATACAGCAATTCTGGTCTTCATGCCACACTGTTAACACTTTGGCGTACCCCGTGCGCCACCCTTCAACTGTGCGATTTGGGTCCCAGGGTGCCACGGGAGCGCGCGTAAATTCTGAAAAGTGTATACTCTCTTCAACTTTGTCACCTTAATTCTCGTCCTACGAGATTAAATTTTGTATCATTGTGTTCGCAATAGAATTCTCTACAGCACTAAATGCATATAAACTCCAAAAGCCCTGCTAATTACCCGCAGCAAACAGAGAAAGTGCGAACGAGTTACCCAGGAGCGCGCAAGCGCGATAAAATGTTTTCACTATTTTCAGTGTGGTCACCTCAATTTTCGTCCTAGGTCTTTCATTTTGGTCTCAAAGGGTTCGCAATAGAATTATCTAGAGGAACATTAGCATATAAATTTAAAAACCTGGTCACGCTCCAACCGCCGACGAGTTGAAGACGGGCCATGCGTTAGCTGCGAGTGAGCGCTCAGACGCCTTCCAGCTACACTCCCAATTCCCGCCCTTTTCAAGCCTTTCTTTCGCAATTTTCTTCCTGGAAGGGCCTTGTTCATGATCACTATCCATCGTGGAGTAAGCGTAGATAGTTTCTAAAGCCGCAGTAAGAAATATAGCCACGGAAAATAGCCGAAATGTTCACACGTTTGAGATGCGAGGGGAGGCGACATTGGTCACAACAGTGGAGCGAAAACAATGGGCCCTCGGCGTGTGCCAAGACGCCTGAGGGCCACGAGGCTCAACAAAGAAAATGGGAAGACATCAGCGTGCATTTTAAAACCAGTCCCCAAAAAATTGGATAAAAACCTGATTTTTGGCGATTATTTAAAGTGGATGACGCAATGCTGCGTCATCCCCGGCATTACCGACAGTAAGCGGATGACGCAATGCTGCGTCATGTCTGGGCGAAAGTGTTATTAATAGCTCTTCCATGTCACAAATCACAAAACCTTTTTCTTCTTCTTCTTCTTCTTCTGCACATGCTTTAAAATTATATTCTTGTCCTTGATAATAGTACAAATTGTGAAGTGGTTCACACTGTAAACGTGTGCTATCTCTGTTGTTTCTTCCTTCTTGGTGTGTTTTATTATCTGCAGCTTTTTCTTTAGGGTAATGGGTAGCCTCATTCTGAACACCGGTGCATCATCAACACTTCCTATTTTTATCAGCCTTTATTAAGGGTATTTTCCTCAATAAACGGCTGAGATAATTGACAGAATGCACAACAGGTCTACACTGGGCATGAGAAAACTGGACAGAGAATACAGAACCTCATCCTTCAAATGTTTTCCTTGCTCAGTGTTGACTTAGTGCCTTCACCAGTGCTCTTGGTGCTTATGCAGCCAGAGTTAGGTTTTGGTTCCTTCCTGCTTTTAGTCAGGCATGGATTTCTTTTCTGGCTTGGTGATTATCCTAAGAAAGTATTGGAGGTACAAATTGAAAAATATCCTTTTGGTCTTAAAGTACACCAATTTGCATGCAACATACGAGAGTCCCAGAAGTAAAGATAATATTCTAAAAGATTACACGATTACCTTTACCTTGTGCTCAACATTATACATACCTGTGTTGTTTTATTGTTGCTGGATTGCTCAAGTCTATAACTTTCAGATTAAGCCATGTCTTCCATTCCATTCCTATTCCTGTGGCATCCTTCAGAAGTGGAATGGACATGTACTGATGAATACCTAAGGTGACATCAAAGTTTTCCTCATTATATGATTAAATAAGCTTTATACTATGCCTTACAAAAAAAAGTATTATATAAGGTAATGTGCTTTCCTAATGGAAAGTTGAAACTTGAACTTTAAGCAGTAGCAGAATGAGATAAGAGTTCCTCCATGTAAATTGGACAGGAATGTTTACACTCAGGAAGGATGACATATTAATTACACAAGCATCATAGGAATTTTTACTAACTATATCTACAGGGTTATATAGATGCTAAGGAATCACTGGAGACATGCTTACAGCACAATGGCTGACAGTGGCTCATTCATAAAGTACAAAATACTGCATAGCCACACTTGACATTGCAGGTGACTATAAGTTGACCTGCTTGTAACCTAATCTAACCACCATCAGGCAACAGCATCACACACACATCTCCCGTTCCTAACACAAAATGACCCTTAAAACTTCGTATGTTACATGTCAACAGACGAAGAAACTTGTATAACGAAAATCATTTCGTTATACAAGTTTTCTTTTTCTATTATGGAGAGTGACAAGGTTAGACAAATATACAAAATATTGCTGAACAAAGGGAGAAGCTTTCAAAAGGGAACATAGCAAGTTCCAGCTAGATTTACCAAATTAACCTAAATCAACCCGATTGTGATGTGGGGCCTTCAGACTATGAAAACAGGAAGCCTCTAGGATCAGGCAGTTACAAGAGAAGCCTAGCCCCAGGCCAGATTAGAGGGCTACTGGGTATTAGTTCATGAAACCAAGCAGGTGAAGGCCCCAAAACATCTGGAACCACTGATCTAGAGGGTGCAAACCTTGTCTTCAAACACCAACATAGCTTCACAGAAGGAGAGTCCTGCTTAATGAACCTACTGGAGTTTATGACAGTGCAACATCAATAAAGCAAGAAAGGGAAGATTGGACAGATTGTGTGTGTATGGATTGTCGGAAGACATTTAATGCAGCTTCAAACAAGAGCCTGCTATACATACCTGAGAAAAAAGTAGGGATAACTAGGAGGGTGCTAAATTGGATTAGAGAGTACCTCTATGATAACAGTTATAGGAGGAGAGGCCTCAGAGTAGAGGGATATAATAAGTGGAATACTATACTCTTGCTGGCAGTGGTATATATGTACATTACCTAAATGAGGAAGTTGATGCACGCATGTGAATGTTTACGAATGATGCAGAATCGATGGAGTGAATAAGAACACATTAAGATTGAATGAATATGTAAGATAATTTATAAACTTCAGGGGTGGTTGCAGATTAGGATACTAGACTTTAACTCAGACAAATGCAGGGTAATGAGATTTGGAGATGTAGCAAAGAAATGATATAATTTCCGTGGTTGAGAATGGGAAGTTTCTATACAGGTATATGTATAGGCTTGTATTGAGGTCCTCCTCCTAGGTTGAACTACTGACTCTACTCAGGATATAGCCCCCACAACAGTTGCCTAACTCCTGGTTACCTATTTACTGCTAGGTGAATAGATGCATCAGGTGAAAGGAAATGTGTCCAACCATTTCTGTCCTGCCTGGGAATCAAACCCAGGATCCATGTTTACAAGACAAGAAAGGAGACAACTGTACTACAAGCAGATTTTCTGAAATGGCAAAAAATGAGGATGTGGGAGTTTATATACACCAGAAGCTCACATAAATAAGCAAAACTGGCAAACATAAGAAGGGCATTTAGGAACCCATGTTATTACATGTTATATTTACTGCTGTAAACCTGTTAAGTCCAACCAGATTTGTAATGATTTGTAAAAGTTATTACAAATAAAACTTCTGATTCTGTATTAGGAGTATTCTGCCCAAGGAAGGAATCCCACCTCAAGAAACACAAAACTAAACTTGAAAATCTAAGGAATATAATGAGGGTCTTACCAGAACTTTGAAGATTAAACTATGAAGGGACAAAAAGAGGATGAACCTTGCCACAGTTAAAGAGACGGAATCAAGAAGACTTGAAAATAACACTGTACAAGATTTTTGGGATGTCATATGGTGAGTTAAAGGGTCACAAGTCATTTCTGAGTCATTATTCCAATCTTTTTGTCTCTTTTTATATTGCAATAAAGTTTTATAGGTGTTCCTATAATAACATACAGTACTTGGTACCCACAGGTACAAAAAAAAGGATAAAATTACCTGGAGCTCCCCAAAGTCCATGTGATCCTTGTGCAGCATAAAGAATTGGGTGAAATCCTGTGAGCTGCACAGTTTGTGGATATATGGGTGACATATTAATGCCTTCTCTCACATCTTCATCAGCATAAAGGAACTTGTTGAGACGGGGATCATAAGTGTAGTAAGCTCCAAAAGTGTGGGTTGATACATACATCTGTACTGGTGTACTTCCCTGTAAAGTTTTATTATCAGACCATTTTTTAATAGAAGACTAACACTAGAGTATTTTTTATATCAGGAATATGTTATACATGGTCTAGTTCTGTGAGTCAGGATGGATTTGTAGTGGTGTGTATCCTGCTCTTCATGCTGGGTAGTAGACGTGGAAGTGCTTTCCTGGGTAGGGGTGAGCTACTTCAGGGCACAGTCCTTGCATCACTATATTTCCTTATTCACATATCAGATATAGACAAAAATACAAATCACAGCTTTGTCATCTTTTGCAGATTATATAAAAATCAGCATGAAAATTACCTCTCCGGAAGACATTGAAAAACAAGCTGATACTAATAACGTTCTCAATTGGGCAGTGGAAAAATACATGATGTTTAACAGTGATAAATTCCAAGTACAGTACTTAGGCATGGTAAAAATGAAGACCTTAAATGAAATAAAGGGTAGAAGACACACTCAGCTCTATCCATAGTAGGAAAGGAACATGTAAAGGATCTGGGAATAACGATATCTGATGACCTAATATTTAGGGGCATAACAAAGAAAATATAGCATTGGATAGAAAAATGGCAGGATGGATTATGAGAATCTTCAATTCCAGGGATCCCATCACAATGCTCATACTACTCAAATCACTTGTCCTGTTCCGCCTTGAGCACTGCTCAATACTCACTAACCCCATCAGAGCAGGAGAGATTTCTGAAATAGAGGGAATACATAGAACATGCAGAACGCATAGACACGATAAAGCACCTAAATTATTGGGACTGTCTCTAAGCTTTTAAAATGTACTCTCTGGAAAGGAGACGAGTGGTATCACATAATTTCAGTGGAAAATACTGGAGGGCCAGGTTCCAAATTTGCACAATAAAATAACATACTAGAGCAAATGATATTGCAGGAAATGCAAAATAGAGCCAATGAAGAGCAGAAATGCCATAGGCACAATCAGAGAACAATGAACATCAGTGGTCTACAGTTGTTCAGTATTCTACCAGCAAGTACTGTATAAGAAGTATTGCCAGAGCAAAAGTTGACTTCTTCAAAAAGCAATTAGATAAGTTTCTGCAAGAAGTGGCAGACTAACTGGGTTGTAGTGGATATGTAGACCTATGGGCTGTCCCCAAGCAACACTGATGAACCAAGCTCTCAAAAGACAAGCTTGGCCCTAGGCTGGGCTTGGGAAGTAGAACAACTCCCAGAGCCTTCTCTGGATACAATCCAGGTGGTTTGATAGGGTTGGACTACTGTTGCCTTGGGATTATTCCTAGCAGTGTTAACCTCTCTTATGTTTATGCTTACACTCATTTATCTTTTTGACATATCCAGGTATAAATTCATTTCCTCGTATTTGTGACTTTAGCATGTCTTCCATTTTATTGCCAGTATAGTATGTAGTGCATTAACTTCAGAGATCAACTATTGCCGTTACTCGGCATAGTGATTCGTCCCATCAGATATTTCTGTATCCTACAGTAGTATTAAGTGTCTAGAACTGTCTTCATAACCTTAATTACCTGCAGGATTTCTTCTGTCTTTCCAAACTCTAAAAAAAAGTGCAACATTCTTTTCTATTAAGTTGCACTTTTGTAATTTGGTAATTTCTGAATAATGACTGATTTATGTCTTTATTTTTAGTACAAAACATTACTGTACAAACATCAATCTACAGGGGTCAGGCCCAAGAACAAAGTGATAACGCAAATCAGAACTACACAGCTAGCTCGTGGGGTCAGGAAGGGCCAGTTATTTTAGCAAGGATACACTGTACTGTACAAGCATTTATATAATTAAAAATTGTTTATAGTATTTCTGATAATTTTTAACATTATTAATGCAATGTAAAAAAATATATATTTTGTGTGTAAATACAGTATAGGCTGCCACCTTACCAACATAGGTTGTTGGTAAGTAACTCAGCTGCTAAGCCTTGCAAATTAGGATTTTGCACTAATCAAGAGACGTCCCAGAGATTGAAATTAGTAAGCAACAGTGTATAATACTTTTAAAACATAAAATGCTGTATACACAATGTCCCACTCCTTGACCTCAATGCTCAAGGAGTGGGTAAACCTTAACCTTACCGCTTCTGAAATTTCCCCTTTATTAACACTGTCCCTGTTTATCTCTTGTTAGATTTCGACTCCTCTCTAAATTGGTGCTTCTACAGTTGTTGTCATTACCTTATTCTGTTCTACCAGGGTCAATTTTAATAAAGAAGTCAATTATGTGTGACTTACCTTAAATTTGATTGAAACGTGCTCCCAGTCTCCAACATGGCTTCCCATGGTTATTTCTTCCCCAAGACAAACACCATTTATTGGCAGCTTAAAAACATGCCCGAGGATAAATCCTAGATTAGCTGTGCATATCTTTTTGCCGTAGTTATAAGGATAAAACATCCAGTAGGTCACAGTGAATTGTTGCTCATGAGGCAGTATTGTGTCACTTGTAGTTTTTAATATGTGGCGCTTCTCACTGGTGTGGTATGAGGCTGTAACATTTGCCATCACTTTCTCATTTTCCATATTTTGCTTAACTGCAGCATCATTTTCACTTGTATTTCTAGAAGGCAAGTGTGTGTTGTGCTTCATTGCTTCTACAATGCTAGAACTAAAGTGTTTTGTTATCGGATTAGCTGTGGTGAAAATCTTATATGGAGTAACAGAGTTGCTGGAAGGATTGCTCTGACTGGTTGTTTGGACCTGCAGTAAAAATGGATCTAGTGTTCTTTCAAAATTAGGTGTATGTTCAGTGGTGTTGAAACTGTCATTTGTATTGATTGGAAAACTATTAGTTACATTGTTAATGTTATCCTTTTTGTTTACATTTATATTATTAGATTTAAAAGTTAAGGAATGTGTCTTATGGAATTGATTAGTATGTGTATTATTAAAGGTAGCGCGTGTCATTTGTCCAATACGAAATGAAGAGGTATCAGTATTTATGATACCTAATAATGGTGGGACTTGTACTGTGTTTTCTGTTGTGCTGGAGTAGTGTGAGAGAGCATCTTCATCCTCCATTTTCAGTTTATCAGACAACAATGTTGAAGGCGATGAAGAAGTAGGTGTAAGCGTGGTAACTGATAACGTCGTACTTAATCTGTTATTAGGTGCTCTCTTTGTGTTATTTTTTGGCTGATTTTCCTCTTGTGATGTCATGTCTGAGGAGAATGGTATTTCAGTTTCTTCATTATTAAAAACGTCTGAATAATCATCTGCAAGTGGAGTGCTTCTGCTTGCTCTGACAGCAGGAGGCAAGTCACAGGAATGAATTGTTGCATAGACTGGAGGAGGACTGTGTGTACCTGGCATCTTGCCCAAAAGAAACCTTGGCAATGGACAATTGGAGCATTCTGCAAGTTAAACAAAAATACTGTTAGTGATCCTGCCTTATTATTTGTTTATGGAGGGTATATCTGTGTCATAAATTAATGATTTGCAATTAGGGCAAAATAATAAGAAACTGTGAGTGTAAATTACCTAAATAGATATTGGATAAGAGCCAAGCTTGTGGACTATTCTTCCCTAGAATTTGTCATAGAGCTTTGTTGCTGTCAATGGTGTTGGTATACACTACCCTTTCATTTAATATATTTCATCTATCACTTTTTTAACTGAATTTTTGTTTTTCTTTTTATCCATACATTGTCTTCATAATTGTTGCAGCACTTGCATCGTCTCATTCTTCTGGGAGAGTTGCAAATGTTGTTCTACTCTTTATGAATGGAAATTGATTACTTGTGTCAAACTGTCAGCCAATTAACTTATTGTCTGTTGGAAAATTGACTGAATTGATAATTGTAAAATCTATTCATCAACATCTTGAAAATCATAGATTAACAAAAGATTAACAACATGGCCTAAAAAAAAGGCTGCTCGTGTTTTGACACATTTGCTCTCGTTCTTTTCCAGGATATTTGACGCATTTAATAGTGATGAGGATTGTGATCTTGTGTACCTTGACTGTTGGCAAAGCTTTTGATACTGTGTCTTATGAAAGACTGATTAGAAAGGTAGTCTCATGGTATTGTGGGGTGCAATTCTCAGTTGGATAAGTGCATGGTTATTTCAAAGGAAACAGAGTTTGCATAAATAGTTATGTCTGAGTGGAAAACATTGTAAGTAGAGGGCCTCAGTTCTGTCCTGGGACCTCTGTTATTTACCATATATTGAATATAAATGATTTAAATACAAGATTGAACAGCAACATTTACAAATTTGCAGAAATGCAAAATAGTGGGAAATAAATTCAGAAGATTTAAAATCACTTCAGGGTGATCTAGGTAGGAGTTTGGAGTGGATGAAAGGTTGGCAGAAGCAATTTAATGTTGAAAAATGTAGGATTCCGAGTCTAGGTAATGATAATACTATAGTTTGCCCGAAACGCTGAGTACTAGTGGCTTTAGGTATTGTATGTACTACCTCTATCTTTAAATCAAACAGAATGTTTGTACTGTAACTCTGCAACTACGTATGCACTTTTCCTAAATAAATTATTATTATTATTATTATTATTATTATTATTATAGTTGTCAGATATCGGCAGGATAATGTTGAAATTGCACACCTTGAATTTGAAAAAAGATCGGAGTATCATGGGATCTAAAGCTAGAAAAATCAATGAATAAATATTCGGAATAGGGCAAATAGAATAATGGGATTTATATCTAGAAACAGTGCCAACAAAATAACCATGTTATTAAAGAGCTTTAACACAAGAGCTTTATTATTATGGAACCCCATTTAGATTATGCAGTAAAATTTTGGTCACCATACTACAGAATGGACATAAAGTTACTTGCAACAAGTACAGCAAAGAATAACAAAGTTAATAACAGGAATTAGAAACCGTGCTTATGAAAAGAGATTAAGAAAAATTTATTTCAATCACTAGAAATAAAGTACTGTACTATAAATTATAGTATGAAAAAAGTATTATTATGAACAAAATTAGAAGGGGTAAATGAATGTGCAACATATTTGTACCTAAAGGAATTTATGGAACATGAAAATTCAAAATGTGTAAAAAAAATAATTAGATTTCTCAGTGTTGCCTTACCCAAGTTGTGAGGTGATAAGAGGTAGACTCCTTGACTTGGTTTACCCACAGGAAGTGATGGCATCATTATAGTCAAGTCTCCTCTCACAATACTATTGGATTCCTTGCCACCTGCTATACTTGAATAACAACAAACTGTTGACTATGTATTAGATTAGTTTGAGCATACCAGCTATTACAAATATACGTCATACTTTGTGATAAATCCAAAATATGGAACACCTTACATGTCACGCTATATATATGTAGTGCATCAATATATTTTATGATTGTTTAAACTGTATTTATCCATTATACAGTACTTTACAATAGTTTATTTAAAATTTATATTATTTGTGCTATTACTTACCAAAATATCTTCTTGTTTCCTATTCCCAAATTAAGAATGTTTGTGATCTTGAGTTAGTTCAATGTAACAGACCCTCATGGGACTCTACAATGTTCTAATCTTATCAAATGTCTTGAAAAAGTAGGTTTCTACATTCTGTAAAGTCCATTCACACAAATGGCCATCAAAAGTGATTTAGATTTGATATCCGATGCCACCTGGTGGCAAAAGAAGTCATCCCAAATTATTCATCAGGAACAACTTGTTAATGCTCAGTATTGTTATAATTGTGTGGTAATGATTAATGGTAAATATGTAAATAGCATTCTTTTTCTCATACTAGAAATGTAAAAAAAAAAAAAAAAATGGTGTATCGGGAAAAAGATTTCTAGCTAAAATATACACGTTTCTTGGCAGATATGTTCATTCTTGCATTCAGGGTATTCTATGTACTGCAAACACTTATGGTCTGGTATTAAGTTACATGTAAAATACTTGGTTAATTTTCTGGGAGAACTCACCTCAATCGTATTATAGCTTGAGAATTGATATTGCTAAGCCTTAGAAAATCACACCAGGCCTTTCGAGACCCTCCTTGACCTACTGGAAGCCAGTACCAGAATCTAGTTCACTCTTCGAAGTGAGGTGGGGGGGCCTGGGAATTAGGTGTGTACCCTAAAACTAAGAAAAACCCACCAAGTGGTAGGTAAACAATTGAATAACAATGATTGTGGATTGCAGACAAAGACATACCTTAAGCAATCCTATATGTTTGCAGATACTGTACTGTAGTGTTTAAAATGTCACTAGATTTTTAGGTACCAAGCTTCTCAGCTTGAATGTTTAAGCAGATATAAAACACTTCACCTAAGAGCATTTCACCTAAGGGCCTGTTATTGTATACCTATTAGAATAGTCAAGCTGTGGAGCTCGAGACCTGGAGAATACATTGATAAATTTCAAATTCTGTACCTGTGAACATAAGGGTATTGTTTACAGTACTGCACTGAATTGCCCTTAAAATACATATCTTTACCATCCTTGATCCATGTCACGTGATTAGTCACCCTCTGTTAAAAACAACTTATGCATTCTAACTTGGGTTCTTTAAAGGCTTGATTGGCCTTAACAAATTTTAAGACATTTCATGATTTATTTAATAAAGTCCAAGTTGAACACATTAGAGGCCTTAACTCCATTGTTTGCTTACCAATGTCTTATGATGTGTAAGTAGTTGGCTATTAGATTATATTACTGTACATATATGGTTTTAGTGCCTGTTATTGTAGGGTTTATACACATTCATTTTAATTGAGTTGATTCTTTATTGATCTTTGTTATTGATATTTTACCTCAACCACTAATTGAGTATTTGTTTGTATTTATAGCATTCATAATGGAGAGTGGTCTTAGTTTATTTTTTAAAGGTAAATATTATGTTAGGCTGAATAATGGCAACATTTTGATATGTATGATGCAACAACTTGAAGGTGGCAGTTGCAAACTGAACCTGAGCTTAGTGTTACGAGTTTAGTGCTTGTGTATCTCTAAGGATAAGTGTGTAGATGACAGATATATGGGTGAGATCTACCTGGGTTTGACATGTCGGAGAAAGTGATTTACTGAACTCGGGTAGTGGTGTTCATCGGGATGAAGATATACGACTGGCGCCCACTGCCTTGCCACTGTCTCCCGCTCTGAGGAAATGCAATAAAATATTAAGGGGTTTTCTTTATTGTGACTCGATAACTTTTCTTCTTATACACATATTTTCTTCTTTCTCTTCTTGGTTCTATGGTTTAGCTTCCTTATTCCTTACTAATGAAATATTTAATTTGCTCTTTACTGTACTATTATTATGGATGTATTTTTAGAAGTGTGTGTTTCAGAAAATGCTTTTTGCTACTGATCTCTTGTTAAACCTAACTACTTTGTGGCATAGGTCATGAATCAAATCCAAGATCAGCTGGACAGAGTAGTTATATGGAGCAATAGTTGGCAAATGGAGACGATGAGTCACAATAATGTGGCTGAAGATATGATGACCAAACTTCACCTTCTGATGTGTGGTTTGGTCTTGGCAAATGGAATTCAATGTGAATAAATGTCATGTTATGGAATAGAAAATAGGTCACAAACAGGCTAGAAATCATGTGGAAAGGCATTAAAGAACTCTGAAAAAGAGAGATATATAGGTGTGGCTCTGACTGTTACTAGAGGACTACATAAAGGATATAGTGCAAGAGGCATATACAGTACTATGCTTTCCAATTTCCAAATTGCTTTTAAATGCAAAGATGGTTAAATACTAAAGAAACTATTCATGATTTAAGAGACCAAAATTGTAATACTGTACTGTATGAGGCAGTTGTTTCGTGCTCATATCTCAAGCACATCAATAAGTTGGAAAAGGTGCAAAAACATGCTTATGATATGTTTTTCAGAACTGAAAAACAAGACTATAAGGAGAAGCTAAAGATTTTAAATATACCATAGGGAATAAATAGGGAGCCGGTCGGCCGAGCGGACAGCACGCTGGACTTGTGATCCTGTGGTCCTGGGTTCGATCCCAGGCGCCGGCGAGAAACAATGGGCAGAGTTTCTTTCACCCTATGCCCCTGTTACCTAGCAGTAAAATAGGTATCTGGGTGTTAGTCAGCTGTCACGGGCTGCTTCCTGGGGGTGGAGGCCTGGTCGAGGACCGGGCCGCGGGGACACTAAAAGCCCCGAAATCATCTCAAGATAACCTCAAGATAACCATAGCTAGAAGATAGAAGGAAAAGGATGAATATGATCACCACATACTAAATTGTAACAATAATCTACAAAATTTACGACGAGGAATTCTTGAAACCCGCAACATCAAGAACAAGAGGTCATAGCTTCAAACCCGCAACATCAAGAACAAGAGGTCATAGCTTCAAACCCGCAACATCAAGAACAAGAGGTCATAGCTTCAAACCCGCAACATCAAGAACAAGAGGTCATAGCTTCAAACCCGCAACATCAAGAACAAGAGGTCATAGCTTCAAACCCGCAACATCAAGAACAAGAGGTCATAGCTTCAAACCCGCAACATCAAGAACAAGAGGTCATAGCTTCAAACCCGCAACATCAAGAACAAGAGGTCATAGCTTCAAACCCGCAACATCAAGAACAAGAGGTCATAGCTTCAAACCCGCAACATCAAGAACAAGAGGTCATAGCTTCAAACCCGCAACATCAAGAACAAGAGGTCATAGCTTCAAACCCGCAACATCAAGAACAAGAGGTCATAGCTTCAAACCCGCAACATCAAGAACAAGAGGTCATAGCTTCAAACCCGCAACATCAAGAACAAGAGGTCATAGCTTCAAACTAAGGAAACAATGCTGCCAAAAAATATTAGAAAATTCTCTTTTGCAAACAGTGGTAAATAGTTGCATCTAGTGAGAAAAGGTAGTGATGCCAAAACCATAAGTAGTTTCAGAGAGTCATATGACAAAAAGGCTGGCAAACATAAGAACTTCCTTCAGAAACTTGTGTAAGGAATCCTTCAGAAACTTGTATACCTCACATGTCAGACCAATACTGGAATATGCTGCTCCAGAGTGGAGTCCACATCTAGTCAAACACAAAACAAAGTTAGAAAAGGTTCAGAGGTATGTCACCAGGCTAGTCCCTGAACTGAGAGGTATGAGCTACGAGGAAAGATTACTGGAACTAAACCTCACGATACTGGAAGACAGAAGAGTTAGGGGAGACATGATCACGACCTATAAAATTCTCAAGAGGAATTGACATTGGTAGATACATTGTTTCACACGGGTGGTACACAAACAAGGGGGCACAGGTGGAAACTTGGTACCCAAATGAGCTACATGGTTGGATGTTAGAAAGAACTTTTTCAGTGTCAGAGTAGTTAACAGATGGAATGCATTAGGCAGTGAAATGGTGGAGGTGGAAGCCATACAGTTTCAAATGTAGATACAATTGCCCAGTAGACTCGGGGAATCTGTACACCAGTTGATTGACAGTTGAGAGGCATCCCTACCAATAGGGGGGGGGGGGGGGCCTGACAGCTGAGTGGACAGGGTTCGAGATTTGTAGTCCTAAGGTGCTGGGTTCGATCCGAGGCAGAGGCAGAAAAAAAGGGGCAGAGTTTCTTTCACCTTGATGCTCCTGTTCACCTAGCAGTAAATAGGTACCTGGGAGTTAGACAGTTGTTACGAGCTGCTTCCTGGGGATGTGTAACAAAAAGGAGGACTGGGCCGCGGGGACGCTAAGCCCCGAAATCATCACAAGATAACCTCAAGATAACCACCCGGGATAAATAATGTTTCATTGTCTACCCTGTCAATTCCCATCTGAATCCTGTCAGTTGTAATCATCTCTCTGCTCTTTTTGTCTTCAGGTGACGTGAGGTTTAATTAGAGTAGTCTTTCCTCGTACTTCATGCCCCTCAGCTTGGGTGGTGGCGTACCTCTGAACTTGTGCAACTTTGTCTTGTGCTTGACTAGGTATGCAGTCTATGCTGGAACTGCATACTCCAGGATTGGTCCGACATATATGGTATACAATATCCTGAATGATTCCTTACACAAACTTTACTAGATGTGTGTGTACTCACCTAGTTGTGCTTGTGGGGGTTGAGCTTTGGCTCTTTAGTCCTGCCTCTCAACTATCAGTCAACCAACTTCAATCAACAGGAAGCAGCCTGCAACAGCTGTCTAACCCCCAGGTATCTATTTAATGCAAGGTGAACAGGAGCATCAGGGTGAAAGAAACTCTGCCCATTTGTTTCCGCCATCGCCGGGGATCGATTCTCAGACCCCTAGGATTACGAGAGCCAGGCGCTGTCCACTCAGCCACGAGGCCCTGGGGGCCTGAGGCTGGCCTCGCACACACAATGCGATGCATTGCACAAAACACACAATGCATTAGTGTGGACCTCACACACACAGTGTGTGTGTGTGTGTGTGTGTGTGTGTGTGTGTGTGTGTGTGTGTGTGTGTGTGTGTGTGTGTGTGTGTGTGTGTGTGCAAGAGAGGGGAAGCGAGTGAGTGAGTGTGAGTTAGTATGAGCGTGTGCGTGCGCGCACAAAGGAGCGTAATTACTTAAGCGTAGTTACGGGATGAGAGCTTGAGAGCTACAGTTGGTGGTGTCCCGTCTTCCTATTATTATACTGTCATATGACTGGAACTTCTCAGTTGTTCCAACGGTCTGCCATTCAGTGTGCGAAAGAAAGCTTCTTTATATTTTTTTAGCATTTTTCTTTCCTTTGCTTGAATCTATGTTCCTAAAATTTAAAGTTTCAAAAGTTTCTCTTTGTTTATTTCTCCTACTATTTTGTACGAAGTGATCATATCTCCTCTTTTACCTCCTAACTTGTAGCCTTGGCATGTTTAACACCTCGAGTCTATCAACATAGCTCATGTTCTTAAGTCCCGGGAGCCATTTAATAGCATGTGTTTGCACCGTTTCTAATATATTGATGTACTGTACTTCTTGCGATATGGGCACCACACCACTGCTGCACATTCCAATTTTGGTCTGGCAAATTGGGTGAACAAATTCTCCATGCGAGCGTGATGGTGTGTACGCGTACTCTCCTAGATGTGCTCACCTGGATGGATGGGAAAGGTGGTGATGGTTCGTATTGTGTTTGGAAAGCAGCTTAGAGTCCTCAATTGTTGTTGTTGTTTTAGATTCAGCTACTCGGAACAAAAGTTCCAAGTAGCACGGGCTATAGTGAGCCCGTAGTGGAATTACCAGACACGGGAGCGGGGCTGTAAATGGTATGAGATTTCTCAAGTATGAAAGATCTTACATAATGTTGACGGAGTGCGGTGAAATGACACGCTTTGGTCAGAGCGTGTGTGTGTCTAGGGGTGATTGATGCATGTTGCGCAGTAACCCACCTCTTGTCTAATGTACTCACCTAGTTGTGCTTGCGGGGGTTGAGCTCTGGCTCTTTGGTCCCACCTCTCAACCGTCAATCAACTGGTGTACAGATTTCTGAGCCTACTGGGCTCTATCAAATCTTCATTTGAAACCGTGTATGAGGTCAACTTCCACAACATCACGGCTTAATGCATTCCATTTGTTAACTACTCTGACACTAAAACAAATCTTTCTAATGTCTCTGTGGCTCATTTGTCGGGCTCCAACAAGCAGGAACCCTGTGCTTCGATTCGCCAAGGGGACTATTATTTGGAGTACAGTATACCGTACTTGGTGTTGAGATGGTTGTCCGCCGGTGTTTTAAAGTAATATTTTACATGACCACCTAATTTGTAAATGCTGTAAAGTATATAAGCTACTTCGTTAATATTAAATTTGTAACACCTCAGGGGCCTTCATTTGTCAAAGTATAGAATACATAATCTTTGAAAGTGTAATACATGCATTTTCTACACTTCAGTAGTAGTCATAGATTCTATTTTAAATAAAAATGGAGGTGAAATATAGCAATTAAACCGGTCATAAAAGTAAGGGTAAAGTATCCTGGTAATACATTATAGTTGTAAGGCAAAGTTACTGACCTAACTTTACACTACATTTGTTCATTTACTGACCTAGTTGCAAGTGGTGAGAGTGGGTAGGAGTGAGGGCTGCTGCAGGAGACATCACTCCCAGCACCAGTGCCATAGTCAACATGGCGAGTGCCAGGCACTCTCTCCCTTGCCTTGGGAGACGCTTCTCCTAACTGGAGTGCAGATGGGTGTCGTGTTTTGACTGTGCTCCCTTATCTTTGGATCGTTCGAGTTTTTTGGGGAGTGAGCGAGTTTCTTAATGCAGTCTTGTGAGACGGTATCTCCTGTTGATTACTTGTCCGATATCAGCAGGAATTTTTGACAATGAAGGTGGCCTAGTGGTGACCTTGTGTGGTGGCTGAAGAGTTGTGGGAGACTACGGTAAAGGCTGACACAGGAGGAAGAGAGGAGGTGCGCGCTGGCCGTGGTCCGTAGAGCGTGTGCCGCTAGTGGGTGACAGGGCCCACTCCTGGCTGGTGTGGTAATGTGTATAGTGGGCCCTCGCCTCCACCACCACCACTCACCTCCGCTCCTACTACTACCTCGTAATCCAATATTAAATGTTGGGTAATGCCGCTTCTATACTATATTGTTGTTCCCATAGTGCCCTCCCTTGTGTGGCGGTGATGCACTGTAGATGTTCTGTTGTGCTGCAACTGGTAAAATACTGTCAGCTGGCGTCCCGTTGTTGGAGCTTCGCAGCTCCTGTTGGGGCTATTATATGAAATTCCTGGGTTAACGGCACTGAGGTGTGCAGCGGATGGACTAGCACGGTAGCAGTGCTGCTTCCATGGTGCAGGTAATGCCCGCCTTCAGGGCTTCCTCCACTTCAATTATCCCTTTCCCTCCAGCCCTAAAGACAATAAAAAGAAAAACACACATTCGTTCACCCAAAGCTCTTGCCCCCCCCCCCGCCCACGCCCACGCACTCCCTCACTCTTTTTTCGTAAACTTTTAGCACTTAAATTTAACCGATTTTTTTTTAACACGTTGGTATTGCGTCTTTTACTAATGAATATATTTACAGTATACTTGAATGTTTTATATATTCTTGATACTTATGGTGTGATCCATCATTATAGTATTGCAGTGAACATAGGGATTATATCTTGTATACAGGTTAGAGGACGTCATATGACCTTCCAAGGGAAGCCGGTCGGCCGAGCGGACAGCACGCTGGACTTGTGATCCTGTGGTCCTGGGTTCGATCCCAGGCGCCGGCGAGAAACAATGGGCAGAGTTTCTTTCACCCTATGCCCCTGTTACCTAGCAGTAAAATAGGTACCTGGGTGTTAGTCAGCTGTCACGGGCTGCTTCCTGGGGGTGGAGGCCTGGTCGAGGACCGGGCCGCGGGGACACTAAAAAGCCCCGAAATCATCTCAAGATAACCTTCCAATCAATGTTCTGTGGATGTTTATATTGTAAGACACTCGCTAAAACACACCAACAATGTTCTGTGGATGTTTATATTGTAAGACACTCGCTAAAACACACCAACGATGTTCTGTGGATGTTTATATTGTAAGACACTCGCTAAAACACACCAACGATGTTCTGTGGATGTTTATATTGTAAGACACTCGCTAAAACACACCAACGATGTTCTGTGGATGTTTATATTGTAAGACACTCGCTAAAACACACCAACGATGTTCTGTGGATGTTTATATTGTAAGACACTCGCTAAAACACACCAACGATGTTCTGTGGATGTTTATATTGTAAGACACTCGCTAAAACACACCAACGATGTTCTGTGGATGTTTATATTGTAAGACACTCGCTAAAACACACCAACGATGCGTTTGACTTTCAAATTGTTTTCGTTCTTTTAATGAATTTTAAGAGAATGAGAGATTCTCATTCTCAATATGAAGATAAGCAATTTATTTCTTATCTTGATTTAAGCAAGACGGCTTTTGTCGTTGTTGATAACGACATTTGCAACACTCACACTGCGGTCGAAAATCAAATTGGATTAGGGTATAATGGACAGAACTTAGTAAATAGAATATCATTAGATGGGAACGGGTGTAAACAACAGTATATGTAAATTTTTAGGCATTACTGAAATCGAACGCATTTTAGTTCCAAAGAAAGACGTAAAAAACTACCGGAGGACTCGGTAAGTTTAAGTTAAAGTGGACCGATAAGTGGCAGTTGCAGTTTAAAGTAGGTATATTCAAAATTTGGGGCCAAAATCAATTGGCAGTGATGAAATTAAATGTGATTGCGCAGCGATCTGGTAGGAATAATTAGTAAACGAACCAACCGGATGTCAACAATGTATTGGTGTTCGCAATAGCCAATGTGTTATTAATGAGAATATTAATGTTACCTCAGAACTTAACCTTGCAGTGCTATAGATCTCGTTTAGATTATGCTGGCACTGTTTGTCTGAACATAATTATCTCTGAGACGGTTAATCCCCAGCATGAGGAATTATAATTACAGAGTGTAAGAACATTGAACTTAAACTCGCATGAATAGTATAGGAATATTTTTTATCGAAATGAAATCTTTAATACCCAGCATGTGATGGGTGTGTAAGTTATCGCAGTGGTGGGTGGGTGGGTGTTATCAGCTGTTTCATCATTGGCGAGGCCGTGGCACACATTGGCTACAACCCATGCTAAATTAGTGGAGACTACTCACTAGTTCAGTACAAGTAGATAGGCTGTTGTTTGAGGGAACAAGCGATCTGGCTATTAGAGCAAGATGGTAATCGTAACAATGGTTTCAAACTACTGGTACTTGTATTATTTGTAGTGTTGACAGCCAACCGCCTCTAAATCATTGACGGTACCTTGTCATGGGGAAACGCCTAGTACTTCACCATTACTTTCTGGTCGAAGGCTAAGCTGTTGTTTAAGCTTCTAACCACCTGAGTGTTGGTTTGCCGTGCATGAAAACCCGTAAGTTCCCAATTCCACTTCAATTTTGGTTATGGATTGAGGTAAAACCGAAACGTCAGTGAAGCCTAACTGAATCACTCTTGAATTAACTATAGTGGGTTTCGAGAGCTGTACTTCCCAAGCCAAACACACCCTTATTCCTTAGAGCTTGGGTTTATGAAGCGTGTGTATGTGTATATATAATGAGATGGGTGCATAATAAATGAACAATCAATTAATCTCCGTAGGGTGAGAATGCGGATGGGGGGGGGGGGAGGGAGGGAGGTATTCTTCACATTTACAAGCATTTTTTATTCATCCCTTGACTGGTGTGATTGGAGACCGGAGCCCACGGGGTCCTCTCTGGAATGGCCACAAATATAATGCGAGAGGCAGAGTTTGACTGTAGTCGCACAGTTGTCACAAAACGTGAAGATGAGTAACGACCACTTGACAAAACACAACAGTCTTCAAGGTTAAATATCTGGGACCACTTAACCTACACATTGACCTCCCTGATGACTCGCCCAGTCATATCTGTAGACGTGTTATCGCCTAAGCAGCCAGATATAAACAGCAGATACAACAACAAATAACATAACCACTAACATCAAAATCGGTCGTACTTTTTTGAAACCTAATAATACCTTCTTGTCTTTCTTCGAACTGGTGTACTCCTGACAAACAGTTCTTCATCCCTTATGATAGTCGACTCCATAGATATCTCGCCAATATATTTCTACAACTATTACTACAAAGTGACTGATACTGTAGAGTACAATCTACAAAGATATTTACAGTAATAGACATTTACATATTTACACAAGAGACCGCTCTCTGTAATTTATAGCACTGTTGAGAGAAGGAAGTATGATGAGGATACAAGTTAAGCCTTAGATACCAGATGTAACATCTTGTGTTGATCATGATGACGCCACAACTTAGTACTGTTATCCCAGTCATCCCTCACCCTTAAGTCCTACCGTTATCCAAACTATATGTACCCTCTATATAAATAATAATCCCCCCTTGTATCAATAATACACAAGAATCAACAGAATTAAAAATGTGTGTAGACCACTCACTGTAGTTAGGGTTAGCTAAAATTATTTTGTAGACTAAATATACATGTAGACCGCCTGCTGTTACACTAAAGTGGTAGCACTAAAAGTGCCTACATTATAACTTCACCCCAAGTTGCTAGCGTTTCTACCCGTTCTCTTCTTGAATGTCCTGACTTCCAGGACGAGCGTCTGTCTTCTTTTCCGACTGTCCCCCGCGGTCGCTTGTCCCTCGATAGAATTCTTCGCGACTTTTGATATCGTTCACCTTATGCGTTTTTGTTCTCGTATTGGCATCCTTGGTGATATTTAGCGCCCTCTGATTATCCCGCACTTTGATGGTGCTACATAGCCTTCCCGGTTGATTGATTGATGATTGATAAAGATTAAGCCACCCAAGAGGTGGCACGGGCATGAATAACCCGTAAGTGGTGGCCCTTTTGAGCCATTACCAGTATCAAGAGCTGATACTGGAGATCTGTGGAGGTGCGACTGCACCCTGCGTGACGGGAGATGTCTCCCGGACCAAATGGTGCCTTCCCGGTTTGGTGCCTTCTATTGATAATTACTTACTTCTATCCCTTCTCCTCACATTAGCGGCGAGGTAACGTAGGCACTCGCCCGCACCCAAGCGCTCCTATCTTTATTATGCACCCCATACCCATCCCGTGGGGGCTGGTGGAAAGGGTTACAGAGTCACATAATGGGTCCAGGAACTGAACCCCATGGTTCGCTTAGCTAAGCAAGTAATGATATTTGAGGCTAGTTACACAATTGTTGATGTCACATACACAAGTACATATATATATATACAATCATTTACACATATACATATTAATAATCTTTTTATATCACAAGTGATTCAACAAGAGGCTCACAACAGTCACTATACAAGGCACTTTACATCTATGGCGAGTCACACAGTTACTAGTCCTGCTCCACACCCACCCAACTGGGCGGCAGCTTTACAGTCATGTGCTCCACACCCACCCAACTGGGCGGCAGCTTTACAGTCATGTGCTCCACACCCACCCAACTGGGCGGCAGCTTTACAGTCATGTGCTCCACACCCACCCAACTGGGCGGCAGCTTTACAGTCATGTGCTCCACACCCACCCAACTGGGCGGCAGCTTTACAGTCATGTGCTCCACACCCACCCAACTGGGCGGCAGCTTTACAGTCATGTGCTCCACACCCACCCAACTGGGCGGCAGCTTTACAGTCATGTGCTCCACACCCACCCAACTGGGCGGCAGCTTTACAGTCATGTGCTCCACACCCACCCAACTGGGCGGCAGCTTTACAGTCATGTGCAGGCGACACCTACAGTAAGCAAATTTTGGATACTTCGCTAAGATTCCTGGCAGTACATCTTGATGAATGAAGTACTTACACATTTCTTGGACACCATTGATGGCACTATCTCTAAATTCCGCGATTTTTTCACATTCCATTATATAATGACACAAAGTATGAGAATAATTCTGGTGACAGTTTACATTTAGTTAAATCTACATCAGCAGATGTTGTAAACTCCCAGAGGTACTTGTAGCCGAGCCCTTCTTTCCCACCTTCTGGAACACTAGTTTACTTTAATATTATTGTTTGTTGGTCAGTAACATCTTTTGTTGACCTTAAACCTAACACCCAACTATACCTCGGTACCAGTGAAGGACGAAATTTGGCAAAATGGTATAATCATCCATTTAACGTTAAACCGATATATCCGTTTAACTGGCATTCATATATTCTTGAATGGAGTATTTAGAATGAGAGTAAGGGAGGTACTAGCCTCACTCAGCCGCCGTCAACGTGGCCTGGCGGTGGGTTGATGAACTATTGTCCTGGTCATTCCTCTTGACATTTGCTGACTTTACATTCCTCTGAAGACTTGTGTAAACACTTGATACTGTATCAGGTTTCTGGCTGAGACAAGCGTCTTCACTACACTTAACTTAAATGTTATTTAATAAAAATCAATAAAGTACTAAATACGATACGTAACAATCTTTTAAAAGTGGTCATTGATATTTTAGGGGCTCACGCTTGGGTAAAGTAAGTTGACAAATAAGGAGAGAGAAGTGAATGAACAAATTGGGTATATTGTAATTAATTTTGTCAATAAAGATGTTAATAATAATAATAACTGGAGTTAGCTCGGCATATAACTTGAACTACCGCTACTGGAAACTGTACAAGTAGGTGTAGGTCTGGCCACAAGGAGACCCAGAATGCTCTATCTCACGAAACATTATACAGGACCACAGTTGTGTCAACCTGTAATGCTAGTAGTGAGGAAAGGGAGTCAGAAATAGTAAAGCTGTCTACTTCAGTGTTGTCAATAATTTTGAGCACTACCAGTATAGCTACCAAATCACCTTGCATTGTGGATGCTCAGTTAATAACTCTATTATTTTCAATTGTGATAAGCAATAACAGTACTTCGTGCCCTCCCTCAAGCTATATTGAGTAATCCGTCAGTGCACATGGTCTGTGTCATGAGGATTTTAGTTTGTATATGTGTTTTAGGATGTTTAATTTATACTAAGGTTGTCTGTGATTAGTTTCTTGGTGGGGTATGCAGGCGTCAAGATGTCAAAAGGTACTATCTGCCAGGGTGGACGGAAGTGCTGTACCCTTTCATCATTACGGTGTACACACTTCCACATTACGGTGTACACACTTCCACATTACGGTGTACACACTTCCACATTACGGTGTACACACTTCCACATTACGGTGTACACACTTCCACATTACGGTGTACACACTTCCACATTACGGTGTACACACTTCCACATTACAGTTCCTCATATCTTACCAGTAACTCACACAAACTTCCACTTTACTAAATTACTACAACAAATTATTACAGCAAGATGGCGTAGTAAATAAATTGAAAAATAAGTTTTTACATATGTTAGATAATGGTTATCTGCAGTGAAGTGTGTGTATGCGTAGCAGCAGAAGACAAGTGTCTTCACTTCCACTACCGCTCACTACGCAACACGGGGGAGTGAAAGTTGGTGGTTGAATGCACAGTAGTAGCTAAGGCTTTGATATGGGTGTTCCTGCCATTGTGTTGGAGGTTCAGGTCGGGTTCCAGCATCTCTGTCGGCCCAGCGAGGTAGTGATTCAAATTGAAATAAGTTTATTGAGGTATAAATATACACAAAGGGATGAGGCAGCTCAAACTATTCTCACCCCGTTGAGGCAGTGATCGTTTATAATTTGTAGGTTAGGTTTGGTGGAATAGTTAGATGTCCGGTTTAGTAATACAAGGATCCTTAAGGAGGCAGTCGTTTCTAATTAGGCTTGAGCTAGATTCTCGAATACAAGTCTATGCTGTATGGAAAAACAAATACACCACTACTACTCCACACAGAAGTATGATCCAGTTAGTTCACTCATTTTGTGAGCGGTAGTGGAAAAGTTATACTTTGAATGCATGACAGAGCTGATGAGTTAGCCAAAGAATCTGCCTTTAAATGAGTTAACTATAATATGGATTGTGTATAAGCAACTTAAGAACAATAGAACACCAAGAACTTTAAAACAAACTTGTAGATCTGAGGCAAGGTGAAATCTACACTAGCAATTCCATCTATCATGCAAGAGGCACATAATATATGGATCATCCAGTAAAATCAGCAGCCTCCAATAGATGCTAATGTTACTAATTAAATAGATGTTACTAATGCTCGGCTTTGTCTCTGTTATAAGTGTCTCTGGGAATTTGCATTACCTCTTGATGTAGACCTGACCAAATACAACAAATACAAATATTTATTCAGGTAAAGTACATACATGTGTATGTGTGCATACACACATACACGTATACACAAATGTATATGTGCGGGTAAAATTATTCGCACACCCTCCGCCACTATGTGATGGAGTGCAAAAAGAGAGGTGAATTTAGATCTTTATAACAAATATCCAAGAAATGTATACGCATTCCATTCAAAGTGATCTACTACCAGAAATGTTTGTCAGATATTCCCAGTTTGACAAGTACAGGTACAATGTGGGGTGAATGTCACCTTTCACCGCCACCCACTGGATAAGGAGTGATGTGCAGGATAACCCAACCAAATTATGGAACAAGCTCACTGCAAGTTGCTTAGCTTAGAGACTACTTGTCGTTCTCCAACCCATTGTTGATATAATAATTCAGCCCGTCCTCCTAAGGTTTCCCATCGTTATGAAACTGTCGTACTGAAGTGCCCTTATTCTAACCTACCAGAGAACCCAAAATAGAAAACGGGACATTACGTCAATTTCGCGAGCCGCTTCCATTTTCTAGTACGGCAAATTTTGCCCTTAGGTAGAGTATTCGTCAAAAATACGACGTTCTATTAGTAGGTCGGGTTGGATTCACTAAAGCCTGTGTAACTGGCTTATCAAGACTAGTTAAAACAATTTTGGGGTTCAGTTCTTGAGCCCATTATGTTCTGTAACCATTAACACTACCGCCCACGGGATAGGTATGGGGTGCAGAATAAGTGAACTGAGCTAACAGAGGCACATGGGATGCACAGTCATTGTACTACCGTTCACAGGGTGAACACGAGGCGCAGTGCACAGCAGCCCGCTGCTAGCACTAACTCTCGACAACATAATAATAATTAGGAAAAGTACATACATAGTTGCAGAGTTACAGTACAAACATTGTTTGATTTAAATATAGAGGTAGTACATACAATACCTAAAGCCACTGGAACGCATAGTGTTTCGGGCAAGGTGAGGTGAGGAAAAAAACACTTAGACTAAACAAATAAATAAATATATATATATATTAATATATATATAAATAAATATATATATATATATATATATATATATATATATATATATATATATATATATATATGTGAAATACGTATATAAAATATATATATATATATATTTTATATACGTATATACATATACGTATATAAAATGCGTATTATATACAACGTATATAAAATACGTTGGCAGAAAGTTAAGGAAACATTTATATAATGTTAATTATAGGAAATTCTTAACGAAGGTATTTATTTCATAGCAGTTACACCTCCGTCTCTCAGGTCACTAGTAATTATGGAGTAAGTAAATACCAATGTGAAAAAATGAAGCTAGTGGCGCGTGGTGGATGTAGGAGTGATCCAATAGTGGCCCGACTGTTGCTGTGACTCAGCAAAGTTCACAGTGGTGGTGGGGGGGGGGGGAGAGATTAGACCCCCCCCCCCAACCACCACCACCAACTTCCTCACCTGTTATGTAATTGTGTCAATCCACACTTAATTTTTTTTACCCACCTCCACCTGCTGTTGCAAACATCCTTTCACAACACTACTACTTTCTCATTCATTTTTGTCTCATCTCCAGTCGCTCTCTTCCTTCCTCTTTTGTTTTTCTACCCTGGCCTCATCTGTCAAGGCGGAATTATAATTGCAGGAGTATCATGTATAATACTTTGATGTTCGCAGTAGGTAACCTGAAGGTATAGGTTATATCAAGCCATCCATTCCTCCCATCCACTCTCATTTTGGATGGTGGAGCGACGGTCTTCTTCCAAGTCGGCGTTTAATCCCCAACCATACAAGTTTTTTTTGTGGGTGGTCACCCTTCCTTCCATCCCTCTATCCTATCCCAAATCATTATCCTCATTCTTATTATTTTAAAACAAATTTAAAATTGCAGACATGCACAAATTACACGACTCCATAACCAGCAGACGGTCCAGGAAAATTTGTACCATAAGAAACGCAACGTCAAGTGACATTGCAGTATTGTGTTACCACTGCACAATAGGCCATAGCCTCGACCACGTGTGCCTGCAACATATGAGCTGCGCTACAGCTAGTACTGAAGGGGCTCTAGTTTTGGAATGTACAAAAACGGAAAATGGGGTTAATAGGCTGCGTATGCGAAGTGAAAGGTCGGACGTTTCTGGCGAGCAACGAAACCTTGATCTCATTCCACACTGATGAAGTTTGGTACTGAACGACCTTCTGGTCGTTCTCAAAATATTAACCTAAGGCAATACGAAACAGTGGATTTAACTGCGATTTAAAAAATAAATAGGCAAACTGAATCGAAAATAGAGCTGCAGATCTATGGAACAATTTGGCAACATTATAGAAGCAAACTGGAAAGCATCACTTACATAAATACATGAGTGAGAGTAGTTGGAGCTATAGGTCTTCATCAGCAGATCCCTTTGCTTTTATTTTATGTCCGGGCTCAGACGATGGGTTACGTGATGACGCTATAACTTCTTATGTCCGGGCTCAGACGATGGGTTACGTGATGACGCTATAACTGCCTCTTTAAATTTAACTACTGTTGACAGGAGACAGTGAATGCGGGAGCTACATTTTTAAAGAATTTGTTTTTGTTCCAGGACCACGTGGCGGCGACCTTCGGAGCTGGTCTGGGTTATGCCTGCGTGGTGGACGTGGGCGATCAGAAGACCTCCATCTCGTGCGTGGAGGACGCCATCTCTCACCCAGCCACCAGGGTATAGTGCTTACAATTACTCATCACTCCGGTATAAACAGGAATGAAATAGGTTTATTGCCAGCAAATAAGTCAAAGTAAAAACTATTGTTACCAAGACTATTTTAGGTTATATATATATATATATATATATATATATATATATATATATATATATATATATATGTATGTCGTACCTAGTAGCCAGAACGCACTTCTCAGCCTACTATGCAAGGCCCGATTTGCCTAATAAGCCAAGTTTTCATGAAATAATGTTTTTTCGACTACCTAACCTACCTAACCTAACTTTTTCGGCTACCTAACCTAACCTAACCTATAAAGATAGGTTAGGTTGGGTTGGTTAGGTTTGGTCATATATCTACGTTACTTTTAACTCCAATAAAAAAAAATTGACCTCATACATAATGAAATGGGTAGCTTTATCATTTCATAAGAAAAAAATTAGAGAAAATATATTAATTCAGTAAAACTTGGCTTATTAGGCAAATCGGGCCTTGCATAGTAGGCTGAGAAGTGCGTTCTGGCTACTAGGTACGACATACATATATATATATATATATATATATATATATATATATATATATATATATATATATATATATATATATATATATATATATATATATATATAGACAGTTTTAGGATATAAGTAGTAGTAGCAGTGCTATTCAAAATATGCTGTAGCAGATTAACATATTTAAAGCAACGCTTTAAGTTTGATTTTAACTTGCTGAATGTTAATATTTATGTAATTACTTTCATTATATCTACTTTGAAAGTAGCATACAACACATACCATCATTTGAGCTTTTTGAGTCCCGTAGAGACCTGTGGCTAATTGCTGAAGAATTTACAATATAGAAAATATTGTTGATCCTCTATATCAAGTTGAATAACTGATAAAAATTAATTGCCTGTTGATCACTAAAGAAGGTAAACATACCAGCTAGTACCAGATAGGTAGGTTTTACTTGCTGAAGTATCGAAATAACTTGGATATTATTATCCATCCCTTATTATCCATGCCATATTTACCCCGGAATACTGGTGCACGGGTACAGAGGCGTGTGAGCTCAAGAAAGCAGTACATACCAATAAATTGTTAAGCAAAGCAATTTACAGCACTGATGGACTAGCTAGAGTGTTTGTTGGCTTAAACATCAAGTGTCTGGACAGTCTTAGCTTAGCCTAGTTACCTTATTAGAACCCAATACCCATGCCAGTCATGCACCCATCCTTTGGGATACGTGTTACTGTGGAACATAGCGGGCTCGGGAGTTGAACAAACATTACCTCTACCTTTTTATTAAGAAAGTTACAGCATTGTTGTTCATCCCTTGTCCACTGCTTACGGCACCAGTATCGCCAGCATTCACTGGCACCTACTATCACCATCGATGTCGCTACCACCCCCCTCCCTGTCACTTCCAAAATCCACCTGCCTGTCACTATCACCAGCGTACACCACTTACCACCATCACCTACCCCCGCCCCAATATTGCTTGTCACTACCAGCTACAACCACCACCACCACCAGAAGAGTACAAGAAGTGCAAAGATAGGATATTTGCATTGAAACTGCATACAGAGTTGGCATGTGAGAAAGATTGTAAGATATACATGGGTTTTTATGGATATGTAAAAGTCATAAAATAAGAGGTAAGAGAGAAGAGACTTTGGAGAATGATAAGCATGTGTGGAGTTGGCAGAGTGCCATTAACTGTAGTGAAATGTTTCTATGTAGCTAGTAGTCCATGTGTATGAGTTAATGATGTAATGAGTGACTGGTTGGGTAATAATGTTAGGTGTATGTCAGGGACCCAGGTTATTCAATGCGTGTATGTGTGTGTGTGTGTGTATAATAATAATAATTTTTAATAATAATTTTTATTTAGGCAAAGGTACATACATAAAGAGATTTTACAAAGTTTGTTGGCTTTATAGATAAGAGCTAGTACATACAATGCCTAAAGCCACTATTACGCAAAGCGTTTCGGGCAGGAAAAAACACTACTGACTAAAGCTTAAAACTAATGGGTAAAAAGAAAAAAATGCGTTGAGTACAAATAAAAATAGAGGTAAAAGAGGGGGAAACATTGTTGAAAAAACAGCACAAATACAATTACAAATTATTACAGGAAATTACATTAAAACAGCGTTGATTTGAAAAAAAAAAAAAAAAAAAAACATACATGGGTTGACAATAGAGGGGTAAGGTAGGTTACAGGGAATTTATTAGGTATAGATTCGTTTTTAACTTAAACTGGTTGAGAGAGGTACTGTCTTTAACATGGTTGGGAAGGTCATTCCACATTCTGGGCCCCTTGATTTGTAGAGCATTTCTGGTTTGATTAAGTCGTACTCTAGGAATATCAAAACTGTATTTATTTCTGGTGTGGTGCTCATGGGTTCTGTTACAACCTTCTATGAAGCTTTTGAGATCAGGATTGGCATTACAGTTTAGCATTTTATATATGTATAGTACACATGAGAGAATGTGCAGTGACTTAATGTCTAACATATTCAGGGATTTCAGTAGGGGTACCGAGTGATGTCTGGGGCCAGAATTGGATATTGTCCTAATAGCAGCTTTGTGTTGAGTAATTAGAGGACGTAAGTGATTTTGGGTAGTAGAGCCCCAAGCACAAATACCATAGTTGAGATATGGATAGATAAGGGAGTAATAGAGAGTCACCAGGGCAGGGCGTGGTACATAATATCTGATCTTAGAAAGAATGCCCACAGTTTTTGAAACTTTTTTTGATATGTTTAGAATGTGTCCCTGGAAATTCAGCTTGTGGTCAATGAGAATGCCAAGGAATTTGCCATCTAATTTGTTACAAATTTGGGTATCGTTTATTTTGAGATTTATTTGATTAGAGGATTTATTGCCAAACAGAATATAGAAAGTTTTGTCAATGTTAAGGGTGAGTTTGTTGGCAGTTAGCCACAGATGGACTTTATTTAGCTCAGTATTTACTGTGGCATTTAGAGCAAGGGGATCAGGACTGGAGTAGATGAAGGTTGTGTCGTCAGCAAATAGGATTGGTTTGAGGTGTTGGGAGGCATTTGGAAGGTCATTAATGTAGATGAGAAAGAGGAGAGGGCCAAGTATGCTGCCCTGGGGAACACCAATGTTGATGGGTAGGGTGGGAGAAATTGTATTATTCACAGAAACACATTGGAGCCTGTCAGTAAGGTAGGATTTGAGGTATTGTAGGGAGTGTCCTCTGACACCATAATGATGTAATTTAAGAAGAAGGTTTTGGTGGTTGACAGTATTGAAAGCTTTACGCAGGTCCACAAATAACCCAACAGGGAACTCATTTTTATCAAGAGCTGTATGAATCGAGTTAAGCATACTAATAAGTGCATCGTTAGTGCTTTTTTTTGGGCCTGAAGCCATATTGGCAAGGGCTAAGTATATTGAGTTTGGCTAGATATGAGATAAAGATATGAGATATATATATATATACTGTATACATATACATGAATGGCCATGAGGGAGGTCAGAGTAAGAATGTTAGAGATGGCTTGTAAACAGCGTATAAGCCTCATACGAGTAACTGGAGAATGTCTAATTTGATAAAAAAAAAAAATTGATGTTCGCTGATAATAGTTCTTGTACTGTAGCAGAGAATTTGTCATCGGGTATGTAGACTAGTTGAAAAGTGTATTGAGGTATGTAAGAGGAAACTTAAAACTAAATATGGCAACCCATCCTCTTGTGTAGATAGTACCTATTGTGACTATCGTTAATAGTCACAAATTCGTACGTACAGTACTTAGCTTTTAGATAGTAGTATACTGACTATTAGGGAATTCTTTTAAAATGAAGTTAAAACACAAACTTAAATATTCCTAGGCCTAGTATAGCATACGTATGTACTGTACTATATTAGGCCTAGGGAGGTTAGGTTAGTTTAGTTTGTTAAAGCAACACAAGTAAAAAAAATAGCTTTTGTTTGTCCAACTCAATAGTTCAGATTTCTACTTTTGTTGTACGTCGGTATATATACTATGGTCCTCATCATTACTATAAGTACAGTACAGGTATTACCAAAGCAGGTGGATGGGCAGAAATAGGAACAAAAGTAAAACTGGTGTTAAGAGTAAAGGAAATGTATGTGAAATACATGAAAGTGATGAAGTGCTGGAAGATATTAATCTGTTTAAGTACTTTGTATGTACAGTAGCCATGCTGACACAATGTATGGTTACGAGACAATGGTCTGGCTTGAAAGTGAAAAATTAGATGAAGCCGTAGAAATGGGGAGACTGAGAAACATGCATGGAGTAAGGACTGAAAATGCCATGGAATAATGTAGAGTATAAATTTCAATAAACTTCAGGACTGAGAAGAGCTTACCAATATGGTTTGGTCATCTTGAAAGGATGATGGTAGATGGTGAAAAGAGTATTCAAATTAATTTGAGTGTAGGAGATTGCAGAGCAGTTTGTAAGGAGGGAGTGAATGTATTTTTATATAATATTTCACTCTACACCTGGCCTTATGAAGCAAGGTAATGCCAACGTATGTTTTATGCATGCATGTACGCTTCTAATTTTGTACTTAATTTTATATGTACACTGTAATTGTCTTTCAGACTAATCTTGGTCATAACTTTAACAACCCATACTTGTCTCAACTAAAAATAACATTTCCCACAGAATGGTGAATTGATTTTCAACCCTCAAATTGAATAGCATTTGCATATACAACTACATGTTGTACAGCTTTGGCCTCAGTGTTAGTAGCATATTTACCCATAAGTTATCTCACATGCAGCATTTCCCACAGTTGCGGCTTGACTACGGTGGCAGTGATGTTACTCAGGTATTCTACTGGCTGTTGAAGAAGTGTGGTTTCCCACATCAAGTGAACCTCCACAAAAAACTTGATGCAATGTTACTCAACAAACTTAAACATGAGTTCTGCCATGTTAATCTGGTAAGAAATGTTTGGCTCCGAGCTTGTATATGCTTATAACTATCGTTCAAGTTATGTATGCAATGGAGAACAAATTACACAATGTAGTTTATTTTACCCTGTAGTTTGAGAGATTAAGTATCAACATTGTAATAGGGCTACTAATCTTACCCAAATTTAAAATATTTCAAATTATTGTTTATCTATAAGTTAAATTTAACTTAATTCCAGGTAAGATTTGGCATTAGAAATAATAATTTATACACCTACCTCTGCACTTGCACTCTTTTTACAACACTTTTCCATCAAATATTTACCACACTATTAGTATTCACTATTTATAGTGAGTATTGATGTTGTCTCTTAATTACAAAGATAACATGGATAATGCAATAGTATCTAATTGTACCCCATACAAGTCTGGCAGTTGGACTTCTTGGAAAAGTGCCCAGAAAGTCTGCCTTGATTGCATATTTCCAGAATTATGCAGAATATTCATTGCTCATCTAAGAATAGCGAATGCTGTTGCCACGACACAAATTTTATGTCTACCAAGTTTTATCTTAACAGCTGCTACTGTTAGATTGGATTAGCCCTGTGTACCCTGTTTATAATGAATATATTTATCATTACCCTCACTGCAGTTCTTTATTTTGTGTATATCTCAACTAATGTATTTTTTATGATATACTGTAGTTCTGCTCAAAATTGCTTTAGTTAGAAATGGGTACGTCTTGCCCTTGACAGGAAGCACGTATTTGGCTTATAGTCTCCTAAAACCAAAGGTAAGACCATGTGTCATCCATTCAGTTGCTGACAAGACATAATGATATTTAACCTGACTGAACAACTGAAGCATGCACTATCCAGTACCACACAAAGAGATCAGAATGTGATTGACTCAGACCTTGTGAGTGGTGGTGGTGATAACATCTCCCATCTAAGATCAGTTATATATTAGACTTAGTTTATCATATTACTATTGTTTTTTCCATTACCCTTCAAAAAATATTTTCAATAAACAAAATTGTAGATACAGTATGTCATAGTCATTGTATTTGATATTGTGATTTGTTCACTGCAGGCATAGGAGCTCAGTGGTGGAAATTAACCTCTCTAATTAAAACACTGAAAAAGCATGGTGACCCCAACTTTTCATTACTGATTGATGCCAAATGAAGCTTGTAAATAATATATATAGGTCAAATAGCAAAAAAAGATAGACAATTGTAGATATAATTACTGTAAAAGGGGCACAATTATATAAAGACAACAATATTTTGGAGAAAGCAAAGAGTTCTGATAGTTCAAACAATGCTGGAAAAAAGATCTTTATACATCTTATTCAGCCCATCACTGTTGTGGTTCGTATCTTCAATTCATGTACAGTGTTACAAAAAAAGGTTTAATTTAATTTCAGAATGAGTGTGGTGCTCAGGAGAAGACCTTCAGCGTTCACAACCCTGGAGAAGTGCCCTCCACCTACACCATCCAGATGGGGGATGAACTTATAGTTGCAGCCCTTAGCCTCTTCTATCCTGATCTACTCAAAATTACTGGTCCCAAGGCAACCCTGACTCAGAAGCCAAACCCAGGTGACCCTGATGATCCCTTTGATGAAAATTACCTCAGAGAGACCAGTGTAAGTTTTAGTCAATGTTTGTGAGTGACAGATAAAGCATACACTATTAGAGTACTGTACAATATATGATTACCATACAACTATATTCTATTTACCTATCTATAATATGGCAGTCATGTTACAGTAAAAGTAAAAGATCAAATTAAGAACCCTTTTGCAGGTTGGGATAATTTGGACAGTTCCTCCATCCCTTATGTGCACTGATACGGCTACCAGAATTTTGGCCAATTCTATTACTGATTTCATAGCTTAGTACTAGTACTGTAAAAATATATATTATTTACTGCACTCTGATAGTGACATACAAGTTCTAACAAAAAGCTATGTTAAGAAATAAAAATGTTTTATGATTTCATGGTTCATAAATGATGATAGTATAATAGTAACACAATACAGTACTTATAATACTAATCATAGCACAACTATTCCTGCAGAATTCACAAAATACCTTATTTTGATTTCTTACCTTTTACATTACAGCGAATACATAATACTACTGAACATTTACAGAGAAGAGGTTGTCGGGAAGCAGCTGAAGCAATGGAAGTTGGTGGTGGTGAGGGAGGCGATGCAGGAGAGGAAGATATTGTAGTAGATGACCAGCCATTGCCCCCAGCTCAGGTGGTCCCCTCAATGTCTGTACGCAATGATTCTTCAACATTTTCTAGCACAGAGAAGTTACTTTCCTTAGAGCAAGCCATCCTCACCAGTATAGACAGATGTCGTAAGTCACACAGTTGTTCAATTACATTTTGAATTGCTGACGAACATATTTCTAATCATTACTCTAATACTTCGGCTGTAAATTTCAACCAAATACATTGAAACTTGGATCTTTAGGAGCAACTCAATGGTATGTGTATAAAAGAAAATTTGTAGGCCCTTAAAATTGTTCATAAATTATTATTATTTACAAAACAATTATTTCATTCTCAATAAATCTTAGTAAGAATTTATAGCTACAGTACTGTGTTCAACACCTAATCATGCACCTTTATATAAAGTAATGAAATTTTAATTTTTGAACCACAAAAGAAATTATTTTGAATTAGAAAATATGCACAATAATGATTACCTTATTTGATGTTTGGACTACAGTACTTTGTAAAATATTGAAGTTTCTCTAAAAACAGTGTTTAAGACAATTGGTGTATTGACTTTTGATTCTGATTTTTTCTTTACAGAAAGTGATGAAATGAAAAGGAAAATGTATAGCAGCATCTTAATTGTTGGAGGAGGAGCAAAATTTAAAAGTATTGGAAAATGGCTACAAAGCAGACTAACACTTCAAATTCCTGTTGCGTACAGGCCAGGTGATACCATTGCAAACAATGCACTTGTGTAACTTTAGCATGAATTCATTCCTAGTTTAAATTTTAGATCTCTTGTGTCCTGCTTACATAAATAAAGATACTGTAGTGAAGAACATGGTGGTAACAACAGGGTAGAGTAATACAAAGCTGAGTTACTCAGCTATGAGTAACTGCTGGTTTTGACTTTACAATCAAAGCCTTATAAAATATTCAACAACTAAAGAAACAAAACAGGAAGAATTGAGGTGGATCATGATGAGTGAAGGAGTGAGGCACAACACATTGCTAAATTAATAATTCAGAACATTACAATAATGTCGAGCCCTACTCGGCAAGTGATGCTCTAGGTTGCCTTCCTATGATGAATTGTTATTTACCTACCTTTGTACACTTAATTTAGCTGTTGAACGTTTGACATTTTTGCTGTAAGACTGTTTCTAACTGAATTTGTTTTCCCTCAGAACAAATTGAGATCATCACACGTGCCAAGGATATGGATCCATGTATGACGGCTTGGAAAGGGGCAGCACTGATGACTTGTTTAGAGGGCAGCAACGAATTGTGGATACAACAGTCAGAGTGGAACAAACATGGAGTGAAGATCTTGCGGGAAAAATGTCCATTTATATGGTAAATTGCTTGTGTAATATATAATAAATTATATATATTATCCTTATTTGTTTCCCCCATCAGCATATTGCTTTACTAAAGATTTAAAAGCTATTAAACTGAAGAATCAATTCATTTCAAAACCTTATAAATTATTTGTACTGTTCATGTATCATTAGCCTAGTCTACAAAATAGTTTCCGTTTAGTTGTGGACAAGAAGCCTGTTAGACTTACCATGTTCCCTATGGTGAATGAAAAGATGCTTTGGCCAAATGCTTTCATTGTTGTGGGAATAGAACTTTGGACCTCATGACTGTGACCAGACTGTATTGCATGGGTCACTGTACCATCATATTTAAACAATGTATTATTATTATTATTAATTATAACTACATTATATATAAAACTAATGATATTAACTTAGAATGTTTTTAGGAAGCAGTTGCATAGTAAATTATTAAATAAGGTGTACACACTCTTAGCAACATGGAGAATATTTGGTACGTTTCTTCCAGTTTGCAATCTAGGATATTTAAAATATTTGAGAATATTTTATGCAGATAATATTACTACTACCTAGTGTTTTGTATGGAGAGTTTATCATTCAGAAATCATCCAATACTTTACCTATTACATACTTTACCTATTAAAGTCTCTGTGCCTGAAATTTTAGGGTATATTGATTCTATCATTTGTTATTGTACCTGAAATGTAAACACTATGTGGTGAGTAGCGCTTTCTCTCTCATAACGCGTGTGTTGTGTATCACTACTTGCATGTAGTAGTAATTATTGTTATTGCCTCTCCCAAAATTCACGTGTCAATACTAGGCTCTAAAGAATGCAAGAATCTGCTGGCCCCAGAAGTTAATCAGTCAGGACTGACTGACAACTTGTATCAGCATAACAAATTTATTCAAACTGTTAAGTCATAATCGTGCTAGGGATATACGAGAGTACAATATACTCAATCCAGCCCAGAAAGAATGTCGAATTTTTTTTTTAACTTTCCAAATCCTAAGTGACATCACAAGAACCATTAATTAGTGCTACTTCAGTTGAACTAACTACTTCCTTCTCCCACTACCCATTTCCCAACAAAAGAAGGAACAAAGGACAACCCTGGAACAACTGAATAGCATAGCAGTCTCTGAAACATGAGTGTCATTATACTCAAAGCCTGATTTATTTGTAATGCCATTAAGTTGCTCCAATAGGTATGGCTCGAACCAAAGACTTCAGTAGAACTTCAGTTTCAACTCTTTTACCCTGTAGTAGCTCAGTCGATTAAGGCAGTGTCTGGGATGCTCCCGGACCACGTTCGAATCCTCATCACGGCCCTTGTGGATTTGTTCAAAGACTAATACACTACAAGAAAAACAAACTCTAGTACTGAACAATGAAAACAAAGTGGTATATCTCACCTGGGCTGCAATGATAGAAGAAAGAACAAAAAATATCATGAGCAGGGACACTGAATTCTCGTGCTCTGTATTTGTGATGAGCATTTATTATTAATAATTTTATTTAAAAAATATACAAAAGAAAATAGTATAAGTTGGGAAAACTACATGATGTCAATCAAAATTTACTTGAATTTACCTAAGGACCACCATATCATTAGGGGCTTAATGAGGACAGGAAGCTGGTGGTTTGTCAAAGGTTTTTCCCATTTATCCCACTTGAGTTTATTTAACTGGATTTTTAATTGCATCAGTAATTATCAAATGAAGGCACCAAGCCATGAGACTGTTGCACCATCAGTGTCGCCGGATATTCAAAAGGTGCTAAATATCACTTAGGATGCCAATATGAGAAGAAAAACACATAAGGCAAGGAATATCAAAGGTATCAGATTCACCAAGGATATTGTCGATGGATATATGTCCTTCCCGGACATTAGGAAAGCAAGACATACAATTGTCTTGAAAATCATGACTTTACACAAGGAGGTACATGATTAAAGTGGGACAATGCAGTTTGTTCTGTAAAGAGCAATGCGGCATTCCATTAAATGCACAAATTAAGCATTTATTGCCAATATGTAACCTAGCCAAAACCATTTCCTGTTGTCTATTACGGTGGTAGGAGAAAGGCCAAGGGTATGTGTAACTTTTTAAAATGCACAGTTTATTACCTGTAACCTCAGACCAGTGACCCTGCCAGTGGTCTTGTTTTGAGGAATGAATAAGTGGGTAGAAGTCCGAATAAGGAATGTTTTGTTTTTTTGGATACCGGACGTGTGGACAGCCTCTCCTTAGCGCCAGTATCAGTATGTTCATTTAAAGTAATATCAATATGGCTGGGAACCCAGCAAAACTCCACTGTCGTAAATCTGCTAGAGATAAAAAATATCCAATGTTAAATTCTGACTACCACAAGATGCATAGGGTTAAATGACTCCAGGGACATGCCAGCACTGCAGGAGTCGACCACAATGATAAAGGAATGTTGACGTTTGGAAAGTAGTTGATGAAGCGCATACAGGATTGCATAAAATTCAGCCGTAAAGTTGCTAGTTTCTGGAGGTAGGCGGCACATATGGGTTTGTTCAGTAAAGTCAAGTGAGTAGCTTACACCATGAGCAGACTTAGACCCATCTGTGAAGAGGGCAATGGAGCACGAATGCGAAGAAAAGTAATCCGCAAAAGCAATACGAAGAGGATGACCACGAGGGGGTCAAGCTGAAGGATAGAAAAGCCCTGGGCCTCGAGGATATATTTAATATTCTCATAGCGGTCTTTGAGGTCACGATTTCCAGTTACATGGTGCAGGAGAACAACAGTGCTAATGCTGGCAATTCAATAGGGTGTTTTTCGACACCTGAACCGGGGTCTCACCAATGCAGGACTGTGGCATGGCAAGCGGCAGCCTCCTGAGAAGGGGCTCCAACTACAGTACTTGTCAGTCCAAGTGGGGTTAAAAGTAATCTGGGAATCCAGATTCAACTGTCTATGGATATGCACGTCATCAGGGCGGGTATGGTCGTCGAGACAAAGATCATAACATTTAGGCCATGCAGCGGGGTCCAACAAATCTTGGAATGTTACCGGGGGGTTGGGGAGGGGGGAGCAAATGTATGAGCGTGGTGACGGCGCCATGGACCCCCACGAAGAAGGGGAATGAACGGTGCAGTTGTTACAATGGAAGGAGTCACACGAGGGAACAAGGTAGTCAACCACAGAGGGCTTGGAGCTCAATCCAGCCCAGTAGGAGGGGAGCTGGAAGAGTCAGTAGGGGTATTCATAGATGAAGCCGGGTCTTGGCCCAATAAAGTCAGTGTTACGGAGACTTTTCCTTCCATCACGGTTCAACTTGGGGGGCCTGGTAGCTCCCCCTCCCAAAAGTCTTGGAAGGCAAAAGAAGGTCTGAAATTTGCATAAAAAGAGCACAAACTAAATTTTGTCTACAAGCCCCCATACCCAGCATGGAACCACAATTAGAGGACAGGGAAACCCACAACACCAGTCTGTCCTAGGGTTGCAGCCTGGATATACACCCTGCAATCGTTACTTTAGGAACCGTCAGTTCGTCGAGATAGGGTTCAGTAACGAAGACAAGGTTTGACAAAAGCTTCCCGTCGCTCGAACATGTCATGTACTCCAGTTATACGACCATGAGAGAGTGCCGTCTCAACTCAATTCACCCTCCGTAGCATACAAGTCAAACGAAAGAATATTAGAGATCGGAACAGAGTCGCCAGGAGGCTTCATCCAGAAAGTAGAAGTAATGAGGGAAGAAAGAAACGAGGAAAAGACAAAGGTGTCCAGTAAAATTAGTAAAGAAGGCTGCAGGAGCACATGGTTAAAAAAGGATATGAAATGCCACACTCCGGCAGCCACCCATCATGCCCCTTCCCCCCCCCCCACCTCACGCCGACAACGGGCTAGACATCGAGGGGAAATTACAAGCAACAGTGTTTTGGCATTTACAGCTTTGGCGGATAGGCGGTTCCGTGGGTGAAAAAGCATCTTCCGTTTTCTGTCCTGCATTGTAGCTCGACGAACATGAAGCTGTTGCTGCTTGTTTGTGTTACGTCTGACATTTTGAAGAAGTTGTCTGGATCAATGTCCTCCAAATTCTTCAGAATATTAAAAGTTTCGATGAATTGCTATAGTATGGGGAGTACAACAAATTTACAAGTTAACTTGGCAAATTACAGTATTAGATGGTGCAACACCGAGTCCTGTGAACTAGTGCAATACGGGTCCCGTAAACTCGTCAAAAAACAGACTTTACAGCAATAGATGAGCAGCTGTCAATACACGGCGCGTGCCGTGGTCACTGACAGGACAATAATGCTTTATCATATACAAGGGCCCATGTGCCGCCAGATTGAAAAAAAATTTTTGCTAAGACTGCGGCCATTGCTACAGGAATGACAGCTGCTGGGACCATTATCAACTGGTACTCGACGGATCACCCACATATACGATACAATTCAACGTGGTCATTCGTTGAGTATGTTGAGTGTGGCTAAGTCAACATTGTCGGCGTGTAGAGGGGCGCTTGAGCCGTGCTCTGCCACAAAGCCCTGATGAACCGTCCTCACACTTGACGACCACAGCTGCACAGCTCACCACAAGTGTTTATTAAGACAGATCTGCTCCACTCTTTGGTGCAGTCAATCGCTCTCATCATGCGTGCCTCACTCGGTTAAGTACCGCTGGGTCTGGCTAGTAACTGGTTTGGTGATCACTCGGACACTGACTTGCCTTTGCATAGGGAGGAATTCTGTGTGCCTGAAATCAAGAAGCTTCCTGTCCCAGACACATGCCTTACGTACCATAGTATATGAAGAAAAGGCCCTAGGAGTTATGAAAGTTCAAATCACAGAAAGGTGTACAAGTGGGAACCACAGAAAAACTAAACTAAGAACAGTCAAACGAACCTTTGCCTTCATGAAAAATATTTTTATTCGGCGGTACAAATCTGGTGCGACCCCCAATCCTGACGGCTGTATCCGAACACAGAAACCTCATAGTACAACTGGCTTCGTTCTCAACTCGCAATAAGGGATCCCCAGTTCGATTCCCAGACAAGACAGAATGGTTGAACACG